CCTTTTCCCGCAGCTGGTTCCGGTCAAAAGAAGACACATCAACGTCGTGCTGACATCACAAACGACAGCCCGTAAGTATCACTACCATTCTTTGCAAATGTCCTCATCCATTTATTAGCTTCGCGGTCTAACGATCATTGCCCTTGTAGCCTGCTACGCCGCCAAGGTGCTGTTCAACGTGAAAGCGGTGCTACACCTTTTCCCGCAGCTGGTTCCGGTCAAAAGAAGACACATGCACGTCGTGCTGACATCACAAACGACAGCCCGTAAGCATCACTACCATTCTTTGCAAATATCCTCATCCATTTATTGGCTTCGCGGTCTAACGATCATTGCCCTTGTAGCCTGCTACGCCGCCAAGGTGCTGTTCAACGTGAAAGCGGTGCTACACCTTTTCCCGCAGCTGGTTCCGGTCAAAAGAAGACACATGCACGTCGTGCTGACATTACAAACGACAGCCCGTAAGATCCAGTTTCATTATCTGCAAAAAAAACATCCTCGTCTCCATAATCCAGCAGTCTAACTATTGAGGCGCATTTTAATTATCAGATTTGGACGTCGCACGGATGCCACCCCAACGACCTTTTCTCCATGAAGTAGAATGTAACACCGTCCACTCCGACAAGGGAGGCAAGTTCAGTCCTCGTGATGCAGTTACTTTTGAGCACACGTAAACAAGTGATGTATCATTCGAGTTATATGACCTTCTTCCATGAGACAACTTATGAGATGTATATACAGAAGATGTAAAAGTTGCTATCGAGTAGTGCCTTTTTGTCTCTTTTTTTGTTCTCAAATTTGTTCTCGCTTCTTAGATGAACTCTTGAAAAGCTGTCCTCTTGTTGTGTACATAGTATAGATCTTGAAAATGCATTCTCACCGTCATTATCTTCACTTTCAAAATATAGGTGCAGTGAGCAGAGTATCAATTTATCAATCTTACAATACTCTGGAAGGGGGCAGTCGATTTCTCACACGTGTATTTCCCTTTACCACTGACCCTGTGCCACTTGTAAGCCAGGCTCGGCAATGGACTTGCATGCCGAGTTCGTATCTTGGTATAACTGACAGTGACACTCAGGATTCAGTTATCCTACATAGTCATGATCTTGAGTCACTTTATATAATTCAGATCATCAAAGCTTCACAATGCATATATACAATGTACAGCATGCCTATGTGGCAATGAATAACATCCTATCAAAGCAAGTGATCCAAATAACGAATTTTACAAGCAGCTGTCCCGGCTGGGTGCCATCAAAGTAAAAAAAAATCATCTGCAAGTACAATTTGAGAAAGTTGATCCAAGGAAAAATCACCTGATCCAACGAGAGAGAGAGAAAACCCCTTGAAATGAGAAGATAAGGATCCTGAATCAGGTCATCGCTGTCCCAAGAAGTCCAGGTGATGTTTATTTCTTTCGGGTATAGGAGTTAAGGTAACAAAGCCTTTTGAAATTGTAACCAAAAGGGATCAAAGTAATGTATCCTTGAAACACTTTTTTTTTCGTAAGACGAACCTGAGAGGTATTGATGGATCTCGTATATTCAAGCTCGTTTTAAACAAATCCACTTTTACTCAAATCGTATACAATTGTATTATTCTTTCAGGATCATCATGCTGTGGGATCCTTTGTCTTTTGCCACGGTCAGATCTTCATAGGCTTTCCACATCCTCTGGAACCTTTTTTGATGGGGTCAAAAAGGTTTAAGGGATTTTATGATACCATTTTTGATCCCTTTTAGTTTCGTGAGTCTCAATGATGTCATTCTTGATCAATTCCTTTACAAAAAGTGGATTATTTTTCTTCGATTTTTTTTTTGATCTTCAATCCTTGAGCAATTCCACGTCGTATATAGTGTGATATCTGAAAGAATCGGTTCCTTTACTTCGAATTTGCCTCTTTTATAAATCGTAGAATCGATTTTCTCTTGTTCATTTCTTTTTCTTTTTTCACAATCCCTTCATCACGAATCAAACCTAGTGACTTACTTTTCATCAATTCTAGTTTACACATCACTTCTTTACTACCAATTTTGACTTTTAAGATTGATTGATTTTTTCAAATTCTACTTCCCCTTACCAAACCAAAAAACCCATTACTCTCTGACCAAACATGTTCAACATAAACAAATCAATTTTGTTTCAATTATCAATTTACACAAGTTTTTTAATTGGAGTTTTATCAGCATTACCATCAAATGAAATAAAATTAGAAAAAAGAACGCCAGGAATGATGCCTAATTTTTTAGGTATCGAAGGAGGTAATGGAGTAGGAGGCGAAAAAAGAGGTAGTGCAGGACACGGAGAAAGTTGTAAGAAGTATAAAATCATAAGGTAAGTCCTACAAATCCAATCTCCTCCTCCCCCCAAAAAAACTTTGACTGAAATTTCACTTTGATTTAAATAGTGCAAGAGGTACAGGAGAATCACAAGGAGGAGGTTATTTAGGTTATTCTGGAACGATTTCAGGTATCTTGAAAGCTGTACCAAACGGAGGAAATTATGAAGTGAAATATCCAGCTACAGCTGATTATCTTGATGGACCGATTCAAGGATCAAATGATGCATTGAAATACATCTTAGAACAAAAGAAATTATGTCCAAAACAAGTTTATGTACTGATTGGTTATTCTGAAGGTGTAAGTCATCAAAGAAATCAATGCTTTTTTTTCTTTTCTTAACCACATTTTACTTACCAATTATGTTTTGTTTGTTTTTGTTCTTGGGAATTATTTGTAGGCAATGGTAATGACTCAATTAGCTAACAAACCTAATTTTCCTGGTTCTTCAATTGTTGCAATAGCTTTTTATGGTAATCCATACTTCAAAGGAGGTGCACCACAAAACGCATGTTCAGCCGTACATCAAATCTCTCTTTCTCTCTCAAATCTCTCTTCTTCAAAAAGCTAAAGTTAACTCGCTTTTTTGTATTTGGTTTTTTTCTTTGTAGAAAACTGGATCTGGTGTAGCATCAGCCACTGGGATTTCATTACCATCAAAATTTTCAAAAATCACATTTGATTGTTGTCAAATTGGTGATATGATTTGTCAAACTTCTGGTACAATCGTTGCACATTTAACTTACACTGCTTCTGAAAGTGAAAAATCGGCTGTTAAGTTTGTTGTTGGAAAATTACAATCATTACCTCGTTGATTGATTAACTGTGGTAAGTGTTTTCTTGAATTATTTTGTTCTTGCTTGTTATTGAATGTCTTGAGCCTTTCATACGACTTATTTGATTTTTTTTCTTGCATTTGTGGTCTTCAAGATAGTTTCTCGTTTTTTTCTTTTGAGTATGTAGATTTGTAGACTTGGTTCTTTGTGCAATATTGGACAGCAGGACGCAGAATCATAGAAAGAAATAGTGTCAGGAATTTTGTAATTCTAGTGTTCATATGTTTGTAAATCACACACACTGATCCTCCGGTCCAGAAAACAAAGCATACTTTTTGTTTCATACACACTTGATGATATGTTCTGATGTGCTGTGCATGTTGATATACAACAGCAACACGAATCAATGGTTGATCAAACCAAGTCAAAACACTCAACATCCTATAGACATAGTACTAGCAGCTATATGGAACTAGTCGGCTTTTTGTGTTTGGTAGGTAACCAAAGCCTTGAAAGTTACTTGGCAGATTGAGTGAGGTTGATCATTTGAATTACTTTGGCTTCGTTGATGTGCTGAGCTGTGGAGAGAGAGTTCGAGCGAGGCATGCAGTGTAGATAATACAGTTTGATTAACTTTTTTTGATTTTTCAGTTTTTCTTGATTTGGCTTGATTACCGAATTTGGAATTTTAAACCTTTCTCTTTACTTTTTCATTATTAACCTCATCATCAATCTCAACTTATCAACCTCAACAACTTTCAAGCTCTCATCATGCCTGGTGTTAATCGTACTCATGGGTTTTACGTTTTAGTCATGGTCATCGGATGGTCAGTTTTTCATATTCTAAACCTACCAACTCACTAAAATCATCATTAATATCTTTTTAAAAATTCATCAGGGTATTACCTCCAGTGGCTGTTTTACTCAGATTCGGTTTTGGATTTGACTTTTTTTTAAACATCTTACTTACCATTGCTGGTTACATACCTGGGTTTGTCTTTTTGTTCTGAAAACAAAAGTATCCTTTAAATCTTGATTTTTTAATTTCCGTTTTTTTTCTTTCACACTTCTTTTTTTAGTCATGGTCACAACTTGTAAGTTTATACTTCTCATGTTTCACAATTTCACCAATTGATCTCTTTCTTTAGGGATTTACTAAATCATCCTTTCTGTCTCTTTACACAGTTATCTTCAAAACATACGTAATAATACGAATCGTAAACGAACACCAGCATGGGCTACCAAAGCAGGTTTAATCAAAGATCCCGGAGTCAAACGAAAACAAAAAACCCAATGGGCCAATCGATATGACGAAAGAACGCCCACAAGAGCCGATGGATATCAAGACGAAGATCAACCCGTTCATCATTCTAATTCATCATCATCTCTTTCTAATCAAACTCAATCACTAGAAGCAAGAGATTTAGATCGAGAACCTTCTGGATCTGGACATCATCATTCACTTAGAAGATCTTCGACTGACCTTGAACCTAGACGTCGTGTTTCTAGAGAATCGTTTTATTCTAATTCAAATAATACAGATGATTTAACAAATCGGAACCATACATCTCATTCTAGTAGACCTTTACATCGGTCTTTGAGTTCTAGAATTATGAGAGGACTAGGTGGAAACAAATCGCCTAAGAAAGATAGGTAAGTCATCCCTCTTTGAAATAACGTGCTTATAATAATTTGTTGACTTCAATTCTTTGGGCTGTGTTTTTCTTAGGTTTCATTTGTCGAGAGAAGCAAGGGATGAATGGAATAATTCAGCAGGATCTAGAGTTAGCGCTTATGGCGATGAAGCTCATCATCCAGTTCGTCGTACAGCTACTGTTGGTGGTGACGGATTAGATCATACTTTTTAAACCCGATGGATCTGTACGTCACTCTTTTATATCTTTTTAATTTTCTTGCTTCTGTGATGATTCATTTATCGCGTGTTAGTTTTAGATTCTGACTCTGAATGCTTCCTTGCTCAAATAGATCTCTTCATCTTTTTAGTCTAACATACTTCCCAATCTTTAACGATCAGAAAGAAAAACGAATGATCCGAAAAACACATAAACCCAAGACACAGGCTTGTAGTTGAACCCCTCTATCTTTCACTTTGATACCAATCATCTACCCCTTCTCCCCTCTCTCTCTCTTCCATCATCTTGTTCAAAATCCCTTACATCCATCTTTGCTTTACGATCAGTTATCTTCTCCTTCATATCTCCTAAGTATTTGTGTGTGTGTGTGTGTGTGTGTTGTGTGTACTAATACAAAACCTGATGGGTTATGTTATGTTTTAACGATCTTTCAGTTCTTTGTTGGACTTGACTTTATGTTTTGTTTTGTTCTCTATGTTTATAGTATTGTGTATAAGTCTTCCTTTTTTTTTGTACGATTATTTACATTATATAGCTTGTGATTCTAAAGAAAATTAAAAAAAACAAGACTCAAATTTCAATTCTTATTATCCTCATCTTCCTTTTGTCTTGGAGTGTCTGAGTTTTGAAAATTAAGTATCATTGGAGTGAAAGAAGTTTCAGGATGACAGTGACAAGAGCCAAAAAGATATGACCCGAACGTGACTTGAACACGCAGCCTTCCGATGGAGCCATTTCTGGAGTCGGACGCGCTACCATTGCGCCATCAAGTCTTGCTGTTGGGTCTTCCCATACAGCGTATATGATCCACGTGTTTACAAGAGGTCCTCATTGTATTTCAAAGATTATCAAACTGTATTGAGACAATGTGAAGAATATATTTATATAAGAAAAAGAATTATGTCTTTATAGTTGTATGGGATTCCAGAAGATCAGGTAGGGACAACACCTGAAAGAAATGAAGAACATAACATATAATAGGGGTACACAAACATGAAAACCCGTCCTAAAAACCCATGGACAAAACCCATGACAGCCCGATTGTTTTTTGGGTTTTGTACAACGGGAAAGCGGAAAACCCATGGACAAAACCCAAAAAACAATCAGGTTGTCATGGGTTTTGTCCATGGGTTTTTAGGTCGGGTGTTCATGTTTGTGTACCCCTAATTTTACTTGTTATAAACTTGAGTTGAGTATAAATCAGAGATATCTTGTAGGAATAGAAATTAAAACAATACCAAAATGTTTAATTATACAGAGAATGAGTTGATGGAATGTATATGTGATTGAATAAAATCAAAGAATGTTATAAGGTATATGTTTGGAAGAAAATATGATTTGGTTTGTATTTTATGTATGGATAGTTGTATTTTAAGAATGTTTTCAACCTGAACCCCATTCACAAGGGGAAAAATTAGAACCTCACATAGTATTAGAGGTGAGCATAGGAAGATTTCCCAAAACCTCCAAACATGTTTCATTTTTTTTCAGATTCTTTCAATTCACAATCTTTATTGTGATGAGGTGCTCAGGCTATGATACTTATGTTTTGTGTGAGTTTTCCAAAGCATGCTCATCTACATCTTGGATGTGTATCCCTTTAGGATGAGTGAGTACTCAGGAATTGGCTAGCACACTGATTTCATCAGATTTGGTCACTTGACTGTGCAGGAAGCTGAGCATTAGAGGGCCTGTGATGACCTGAGCAGATGGGCTAGCCCTCCCTCAGACTTCTTGGCTAAGGGATAAAGCATGAGGAAATCCTAACTCCTCTTCTCAGACCATGTTGAGCATTTAATCAGAAAATGAGCTGGGAGCAAACAGGAGAAAACCGGTGAGAAGTTTGGAAACAAACAGGAAGAAAGCTTGGAGAAACCTCCAAACTTCTTATGCTCACCTCTATATGAGCTTCTATTTTTCCCCCTGCGACTATTATTGCTTGTGAATTTGGTTTTGGGAATTAATTTTTTTGCCTTCTTAGTATAAGAGAAAATGTGAGTGATTTTCAAAATTGATGGTGTGAGAATAGTGGTCACACATCTGCTTCTGATGAATCCATGTTATCATCTACAGCTAGATTCACTTCAGGTAACACTGTGTCTGTAATTGTACGACAATGCACACACAGAGGTGTGAGCAAACAATGAAAATGTTGTGAGCCTGTTCTGATTGAGAGCACTGTGCGCATACCCACACCTAGGGGCTGTGATCATTGGATTTGGGACAAACGCTGGCCCTGCCGCTGCAGAACTTGGGTGATTACATAAATCACTTGGAGGGGACTGTACATGACTGAACACCCCTTTGAGAGGTGGAATTAGCACCAAAAAGTTTTGCTGATTGGCAGTTTGATCTTGCACATAAGGTCCAACTTGACCTTTCTTCAATTTTCAGGTTTGCTCAACCATTGATCTTTTCTCACCCTATTGTATACATATGTTGATTGTTGTATGATTTCAATTGATCAATGATTGTGATTGAGCTATTGAAGTTGCCAAGGGTATTCTACCAAACCCCCAAAACAAAGTTGTGGGAGAATCCAATCCCATATTTTGCCAGCTGTCTAGTTGGATGGCCTGTCTCATGTCAGAGTGGTGATTACCATTGTGATAATATTGAAGATTTCCTTGAACTCAATCTTGTATGTATATCTAAACATTTTTGAGTCATCATAACTTGCTGACTAGCTGGTACCATCTTTCTCAGTTGCCAAAAATGTGGCCAAATCCATATTTTGTTCTGACCATTATCAATGCTTGTTTTCATCACAGAGGTTGAATTTAGGAGCTGTGTGAAGAATGTGGAATATACTTGATCTATATACCTTCCACCTTACTCACCAGGAGACAATCCCATTGAGAAAGAATTCAGTGCTTTGTTGGCTTATTTTCATCACACTCAATTCTTGTAAAGTTTGATCCCAGAAGAAACAATACATGATATTGAAAAAGCTGTTCACTTGAGATTACTTCATCCAGTACAAGTTTTATAGAGTGTTATACAAATGAACTGTTATCCTATTGCATCAGAAGTAGAGACAAGAAACACAGCTGAGGAAGCAATGGATTTGATTGAATTTTTATATCAAAAGATGGAAAAAGGAAACCCTCAGCCTATTGAAATTGAGGTAGAAACACAGAACAGATTAAGAAGCAATCTGATTTGACAGGGTTGTTTTCAGTTCTATCAAATTTTGAGGTTTGAGTTGGTTAAGGCTTGATCCATCATTTGTATTCACATTTTCTCAGAGCTGCTTGTAGCATTACCACTGCCTTGATTGTCTTATACTGACAAAAGAAGCAACATTGGTCATGATTGTGAACTTGTCTCCCTTCAAAATAGTTTGATGTGGATTGATCATCAACACAATACAAAGAAATGACAAGAACCTGGACAGACAGGTTAAATAGTTAAGCTCTGGATGAACTTGAAAGAAGTAGACACAGCAGAGATGATGCTACTCTTACATGCAACAGAACAGGAGGAATAAAAAGTGAGCTACATAGACAAGTGAGCTAGGTCCAGTTTGAAAACTGGACAAAAATAATGAGAGAAAGAATTACTCTGAGTTTTCACATTTATAATGGTTAGGAACAAACTCAGATATCAAGGGAGGACATGTACATATGAAAGCTTAAGGGGAACAGGAAACGTCACAAACAATCACAAACAAGAAATAGATGAACATGAGCCTTTTCCTAAATTGGCTTGATGAAAAACAACTATTGTACTGACTTAAATAAACAAAAATGGAACTCTGTAACACTTTCTTGAGACTGTTACCAGTGCTTGCACAACATTCCCACAATTCAGATTTGTAATGTACTTGACACTTTCGACCTTTTACAACAACACCTTTGAGAGAGCCCTCTTAGGACTTGATCCAAATACTAACACCAAGTTATTTTTGTGAGACTGCTTTCATAAGGGCTTTGGAGATATTTCCCCCTGTAGATTGCATTGTCTAGATATCAAAGAGCTGAAAACCTCCCAATTAGACAAAGTGAGACCAAGTCTGGCTCGCAGCGCCGTGCAGCGCTGCTGACCGCAATTTGGGTAACGTAGCTTTAATTTGGGGGGGACAAGCTCGGTAGTTTCAGCGGTAGCTTTGCCATTTTTTTTGGCAAAGTTTAGTAGTGGGCAGCGTAATTTTAAGTCGCAGCGTCTCGCAGCGTTGCCAGCCAAAATGTAGCGTTTTTTTCTTTTGTATTCACAATAAGAAAAAAAAGTTTCAAACTACAAAACTTGTATTGTAAAGACCGTCAAGAAAGGTGCAAAAGGTTAACAAAAAATACTACTGTAAAGACTGTAAAGAAATATGAAAGAGAGAAAAAGATTGACTTTAAAAAAATAACTCATAAAAAATGGAATCAACAAGTTAAAGTTAGAATTGAGACTGTCTGGTCTTTTTTTTGATTGCTTTCTTTGCGAACTCAATCACCTTTCCCACTTCAGCAAAATCACCAGTCAAAGGAACACCTTCTGTTCTCCATAACTGACTACTTACCAGCATCTCAATCATACGAGGTGCTCGGCCACCACGTTCTGCAACACAGATTCGCCCTGCGAAAGAGAATGATCTCTCAGGGGCAGCAGAAGCGGCTGGGGTTGCAAGGTAATCCTGAGCCAGTACGGACAAGACCGGGTATTTCCCTGCATGAGCCTGAAGAAAAACCAGGATCAGTATGGTATACAAACAACATAAAAAGAGAGAGAAAAGAAGGAAACGAAAAGGAAATTCATACATACCTTCCACCAATCCAAAACGGATTGAGGATCCTTCAAATTAGCCGATCCCATTGGATCAATACCTTGAAGGTATCAATCAAGCTCATTAAGATCACTTGAGGTCACTACCTCATCATAGAAATTCATTGATTTGGATCCAAAAGCTTCAACTTCAGGTGATTCAGATCGTCGAAGAGTAGCAGTTGGTTGGTTATGGAGTTCCATTTCATCACGTTTGTTGGTAAAAACAGCTTTCAGTAATTCCTCGGCTCGATTGTTGCCTTCTGCGCCCATCCCGAAAGAGTGAGAAAAAAACTTGACTCTAAGTGCAGGGTGGAAGACTGCGGCCAGGATCAGAGTGTCGCATTCACTTGCTTCATTTAAATAAGAAATGATCTTATCGATCATGATATCAACCATGGGATAAAGGGGATCATTCTGGTGCATCCGTTTGAATCGTTAGATGAATGTACTTTGCCAAAACGAGACAACCTGTTGGTTGATCTCCCTCCATCTCACGAGTTAAAATTTTATAAGGCTGTGAAGCAGATCAAAAATTCAGATTAGTATCAGGTTGATTTCAAGATTAAAATAAAACAGATAAGAAAGATGAAAGCGAAATGGAAGGAGTACTTACAGTGAGAATGTCTAACAGGTCTCTCAACGCTTGCCAATAGGCCACTGAAAATATGACCTCTTCAAAATAACCGTATTTCTTGCCATCTTTTTTTGGACGACGTTTCTTAGAATGAACCTCAGCCAAGTTGTCTTTCATGACTCTATCGATGAGCTAAACCAAAATTACAATTATTAGCATCATATATAATGGAAGACAAAGACCAGACCACTTACATCACGAGCGGCCCACATTCTCTCCCAACGCTCAGCTTGGATACCCCAACGGATCCCATGGCCTGATAGAAGGGCCTTGAGCTGAGGTAAATCATCAAGCTTACGCTGGGTCTTTGCTCTCTCTCGACGTTGATTAAAGTTGGCCCGGTGTCCACTTGAACGCGTTAGCTTCTTGTTCACCGTGTCCATCTGCAAGTGTAAATAAAAAACATTAGATTATAGAGCGATGAAATGAAAGTAGGAAAAGAAGTGCTTACATCTTTAGTGAGCTGTTTCATATACGTGTCACCAAGAAGATAAGCATTCTTGCGCTGTTTGTAAACCTCAGGCTCGTCATCCTGTTCTGCGTCTTCTTGTTCTTTGTCAGTTTCGCATTCTGAATTTGATTTGTCGGATCCACTACTGTGATTGCTGTCGAGATCATCATCATCACTTGTCCCACCCTCAACCGAATCGATGGTGTTGTAGGTGCCATTCAGCTCGTCGTCCTCATTGATCACAGACATTACTTGAACCTCGGGAAAACGACCTAGAGCACTATGACGGACTCGTCTGGGCTTCATTCCAAGGGCATCGAGACCTGCCTTAACAATGAGCCCCATCTTGTGGCAGAAACATCGTATCGTCATCTTCTTTGGATTCCAAAGAAGCTGATGATCAACATGGAAACTTGCTTCCTTGAGTTGTTTATGAATCTCGCGGGCCATAGTAAAATTGTTACTGACTGAGTCGGATACACTAGCGAGCATGTGTAATTAAAACTTATGTCAGATTTCAAAGCAAATCTGAATTAAAAAGGGAGAGACGATGAACAATGAGACTTATCTTTTGATACAGGTTGTTCTTTTTTAAGATAGCCACCATTGGCTCCGCGAGTAAAACGCCCTTGTGATGCCACGCGACGAGCTTCATGCTGAGATGCCGAATCACATATGTCCAGTCGTTGTTGATGTAGGAGACCGAGGAACCGATGAACGCATGCAAGTTTCCTTTAACTGTCCATACATCTTGGATTGGGCAGAACTTGCTACGCAAGTTCTGCAATCAAAATAGTTAATATGTCATTCAAAACGTTTGGAGAAATAAATGAAAATACATACCTTGAGCTCGTTTTCGATGACCAGATCCCGGAGCGAGAGGTAAAGCCGTTTAGCCTTGTCAGCTGACCATTTGCGGCCAAACACTTGAGCATCAGGGCGTAGCCAATGTATGATGGACTTAAGGATCGGGTCTTCAATTCGGATGAAGGGGAGGGCGTGTGATACTTGCCAAATTGCTAAGCATTGATTGAGGGTTTTGTTGGAAAACGTTGGCACCGACTTTACAAAACACGAGAGGGATGTCTGGTGGGTTTGACGCAGGCGTTCAGCTCGTAGTTCAGATACGGTTGGAGGAAGCTTGGCACCAGCTTCGATGGCCTGCTGACGACGATGGCAGCCGGCTCCAGATTTCCCGGGTTGGTTGTGGCCGTCTCGATGGGCTTTGAGGTTTGACCTAGAGCTACCGCTGATGCGAACCACCTTGCGACACCATAGGCAACCGTAAGAGAGTCCAGGTCTGTCGAGTGGCTACATAGACAGGTTTAGTATCAGCTCTGAGGTTACAAATGTGAAGTTGATTCATGATAATCAACATTTTTATTTTGTTTTACGTACATCATTTTCACCGTGAGTTGGTTTTCCAAAGAATTTATATGGGCAATCATATTCAGTCTCAGCCGGTTGGTTCCGTTTTTGCTTTCGAATGCGCAGATTCTCGTCATCGGAATCTTGGGCCAAATCGACTTCGGGAGGGCCTGTCTCCTAAAGATGGTGTGATGACAAACAACACCAATCAGTTATGTATGTCATACTTACAATTTATGTAACACCAATTTAACTTACAATGGGGGTTGCTACTCTGGTTGGGGCCCTGGAACTAACCGCGGTCAAAACGATAGATGAACCTTCAGAGTTTTATAACTCAGAGCCGGTGGCAGAGTGCGAATGTGATCGGCTGGAGTTCTGTGTCACCTATGTAATCATTGTATAACGAAAAGATAAGAAAGATATATTTAAGAGAAACACAATGAAAAGAACGATGAAATTAAGAAACACTTACAGATGGACGTGATACAGTATTGGATCGGCCACGCGTTGGTGCACGAATGACTTCATCGCCAGGTAAGGAAGCCGAACGTTCTCGCCTTCGGTGGACATGCCCGTCCCGTACGTCCCTTACGCCGAAGTTGAAGTCAACAAGTCCACGTCGTGAGTCAGAAGAAGGGGTGATCATCCCCGGGACTCGTCTGGCAGGAGTGATTATGCGAGATGAACGACGAGGGGGAGCAGGTTCGTCAGTTTCATATCCCGCAGCCAAAAAGCTGTCGATCGTAGGTTGCTTGTTCAACATGCTGAAATATTTATCAGTAATGTTTTTAGGAATATAAGATGGAAGGAGTAAAGCGGAAAATGGAGAATTCAAAATCAAAGTCAAAGAAAGATAAACGAAGTCGAGGAAAAGTTGATGTGGTGATGATTGATTTGGTACGTTTGGATTGGAAACGGTCTGAATTGGCGTATTGGAGTAGGATGTTAGTGGTACTGGTCAACTGAAATATCAACGAGTTGAAAAGTTGGAAGATGGATGGGAGAACACACCTGATATATAGGGTTTCTCTCGATGAGAAACCCTCTCGCTCCTGCCCACGGACCGTGCAATCGGTAATGTTTGATTGGTTGGGCCACTGTGAGATCTGTGCGTGTTGATATCGATCTATTTGGCGGCATTTGTTGATGCTGTGGTGGGTAGGGTTTTGATATTGAGGAAGTGGTGTTCTGGTGGGTGGTGTGGTGTATGGAATCATGGCGTCAAGCCAAGGATAGCGGTGTGAATACCGGGCCCAGACCCGGTAGTTGAAAGCGTAGTTCCCCAAAATTCGGGGCTTAATTGCTAGCGGGAGGCGTAGTGCCCGGGTTCCCTTCGAACCGGTTATCGAAGCGGCTGCGCCATGCGCAGCGCTACGCCGCGCATCACGCTTTCTTCGGCGCGGCGAGCCAGATTTGGTGAGACACATGTGGCACAGGCCTCTGTTTGGATTCAAAGGCATGCTATTTGGCTGATCAGCAAGATAGCAAGGTATTTTATCACAGAGGCACCAAAGATGTGTGCTTGGGGCACAATTGGTATGCAAAATCAAAGTCTGAACACAATCAACCTACCTATGTCCTCAACTCTCACTGTCTCAGTGCACCTCAACAAAAGAAAATATGCATTTTGTATCCTGAAGATAATCCATAAGGTTTTTCTGTAAAGTTTTTTTTGTCTGCACTGAAAACTATCAAAGGATGCCTGTAAGAACTCGAGAACCTTTGAATGACGTGAACTGGTTGATGTTGTTGCTACTTAGACTGATCAAGAAGATAACAATACTTGTCTTTTTCTGTCTGTCTAGGGTCCTTAGGCCATGTTATGCCAGTGCTTCACGCATTCAAAATTTGAGTTGTTTTCACAAGTCAATGCCTTCAAGTCTCAAGTTCTCCTTGCATTCTTTTCTGCGGGTTTTATCTACATGTCTAGCCTTTTCATTTTGTGTTCTCTCAGTGCTTTGCTGAATCCAAAACCAAGACTCTACCCTGCATTTTTTGCTCTTTTTGAGCTCTCAAACATCGATTTCTACGATTCTTATATTATAGACAAGGAAATCGGTTTTTGCGGGTCTTTCCTCAAAAATTGAGGGTGAATCCCATTTTTTCACATTCTCTTCTGCGAAACGCTCCGAATCTGTGTTGCATACATAGCTCTACAGTAAACTTAACCAAGCCCCTCGCGCGCCCTTGAAGAGGGGCTTATAAATGTCTCTCGTTGTTTTGGAGAAGTAGACGCGGCCGTGCGAGCGGTTTAGTATAGTGAAGCTGGCACTCCACACGCGCTTCCCACAAGGCTCCTACCCGTTGGTAGTCGAGAAGTGGCTTTCGCCACCGTATGTCTTCGGCAGCGCGGTTGTAATCTTACTCTCCCCAGTTGTTGCGAGAGGCCAGTCAAAAATTTATAAAAACCTCTGTCAACTACCTCTTCGCCCTCCTCATCACCCATCTTACAATCAAATATTCAAAATCAACTTGTCTCGTTCGTTACATCCAAAACAAAATTTCATCATGCTTTTCTCGAAATTAGTTATTGCTGCTGTTCTAGTTGGTCAGTTGATGGTCGACCCATGATCCCTGATATATAATTCACTTTTTCCTTCATACTAACCTCCCCGCCCAATTATACAGTCTCAGTCTCTAGCACACCCACTCAAAAGAACCAAATGTGGGTGAAGTCTTTGTGTTGCTATATAATCAAATTATGTACTAATGGTCCTGGATTAAATAATTGATAACAGTACCGATGATGCTGTCCTGCAAAGACGAGCTGCGGAGGTCAACGTATTTGAAAAGAGAAGGTAAGTTGAGGCTGCATGAGAATCCACTAGTCTAAAGATGCACCTCAATTTGCTGACTGTCAATGTCGTTTTCCTTTCAAAGATCTTCGGTGAGTCACTGCGGGGTCTGTGACCCGGATGAATGCCAACTCAAATTATCAGGATGCAGAGCTGCTGGCTGTTGTTGACTGGAGTGAATCAATGGAACCCATCTTTTACACTATTGCAAAGAGATGATGAAAGGTTACACCTACCTCTTGTTCATTTGTTTTCTGCGCTAGGGGTTCTGTGTCTAGTTTCGATTTCGTGCATGTGTTCATTCTCAGTTTCTTGACTCTTGCTTCCTTATTCTATCAGCCTGATGTTTCTCACGCGCTAGATGTGATCCCTTTCAGTTGCTCTCTTGTTCTGATCTTTTCACTTTTGTTTCCTTGAATCTGGTTTTTGTTCCTACAATTTAATTTTCCAATTAAGTGAGAATGCATCAACACATCCAAGTGACCTCAAAATGTGCTTGTGAGATTACTGTGGAGTTGAAAATGTTGATGGGGGTCAATCAACATAGCATTTCATGGAATGCAACTTTGATCGATTCAATCATCAAGTTAAAGCCAGCCTATCAAGACTTCATCATCAAACTAACTATCAAACCTTGCCATTAAATTTACTTGGTTCTCAATTCACATAATCAACTAATATTCCAATGAAATAAATCAAACTCATTGATTCAATTGTTTCTCAAATTCAAAAAGGCCATCAACTGAAATACAAGAGATAAACCAATCAAACTTAAATGGTTTTATTCACCATGTTTTAAACAAATGTAAAAGTTGTCCAGGTTGCTTAATAGCATCAAAACGTGGTAAATTACCGATCTAACCAAAAAGTTGCTCAAAATCAATGTTCCGTCAATTATTCAAACCATCATCTGAAGCAGAAAACACTGGAAAGACATTACTCACAATAGAAGCATTAGATCCACAACAACAATATTCAACGTCAGAATATCTACCATCAGTTCATGTTTCTTGTTGAGCAACTTCATGTACATTTGTAAACAAGTTCAGATGAAGTAGGGTCAGGGCCAGATTTCGCTGATTATCCTTACACCAAATCAAGTAACCGGATTGGTTATTAGTAAAAGCTTAGGAAAAGAAAAAATTGTAACAAATCAACTTAAACCTATGATAGCAGATGGATATGCAGATCACGGAGGATTATCTTCTGTGATAAAATTAGTTAGATGATTTGGAGGATCGAAATTACTGTGGTTTGATCACACGAGGGACTGACCTAGCCCCCGGATAATTCCACTGGAATCTGCAGATAATGATTATGATTTGCCCCACAGATCTTTGCCTATGTCATCGATGAGATAGATATGGTTTTTTCCAAACGTGGATTGGGATCAGGGAGGAAAAAGGTGTGCTTTTGTATCATCTCATTTTTTTGAAGAAAAACAGTCTAGATATCATTATTCATATCTACTCCATCTAAATCAGAGATCACGACTAGACACCGAGATCCCAAGGCAGAAAACAAATGAATAAAAGGCGACCTTGCATCATCTCTTTGCAATAGTATAAAATGGGGGTACCATCAGGGATGCAGGAATGAGTACCGAGTATGAGTATATACTCAACTGATACTCACTTTGTACGGGTTTACAGGGCCAAAAATAGGCAAAAATACTCAGTATACTCAATAATACTCACTTTACTGAGTAAACTCATACTCACTCCTGCATCACCATCGGTCCACTCCAGTTTTGTAGTAAAGTACGTAATGGCTCGATTGCATACAACACTAACTGAACGGTACAAACGGAAAGACTAGTCCCCCTTAAAAAAGGTCATCTGGTCGAAGCGTGGTGTGTTGACTTTAGAGTGTATGTGGGTTATTATTCTAATTCCTATGATGATGACAACAGCCAGCATCTTTACATCCTGATGAATCGGATTCGCATTCAGTAGGGTCACAGGCCCCGCATGGACTCCCTCGAGATCTTTGAGAGGAAAACCACATTCACACCAGTCAGCAAATCGAGGTGCAGCGTTTGATTAGCGGATGCTCATGCAGCCTCAACTTACCCTCTCTTTCCGAATACCTTGACCGCCGCAGCTCGTCTTTGCAGGACAGCATCATTGGTCCTGTTATCAATTATATACCCCATTAGGACCCAATTTGATTTCAAAGAGTCACATAGACTTCACTCACATTTGGTTCTTTTCAGTGGGTGTGCTAGAGACTGAGACTGTATACGTAGAAAGGGAGGTTAGTATGATGGAAAAAGTGGATTATATATCAGGACTCATGGTTTAACTGACCAGCTAGGACAGCAGCAATAACTAATTTTAAGAAAAGCATGATGAAGGATTTGATTTTGAATATTCGATTTTAAGATGGGTGATGAGGAGGGCGAAGAGGTAGTTGACGGAGGTTCATATAGATTTTTGACTGGCCTCTCGCAAAAACTGAAGAGAGTCACCACCAGAAACGTACGGTGGCGAAAGCCACTTCTCGACTACCAACGGGTAGTACCTGTATGTAGCTGATAGCTGAGCATTTACTCAGATGTTTGCACATATGTAGTGTATGCTTTATGGCTCAGATGTGCAGTGGAGAGTCAATTATAAGCCTATAAGCCCTTCTTCGAGGGCGCGCACGAGGCCGCGCGAGGGGCTTAGTCAAACTTGCTGTGGAGTTTATATGCGACGCAGATTCCGAGTTTTTCGCGGAAAAAATGCGAAATAGTCGGATTCGCATCTCATGTTTTTGGGGACAGAGCCGCGAACACCAACCTTTTCGTCTGACATAAGAATCATAGAAAATAGTGTTTGAAAGGTAAATAACGAACAAAAATTTTGATTAAGCAAAGCATTGAGAGAAGATAAATCATCAAACAGGCTAGACATGTGAGCAAAGCCCACAGAAAGAATGACAAGGGCGGATTTGAGGCTTGAAGGTAATTTTTACTCGGTAAAAACTCAACATTTGAATGCGTGAAGCAGTGGAAACAATAACCTAAAAACACTAGACAGACAGAAAAAAAATGTCAGAACCGGCCAAATTATAAAACACAGCTTCTTAGCATATGGTAATATAGCACCAAAATTGGTGAATATTTTTTGTGCAAAGTCTGAAAAGGGATTGTTTTGACCTCTTGTAGAAATTTTTAGCTCGGTTGCAAGTGATAGTTTTTAATAGCAGATGACCATTTATCTGTAGTGGATGTGTTCCACTAAAGCAAGATTCCATGTAAGTGCCCTTTGGGCCTACATGCTTTGCTTCTTGGTTTGGTAGGCCTTGAAGGGCACGGAGTTAGATTGGGTGAATACGTATTACAAGGAACTATACCTGAACCCAAATCAAATAATCAGACTGCAAGTGAACAAATCCATACTTTACAATTGAAATCAATCAATGTCAATTTCTTCATTCCTTGGATGTACATAAGTCCAGCCCAATAAAAGATGACTGTTTTGATCATGGGTTAGTAGATCAGGTCTGCAAAGTGCGTCCGGCGTGCATGCAAGACTTGATGGCGCAATGGTAGCGCGTCCGACTCCAGAAATGGTCCCATCGGAAGGCTGCGTGTTCAAGTCACGTTCGGGTCAGCGTCTGTTTTTGACGATCTTTGGTCTCCCTCAACGCCGCTGTCCAGATTGTTAGGATGTCGGTCGCATCTTTCTGATTTATTTTGAGGCATGTGTGATGCTGTCGATGAATCATGATCGATGGAGGATACTGATGGGTCGAGGTGTCAGATTGAGAAATGTGTATATCGAGTGTTGAGATGACGTTATGTTACAGAGAATAAAATGGACGCGTAATTCAGATCGATCGAACTTATCATCATCACCTTCAATTCGATCAAATTCCCAACTAATCACTTCCTCTTCACCTCTCCCTACCTCACAATGTTCAGAAACAACGTAAGTCTACATCTAAAAACCCTCATATCCATCTCAGAGACTACCCTTGCTCACTTGTTGTCATCGTGTTTATTGTCCATTCCGAATACCTTTCTTAGTACGATTCTGAGTTGAGTCTGAAACTGCCCTCAACTACTATGACCAAGCAAGCTGATCTTTTCTTCGATTGGAAATGATCGCCCTGAATCTAAAGCAACACAGTCTTCTCCCCTCAAGGTCGTCTTCATCAAGTTGAATATGCACTTGAAGCGGTTAAACAAGGATCGGCATGTGTAGGGATGAGAAACAAAACGCATGTCCTTTTACTTGCATTGAAGGTATTTGATCCTTATTCAACTTATCTAAACCTTCCGGTCAATTTATTGAACTTTCTTTTTGATTGTCTTCCTTCAAATTTAGCGTTCAACTGGAGAATTGGCCTCTTATCAAAAGAAGCTTATCCGAATTGACGATCACATTGGTATCGCAATCGCTGGTCTTACTAGTGATGCTCGAGTGCTTTCGTGAGCCTACTCAAACCATCTCTGTTCCGATACATTTGCCCGGACGGTAAATTTACACATTTTGCTATGTAGGAACTTTATGAGGCAACAGTCTATGTCCTCACGATTACTTTACAACCGTCCACTGCCACTCGCTCGAGCCGTAACTGCAATTGCCGATAGTAGGTGATATCTATCTTCCACCCATTTTAATACGTAGCTCATATGGACCTATCACCGCTATCGCATACACTCTACTATCGATGTCTAGAGGCTCAAGTAAATACTCAACAGTATGGACGTAGACCTTATGGTGTCGGTTTCTTGGTTGGTGGACATGATGTAAGTGTGAGAGGGCGGTGAACAAGCCACTTCTATGTTTAGCTGATGGTGAATAAATCTCATAGGAGACTGGACCTCATCTATACGAATTTAGTCCATCTGGTAATTGCCTAGAATACTATGCTATGTCTATTGGAGCTCGATCTCAATCAGCAAAAACTTATCTTGAGAAACATTTCGAGAGCTTTCTAGAATGTTTGTCTTTGTATTTCTCCAATCTGAATCAATAATATGACATCTACTTACTTATGGTTGTTTTGTTGATGTAGGTGATTTGGATGCACTCATCAAACACGGACTTCATGCTTTGAGAGATACACTTCAACAAGACAAAGAACTTACAACCCTCAATACTTCTTTAGGAATTGTAGGACCAGATCATAAGTTTCAAATTATTGAGGGTCAAGATCTTGCTGCTTATCTTGCTACTATGGACCCACAGGAAGATCGTAATGCACCTCAAGCAAGCGAGGTTGCACCTATGGAGACTGATCCTTAATTTCACACAAAATGAAATAAAATGTTTTTCTTTGCAATATATGAAACAAATTTGGCAAAAGTTGCAGCTTAATGACCTAACAGTCTGTCACGCCCTGCGCCAAGATTACGGACGCCGAAAACGCAATGGGATGTACTATGTAGGGCTGCTTGGTATGAGCTGTTTGTGTTCTCCCAGTCAATCCCATGTTGGTTTGATTCAATGCAAGTCCTAGTCCAGGTTGTATCCAAGTCTTTTGATGGGCAGGAAAGGTGGATACTCATAGATGAACATCTCTGCATCAAAGACAATATCTCACTGGGTGGTCATTGTCATGTTATAAATTGGCTCAATAGCATTGTAGCAAATTTGATATATGAATTTATGACAGGTATGCCTTGTCCAGCAGGTGGGAAACCAAAGCAGAAAAAGAACTCATGTATGGTTTGTACATACATATTGCCACACTTGGCAACTTCTTTAAATCTTTTACATAGCACATTGTGCTGGTCCATGTTCAAACCAAGAGTTCATAGATAGAAACTGGCTCTTAACAAAAATGCTGTATGTAGGTTCCCAAGTTTTAAAAAGCACTTGAAGAAATGTCCACCTCTTTTAAAAATTCAAACTTTACAGCACTGGGAGGCAAAACTGTTCAAATTGTACACAACAGTTTTGGCCAACGTCAGCAAACTTGTTGGTGTTTGCCAAAACACAATTGGTGCACAGCTTCATGAGAGGAAGCTCAACTATTCACAAGGAATTTCTTGACTTCAATGAACTCCTGGGCCAAACTCCCTTTGATAGTAGAAATTGTACTGTAGCATTTCCCTCAAGATTTCCTTGAATTCAGGGATCCATGCAGCTGCCTTGCATCTCCCTACCATACAATAATAAGCCAAGTAGTTGATCCAAGAAAATTTAACAAGGTAAAAACAACTCTCAGGAATACTTTGGGTTTTAATCACCTTGAAGTGCTCTACTATATCCACATGCAAGCTGATTGTGTCAGTAGAGTATGCAGTCTACTTGTTTGGAACACCAAGATACCCCTCCTTCAATTTATCTAGCATGCTTCCTATATCTTCACCAAGTTTTACTTGGAAACAATTGCATGATGATATTTTATTAATATTCACAAGTGTTATTGATTGACCTTATCTGGGACCTAATTATACTGAAGTGATGAGTCATGACCTTCACTAGATCCATTGATATGAAACATCTTTAGCTAAATTTTGGAGGGAGCTCCCCGGCTAAGCAGGGCTAAGCTAAGCAGGTGGCTTCCATTGATATATTTTTCTCAAAACTGTTCAAGAGAAACCAATTTTACATGCACCAGGTGTATGTTTTTCTCCTGGATACAAAGCTCTACATGATGTTTTTCAAGCAATGAACCATCAGAGTTGAAAAATGCCTCTATCAGATTCTGATCGGTTGAACATGATGGGCAAGTCAGATGAATGATAAAAAAGCAAAAGAATGATCATGAATGAGAATTAGAAAACTGAGAACATGACTTGTGTTCATTTTGGCGGAAGATGTTAATGTATTTTTTTGAATGAAAATACATTCCCATACAGCATTTATTGATGAAGTCTCCGACTGTCCCATTGGGGTCCTCCCCTAATCTCCATCGTTCCCAGTTTCTGCGTCGCAAATGACCATCATCCAATTTATCCCTTTCCGTGCCTTCGATCCCGAGGCGTCGAATAACCAAGATATATGCTATCCGAGGATATTTGAAAAATAAATGCTGGGACGTTCGGTCTATCAGCTTCAGCCCCAGCCTTACCGACAATCCATCGAACTCGTTCGCTCAATTCGCACGACGTAAAGGCGTGATGCAAAGTCACTTGTGACTAGGTAACTGACGAAATAAATGGATATGGATGATAAGCATTGCACAGCCTCTGGCTTCGCCATGAGATAGGAGAGGAATTAATGCAGCATGATCACCCCAGTCAACGAGCAGCTGTTTGCCATGGCCATGGTAAGGGCCTCTTGTGATGGTATTCAAAGATTTCGTGAACCCTTGAGGTTCAGGTCTCGGTATCCATGACTGAAGCGGTCAAGAAGCAAGACCTTTAGCATAGGCAAGTCGCTTGCTTGGTTTGATGGTGTGCTTCCCAAGACCCTCCGAGGTATATATATATATTGTCTAGAAGCAGCCTCGCCCTCACCTCTTCTTCAATAATCCCTTAATCCCCATTAATCCCTTTTCCTTTTTTTATCTTCCCTTCTTTGCATTCTCCATCAATCAGTTGATTTCAGTTCACTTTTTCTGTGCAAAGCCATCACACCATACCACCGCGAAAAGGGTACTATAAGAGACTTTCAGACTTTATCTTTGTGAACAATCAAAGAATTCCATTTCTTATCTCTGTACTCAGTCATCGCCAATCGGGACTTTGAACCTGTAAAAACACACCACCGAAGATGTATAAAGTTGTCCAATTCACTTGTTTAATAGGCCTCGTTGCGTCCCTGCATGCTTCGATAATATCTCCTCGAGGTTTGTTGATAGAAATTACACATGAAGGCATTATTGTGATCTTGAGCTGAAATGTTTTTTTACCTCATCTGCTAGCATCTGGTCCGGCGGTCACCATCCAATCTGGGACATTCAAAGGAAATTCATCAGGTGTGATTGATGCATTTTATGGAATCCCATATGTTTGTTTCTTTTCATAGCTCTCTCTTTGTAAATCTTCTTGACGTTGAATCAATTCAACTACTCATTTTTCGTCATCCGGTTGGATAGGCTGCCCCACCTCTAGGTCCTCTGCGCTTCAAACCACCAACACCGCTCACTAGGAACTTTCCTGATTTTGATGCCACGGTAAGCCTTTCATTCAGTCAATACCATTCATCAGGCGAAAGACATCCAAAACTAAATTCTGTGCTTGTTTGTTTCACGCAAACCACTAAAAGCGCCAACCTCCGGCTTGCACTCAGCATGGTAACCCGGCGGGAAAATTGACCAAAATGCTACCTATAAAGGTACCTGAGGTCACAGGTCAAGAGGATTGTTTGACACTTGATGTAGGTCCTCTCACGCAAATTCTTGAACTGAATCTCTGGTGCCCTTCTTTGACAACACTTTATCTTTTTAGATCATCAGGCCCAGTGGAGTGAAAAAGGGTGACAAGTTACCAGTATTTTTTTGGATATGTTAGTATTTTTTTGGCCAGATAATCGTTCTACAAACTTCCCAAATTTACATTGATTGCTATTTTTAGTCGCCGGAGGATTCACATTCGGTTTCTCGACTCAGAACAAAGGTGATAACCTTGTGAAAAAAAGTGTGGAGATGAAAAAACCAATGATCTTTGTTGCCATCAATCATAGGCTCAATGTTAGTCCAGCTCCGTACTGAAGAAACTAAAATCCATGGTTTATATGTCCCTAACTCCATAATGCTTTGGGTTTATGTGTAGATGTTCGGTTTTCTGGGCGGAAAAGAAATCGCGGCTGAGGGATCAGGTAATTTGGGATTGCTGGACCAAAGAATGGCACTTGAATGGGTTCAGGTAAGACTTTTCACTTTCATACCAATACCCTTCCTGCATGATACTCAGTTTTCTGAACGAACGCTTAGGCCAACATCGCAGAGTTTGGGGGAGATCCAACGCAAGTAACGATAGGTGGTGCCTCATGTACGTTTACTTGCTATGCCACTTGCCACTTTTCAAGAAAGAAAAGTTCGGATTCTGACCTTTTGGTTCAATCTACCAGCTGGAGGGATGTCGGTTGTCTACCAAATGATGGCAAACGGTGGAAATCACAAAAACTTGTTCAGGGGCGTGATCTCCGAGAGTGGATCTCCTATTTCTGCTGGCCGTGAGTAGATGATTAGAAACCTGGACATATTTTTACCACCGATGCTGATTTGAAAGTGTCTCTCCGTGTAAAGGCTTGGCCGATGGAAGCGGACAGTCTGTTTACGATACGATTGTCAAAGATTCAGGATGCGCTGGTACACCAAACACATTGGAATGTTTACGATCCGCCGACTACACCAAATTAACGTAAGTGAAATCCAGGATCGTCGTATTCACCCAAAGTTGATTGATTGGAAAATGTTTTTCATTCATTTTTGATTTAGCACTGCGATGGCAAAGATGCCAGAGTCCGTCCCTGGTTACCCATTCATCTTGACATTTTTTCCACGGATCGATGGTAAGCCCTTTCACAGAGTCCCAGTTTGGATCTCGTCTTCTGAAAAATCTTCGATTCAACGAATTGTAGATAAATTTCTCACCAGTTCTATGGAGGATGCATTGTCTAGTGGTAAAGGTGAATTTTCATCTCAACATATCTAGAAAAATCTATTACAACTTATGATTGAGCTAACCCCAATCCTATCACAGTTGCGAAGGTATCAATCATATCGGGCGCTGAGGATGATGAAGGAACAGGTTTTGGAATCTTGTTAGGAACAAAGCTCAACCTTCCGGACGATCTTAGCAATAGTTAGTCATAACTATTCCGCCTTCCTCATATCGTGTTACATTGGGCTATGATGTTCGCAAATTGACTCCATATCCTTTGATTATCTCAATCCAGAGCTCAAGCATCTTATGCCAGCCATGACCGCTCCTCAATTGGACAAGCTCCTCACGTTATACCACTCTGATGACGTTACTCAGGGTTCACCCTTTAATACGGGATATTTCAATGTTTTATCACCCTTTTACAAGCAGTTCTCCGCCATCATGGGTGATGTCGTTTTCCAGGTATGGGTCTTCTCTGTTTTTTTTGCGTACATATGCTCATAAATTTTCATATAGGCTCCGCGTCGATTGCTTACGCGCTCCACCCAAGCTGTGATGCCAAGTTATGGATACATTGATCGTGGCTCCAAGAGTTTACCTTATTTAGGTTAGCACATATTTTTCATGAGAAAAGAAACAAAGCTGAACCCAAACAAAATCCATCAATGAGCAGGTTCTGCACACGCTAGTGAGCTCACGGCCGTTTTCGGACAAATGCCAGGCCCTCGTACCAACGATTTTCAATCTCGCTGGATCAGTTTTGTCAACGCCCTTGACCCCAATTCAGCTGGATTACCACGTTGGGAGCGTTATGGATCAGGAGGAGGCCAAGTCTTGGAATTCAAGGATCTTGGTTCATCAGGTACAATCCCAGATGATTTCAGAGCGGATGGCACCAATTTCGTGATTGAAAACATGAAGGCTTTGAGAATCATTGCTCCATAGTTTGATTATCATTCTATCTTTGTAGTTATAGTGCACATAGGGTTTATCTTTCTGAATTGTATAATTAGTCATACTCATAGGATTTTTTTTGGATTGGATACCAACATCGGAGCCAAAGCGTTTGCAGTCATATAGGTCATATGTGATCACCAAAAACGGAAGCTTGTGAAATCATAGCATGCCAAAACTCCAGATACGAAGAAAATGGCTTATTTGTTCCTCCAGCCATTGGCTCAACATTGAATGTCAATATCACTTGTCTTATTAGAAGCGCATACATTCTAACTGAATCGCGATCGCAGTTCACTCAATGGCTTCTGGAATTGACAAGTGGTCTGCCTGAGATCTATAACCAACCTTGTTCATGAAATCCAATTGACCTGGTGGACATCCATCAAAGTACAATACTCAAAGTCATCGTGTGATTGCTTTCGCATGTCCGATAGGTGACAGAATCGCTTCAACTTGGATTTCTAGGACACCTCATATCGGGCCGTTTTAGCACTTTGGCAGGCCCCGTATTGAGTAACAGAAATTTACAAGTGATCTGAAGGTTTGCAAGAACAGCATCTGGGCGAGTCGTCAATCATGTGCCAAAGGGGCCCCAAGTGCATGCAGAAAGATATGAAGGTTAAGAGAGCCCTGTAATGAATTTTGCACTTGTGTCAAGTTAGATGTGAAGAAGTGGATCTGGAAGTGAGATTTGATGAGGTATGGGACCCTCAAAATGGGTGTTGGAGAAAAATGACACAAAAATTGAGCTGGTCTCACAATCACATCAAAGTCTCACCAAGTTTTTACATCAGCCACAAGCGCGTCTTAATTTCTTGTGAGATGAGAGAGGACTGTGTTCACTCAGATCTCCTCACTTTTTCTCATGGTGCAATTTATTCACTTCTGTGTTCATCCCCATCAAGTCTATGATTGATGCTTGTGGATATTAATCCGATGATACATGTTAGGGTAAGTTACATTGCTTGATCAAGTGTTGATAGAAAATCTGACCATCAATATAAGGAAAATGCACCCTAAGGGTGTGTTCACTTGAGGAATTTCTGACCAGAACTCACATTCTGTAAGATTTTTCATGCAAAAATGAAACATACACCATGTCTTTGTGGCAGTTGCCCGACAACAAGCGCACACGGACTGCCTTTGAGGCACAAAGGCAACTTGTGTGCACTTGTCAGTGAGCAAACACCACACGGACATGGTGATGCACCACCAAATAGACACTTCAAAGTTTGCAGAATGTGATTTCTTGAGTGAACACACCCTAAAACATTGTTGGAAATACAAAGAGCTCCTATCTATGTACACTTTGCTAGCTTCATAGATACAACTTAGCTTTCAAATGAGCTCACTATACATAAATGCATAATTGTAAACACAAAAAATGCTCAGATCTTGCCAGATATCTCCAAGCATTGTGCTTTGACAAACTACCAATCATACAAGTTTTATTCCAGAAGTTTCACAAAAATCTTGCAATTGATGAAAAGTCTTGGAAGTACAACAACTGACTTGAGTTTTTCTCCATCTTGATTAAATTTGGTTTTGGCCAAGTGTGTTCACATACCAATATCTGAAGTGTACACCAATCATCTCTTTCTTGAATGGAAGAAGGAAAAGTATAAGTTGTGCTTGCTTTTAATTCAGTTGGATCATCATTTCAAAACAATACTGAGAATTGAATTGAAATGGAAAAACAGGAGACTCAACACACAGAGGAAATGAATGCCATATCACAAAATGGTATGATAAGGGAGAAAGTTACAAACAAAATGAGTGACCATATCAGGCAATTATATGGGATTTTGACCAAAAGCTACATATAATCAAACCCATATAAAGCTGTACCCCTATACAGCCTTAACCCACCTGTAGCCATGGTTTTTTGGTTCTCCCAAGTTGGCCAGGGCCAAAATTGGTTAGAATCCCATAGTTCCCCCTATTTCAGTAACCCATACCCAAAATCAAAAAAAACTCTTCAATGTAAAGCCATAGAAAAATGGTCAGTATGGAGGTGTGAATCCCCAAAATTCAACCCTCTATCACTTCTTTCTTTTGTAGAAATTAAGAAACTCTTGTAATGTAGATGCACATTTAAGGATATACTTCTCATAAATTACTCAGCAGAGCACATGCTGAAAATTTTGATGGCAAGTTAGATTTTTTCAATGGGATCAGCTGATAGTCCAATCCATATAAAGTCATGTTCCTAAGACTGTAGAGGGACCACCCTCTGCAGTCATGTCTTTCATGTCTTTAGAGGTATTTCAATACATGTATAGCCATGAATGTATGTCTGTAGAGGGGCTTGCCAACAAAGACATAACCCCCTCTATAGCCATAGACTTTCCCTTCCACAGAGGGGTATGGCTTTAGAGGGATTTCACTGTATCTTTATGCAACAACTTAACCACCCTCACAAAGCAATTATCTCCTTGTAGGAATAGAGTGTAGAATGCTTACTTAGGACAGGAAAGATTCTGAACATAGAAATCAAGTAGATAAATTCAGAAGAGATCAGAAACCACAGATATAAATTACAGCCCCCAATCCCAAGTCACTGGTAGGCAGGCCAATGAGTTCCAGTGACTTGATGATGACTTGTATTGGGTTTGAATTGAATTACAGATAGATATGACTAAACTCAACAAAGTCTCACGCAGTCTGTGGTTGCTTGCAGCAGTCTGAACCTGCAAGGGACTTATGCCAAAGTTGCAGAAACTCAAAGCATGCTGTTGTGCTTTTTGCAGGAGGCTTCCTTGTAATCAATCCACACGGTTCCCTACCAAAGATTTTTATGTGGACCAAAGCACAGTTCCCGTGGAGAAGGCCCCCGACGTCGGGGGCCCAACAGTCTTGGCAAGTGTGTCGCATTTGTGTGAATTTTGTGTCACAAATGTCTACAAATGTACACAAAGGGCAAATATTGCATGCACATCACCCAGGCTGAACTTCATCAGTCTGAGTCAAGACTCAGGCAGATTAGGAGACGAGCAGCCCTGAACGCTCAGTATTACCGACTGAACGCTCATTTTTCCCTACTGAACGCTCAGTGTTCTTCACTGAACACCTAGAAGCTGCCTACGAATTATCCTTGCTCCGAGAAAAGCTAGTGACCATCCGCCTGTTCCACCTTGCATAGCTCGCTCGCACGTCCGAACACGCCTGCGGGGTCAGCTGTCAGATCAGATGAGTGGTCAACAGTCGGATAACTCCTCCTATGTAGTGAGTCTATGTAAAGTACATACATAAATCCATAATGTCAGTTCATGGTATCAAGTTTATTTACACATATCAAATTCAAATTTAATTGCTTGCAATCATTAAGTACATATGTATTTATTCCTCAATCCTCGTAACTTTTCAAGTCACATTGAATCTTACTCTGATGAAATCCCACCTGGTCCACATCCTATCAATCAATCATGAAGACAACCATCATCACCATCATCCCATGCCTGGAACCTATTTAAGAGAACATTATGTTAATGAACCTCATCCTTGTCCTTTGTCACCTCCAAATCAACTTCGTTCACGTCCCAGACCATCAGTGCCATCGCGTCTTTCAACTTCAGTCACTTGTCCACAATGCGTAGCTGACCCGTCCACTCGTACTCCACCCTTCAGTATCGCCTCTTCAGGATTTACATCATCTCAGTCGAATCTATTCTAATTGAAGTTACTCAAGTCTAGCAATGATTCATCACAAAATCCTGGACCTTTACTTGACTTCTCACCGCACACTAAGCTTTTGGCTCCATTCAGAGTGCGTTACGCTCTCACCTATCCGAAAAGAAAACTCCACATGAAAAGTAAGTTGATCACAAGTTTACTAACTTTTATTTTATTATTCTAGTCAACTAAAACACCTGCTCATTCTGAAATAGCCATAGCCAATGTATTCGAACGTATCACAGTAAGTACACCACTTGTATCAACGTCTTTAAATCCTAAAAATATCCATTTCTTCAATCTAGAATTAATAGCAAAGATGGTAAAGATTCATTTGATTTAGATATTCAAACCGGTATGGAAGAGTTTTGGCAAATTTTTCAATTACCATTCGCAAATACACCTGAAACGATTCATTTAGATGAACAAGCGATTAAACAAACAGTAGAAGAATTTTTGTCATTTAATGGTAGGGCTGCTGCTGCTTGTACAACACTTACTAGACCGTTTGCAAGTGATGAAGAAGGTCCTCATGCTGATTTGTTGAAACCTGCAATGAGGTATTTTTGCTTTGGTAGTCCATTCAGCTGATCATTTCTTTATAATCAATTAGCTGCAATCGTACAAAGTTCAAAAAAGGTTGGAACTCAAACTATTTTTGTCTTGATTGTAGATTATGCTTCATCAAATTCAACTCCATTCTTTTGTGATCTTGCAGAGGCTGTGATGTTAATCTTAGGGATTCCTTTTAGAATGAGACTTTTACCACAAATGACAGAAGATCCTGCTGCATCTTATTATCGACTAGAAGAAGCTTATACTCAAAACTTGGCACTTGAACCACTCTTTGAATTATATGAAAGACGAAAGGTTACGTTTTCAAGAGTAATTTGGCTGAAAGGTTTTACTTATCGTGACTTACTAGAGACTTTAAGGATCAGTCTTATGAATCAAGCAACAATGGTCTGTAGTATGGATTGGAAAGAACATGATGTTTTTTTAATTTCCAACAATCGGTAAGTCATTGTACATCGATTCAAATATTTGATTGGTTTTCTGATACCCTCTTTGATTTGGTTTTCACATCACGAGCTGGCGTACACGTGATTTAGACGGAAATCTTTTCAGAGGCTCCAAGTCTACCTCGCCTCTCAGCAAAGCTCCACCTCGTGGTGCAGTCAGTGCATCACGTTGTTTTTCGTGAAATGATCATGCATTAAGGACCAGGCGCAGATTGTAGACGTGATCAAGGGCAATCTCTAGTTTTTCAGTAAAGTCCCAATATCACTGCTTACCGTTTTTGGTTCACTCTCTTACTTAGATCTTGTGTGTTGATAATGGACCCTCGCTCGGTTCATCAGAACTTGAGTCTCGTAAGGTTATTCTCACCACTCGCATACGTTATAAGCAATGATTCAGATGATACTTATTCATCTGCATTCACGTCGATCCACGCACGCATTGGGGATAGAAAGTATGTGGTATGTAGCCGTGTTGAATCATTATAATTAACAAACTCTGATACTGTTTCCATACATAGGCCGCTATGATTTGTTAGGAGATCAAGCAGGTCAAAAGATCAATATTTTCAAAGGAATATCAATAGAAAATCGAAAATATATAGGTATAATTTCAGAAACAATTTGTAAGAGTTATGGAGAATTATCAAGAAAGAAACTTTAGGTAAAGATTTAATCGATTGATATCTGAATGGAACCATCAAATCATTTCTATTACTGAAGATCCTCAAAGCTGGATTGATTGGAACTCTGTACTCAAGTTAAGGATGTTGAAAAAATTTTATTAATGAAAAGTATTGCCGTTTTTTTATTTTTTATGTATTTGGTTTGAGGGTTCTTTGTTTGTTTGAGGATTTATACATCTATGTTTCTTGCAGATGGTTCCTTCTTTTGACTAAGTTTTCTTGTAGATAGAATTATATGAGGTTCGAAATGCATTTGTAAAGAACATTGATTTATTGTTTCCACTTCCTCTGATCCACACACGTCCGTAGAGAATTAATCGTGGCTCTGAGTCTGAGGGTAAAGGTTTGCTTAGTACATAACTGGTTACATATTATTTTTCTTGTTCAATTCATGGTATTGATCAGTCAGATTCAAATGGTCCGGTTGAGAAAGGTGGTGATTCTGAAAGGCTTGATCTTAGGAAGACAATTTTGCAAAATGTGAGACTTTTTAATTGAACACACTTTCCAAGTACCTCCCTGAGCAAAACCGATCAAGCCTCGTTTTCGAGAGAGGCACTTCGCTGAGTGTAAATCTCAAAAATATGGATTGAGCAAACTGCCAAACACGCTGTCGTTTTTAACAAGGCGTTGGGAACTTAGTCATTTATGGAAATCCAGATGATTCCACACGTAAGTGATAAAAAAACTTGGAATCCTCTCATTTGTTTTTGTTTTTGCGGTCATACTGATCGCACGTGTGTCGGTGTGTGTCGCTTGACAAAAAAGCGGAAGAGAGAACAGCTTTATGGGCTTCTAGGACTGAATCTCATTGGATCAGACTTGATCAACATTTACTTCAACAGCAACGTCCTCCCAGTCTATTTTTCTGTGTTCACACGATGGAACTTGTCATCCCTTGAAGGGTGTTAAATGTCCTGGGATTTGACTCAGAGGAGGGTAGGAGGCAATCCTATTGAGGCAATGAGTTATGTAACAGATGTACATCAGATACATGAGAAGGGAAGGGGACGCGATGCAGAGTGTAAATGCTAGAGGTGATCAAAGGGTGGAGTCTATGAGAAAAAATCAAAGCTATGACAGTTCCTTAATCAAGAAAATCATTCTGAAATCATGAGCTCCGTCAAAATCTTGTATTCTGCCATTGCTTGATGAATTTATGAAATTCTAATAATTGGTGATGTGTTAAGACTTCGACTACTTCCCTCCTCATCTTTAGTCTGCTTGTATTTTATTACACCAACTCAAAAAGATGAAGACATTACAGTTCAAAACCATTTACTTGAATCAATTTAAATGAAGTAGAAAAAACCAAATCTATCAGAACAAATTGATCATCTTATAATTCTACAATCGAATATACTACCTCAACCATTTATCAACAAACTCAACCTTTAACAGAAAAGGGTCAAGTTTTTGATGATAGTTGTGAATTGAACAGTAAGTTTTTTGTTTTGTATGAAAGCGTGATTTGTCAAATCTGTGCTTGTTTTTTCATACCTCATGTTTTTCATTTGATTAAGTGTTTTGGGTGTTTTTTTATGTTTCAGATAGATTGGACTCTTGGCGTTTGAAATTACTTCTGGAAGATAATTTTATCTTTCTTTGGGATTGGTTTGGTTATTGGTTCATCTTGCGCAACAACTAGTCCAAAAGCTTTAATAGCTTTGAGATTGCAAACCAACTTTAAGACCTGTGTCTGAGACATGGAATCAAGGAGTGATCCTGGATTGACACAAACAGGCTCCAGGTTTTTGTAATCAGCGAAGCACGGCGGGGAAGCAATTGGTGATTGTAAGTTCATAGGACGCGACTGGGTTCCTCCAGATGATGAGAGACAGCTGGATTGTATGCGAGCCGTGTTCCAAGACCTCAGAAGATATAAAGCTGTTCCGTCAGAAAACCCAGCAATTCTACACTAGTAGGTGTATCTTCCATTTGCTTCATCTTCCATAGTATTCATATCATCTAATTGTAAGATCAAGCTTGCTTGAGATTGTAAAAACTGTGAAATATCAGAGAGGCCGCCAGTTTTAAGCATCGTGTGGAAATGTGGAGAAGCTGTAGTCAGAAATGACAAAGCCATTAACAAGATGTTGGTCTATTGGTCATGTTTGTGGTCAAGGATTAAACCACACTTTGAAAACGTTAGGGGCCTGTTCACTCGGGGCAAGCTCTCCATTGCCGTCAGTTTATCCTGGATGTTGGAACGAGTGGATCCGGTGATTCACTCTTTAGTTTGAATCTGACTGCAGGCTGAGCCTCAAGGGGTATCAAAGGGGTCAGGTCAAGGCGGATTAGAAGCAGAACTGGATTGTTTTGTCAGAGTGGAATGTGCAGAAGACCGGCGTTCTGGTTTACACTATATCATACTATATATATCTGTTTTACACCTCAGACTTTTACAGTTGTGATCGTGATATCTGTTTTACACCTCAAACATATTGGTTTCCAATTTCTGCTGATAATGATCAGGAGTAGATTTACCCAGTCAAGGGAAAACCGAAAGCTGAAACAATTGGGCAGCTCATCTTTTGGGTTTTAAGATGTTGACCTGGTCTATCGAATAGCGATAGGAAAGAAGCAGCTTCTCAAAACGTTCATCCCTAGTCTTTCAATTTGGAAGTGGGATGTGTTTTTCTCAGGTGGAGATATGGTTGGCTCAGAGTCAAAGAAAATGAATGGATTAAAGTTAAATTAGGAAAAGATTTATTGACTAAAAGAATGATTAAAGAATCAGAAGAACCGAATCAAGAAAAGTTGATTGAAGATTTGTTTGATATTTTGAGGTATGTGAGTTTTAAGCGCTCTCGTCAAATAATAAGTTGATAAACTGATTATTTTAATTCCTTATCCTTGAAATCAAGTCAAACGGATCCAAATGATGAAGCTTTACCTAAAAATATCTTGATTTGTCCTCACCATAGACTCAATGAACCATCAGATATCCCCAATCGACAAAGTTCAGATCGTTTCATTCCATCTCCAGTTTCTCTTTCAACTGTATTAAGTTTACTAAGGATCAAAGACATCATACCCATATACTTATCATATGAAACTGTTGGTTTTCTTTTCACTTTTGGTGCTGGTGCTGGTGCGGGTGTGGAGCTTGGGTCTGTCATATCGGTGTTTGTAATGGGATTTATTTCGGCTTGCGCTTCTATTTCCATATTGGCCATTGCTTCTTCTACTTCTTCTGGTACATTATATTCATCATCATCAAGACCGATATCATCTTTTTCGACATGTATGATGGATTGTCTGAGCAAGTTATAAGCTTTGCGTACGAATGCAGGGGTGATCTAGTGGATTGATTCAGGAGAATAATACAATCAACATATAATCTAAGTTCCGGAGAAATCATGATCGAGACTGAAAAATGGTGTAAAACTCACCATTTCCATACCGTGAGCAAATAGCTTCACTGAGACGAATCATACTTTCTAATTGACGAACAGTGATTCGATAAGAATTCCTTCCCCATCCCTGAGAATCATCCTGTCTCAGATCTCGATACTTTTGTTCTAGTAAAGCTGAAGCCTCAGGACTAAGCTGAGAGATATCAAAAGTATTGATTTCCAAATTCAGTAAGAGAGGCCAAAGAAATCAAACTTACTTTAGTGAGTTGGTTGAGTTCGACAATAAAGAATATACCTCTGTAGAGCATCAGTAGAGAATTCCGGAGTGATAGCAGCATCCCTAAACCAATGTGCGTTGACGATATGACTAGCGATAGCAAAATCCACATCCTCATTACATTCATCCAAAACGACAAAAAACAAATCAAATCGACTCATGATCGGACCACTCATCGCCACATTAGCTCTTGATGACATCTTTTTATTATATCTACCACCCACAGGATTACCAGCAGCTAAAATTGAAGTTCTAGCATTAACAGTAGCTTGAATTCCAGCTTTCGCAATCGAGATCGTTTGTTGTTCCATTGCTTCATCAATTACAACTTGATCTGAAATATCCATTTTGTCAAATTCATCAATCGCACAAATTCCATTATCTGCTAACATTAATGCTCCAGCTTCGATTGTAAATTCACCAGTTTCTTCATCTTTGACTACTGCTGCTGTTAAACCTGCAGCTGATGATGCTTTTCCACTTGTATAAACTGATCTTGGTAAAAATCCACAAACATATTTCAAATTCGAGATTTAGAAGTTGAAGGATCTCCAACAATACATAAATTGATATCTCCTCTTAAATTAATACCTTCATGTGTTGTTTTATGAACTCCTCCCATTAATTGTAATAGAATTCCTTTTTTCACGATTTCGTGACCATAGACTGTAGGTGCAATTGATCTAACTGATCTTGAATAAATGTCTTTTGCATTCACCATTTCTCAAAGTTCTTCTACTTCAGGATCTGTCAAGGCAGTGAGGAATTCTCTTCGAGTCTCTTGATTATCACTCACTACATCTGGATCTAAAGTCTGGACATTGGCGACATTGACCTATGGAGATCAATTAAACATAGCATCAGCGTGATAGCGTTAATAAAAAAGGGAAAAAATTGAAAAAATGTGTACTCTTGAATCTGCCCTTTGAACCATGCACGCCAAGAAAGCTGTCTTATACGTCAAGCCTCTTACACCAAGAACCTTCAAACCACTAACACCCATAGTAGCAGGACCACCACCGCCTTTCCCACCATTATCACCAGCATGTCTAATCATTTCAGTATTAACACCAGGTAAACCTAATTGAGCCACATCAGGTACAACAATAAAGGTACCAGTAAAAACACATTTATCTCCTGCTTTTGCTTTTTCTACCATCTCTCCACGTAAGATTACATCTAATGATCTGGGCATTGAACCGGTTGGAATCTCATTTGAATTTTCTTGAATTCGAACTCTTTGCCAATCTGAAAAAATGGATTGTTCAATTGAAAGTTTCCAATCTGTTCGATTATTACATTGAATATTGGGACAAATATTTGGCTAAAGAAAATCATCATCAAAAATCAAAAAGTTACAGAATGATTAGTTCAGAATAGAATGATAAGATTAGAAGAAGAAGAAGAAAGATTGAATACATACTTCTGTATATCTAAATTGTTGTTCAACATCTTTTACAATCGTTTTACATTCTTCACAAAGAAATGTACCAAAGATTAATTCAGGTCTAACTTCACTTGTTCTAGTAATCGTACCACCAATTGACATTAATTTTCCATTTTTTTTAGTTCTTAAATGTCGAATACCAATCACTAATGGTAAATTACTTATAGCTAAATTGAATTGTCGATTAATTAAACCTGTTGAATTTGGTGAATGAGTTTGATTGTTTATATGTAAGTAATCTGGATCAAATTTTCTACTAAGGACTGGATTCCTTGTTTGAGAAAGGGAAGAAAACTAGGGATTGAAAATTGATTAGCTTTGGTACGAAGGTAAATTGGATTGATGTTTGTGTGTGGATCAAGACTTACCGATAATATTGATCTCTGATAGCATTGGCAAGAGATATTTCGGTGGATAACAGATGTGAATAATCTACGTATAATGTAGTGGTTCGAAGCCTCATCATAGACTTGACTGAGAAGGAGCAGAAGCACGAGTTTCTTCAGTAATGTCTTCAACAAAGCTGAAAAATTAAGAATCAAACAAATTCTTTATCAGTATCGTTTCGAATGATGTAAAATGATTGTTTTCTAAGAGTCGAATTCTTACTCTTCTACAAATTTAACCATTTGTTCTTGAAGTGAAACACCAGTTTGATCTTTAACTCTAGGTATCTCATCTGGATTTCTTTCTAATCTTCTTCTCATTCTTCTTGCAACTCTTCTCTGTTCTACTTCTTCTGCTTCATTTTCATTCATTTCTTCATTTTGATCATTTGATGGTTGTCTTGATCTAACATCTTGCATTGTTATATCTGATTCTGATGGAAATACATTTTGATCTGGTTGTGAAGATGGTAGATCTCCAGATGATGCTAGAAATGACATTTGACTTTAGATTTTTTCTTGATCGGTTCGCTTCGGGGTTTTATTATTCAAAGTCTTGATCGATGTTGATTTCTACTTCAATCCGAATGTATCCTTTATTTCTTTGACTTCTTCGTTGGTTCAAGTTTCAATGTGTAGTTCAACTTCAGAGCTCAGAACCTCAAATAAATTTTGGTATCGGCTTTCATATCGGGTAAAACTCCCGTTAAAGGTAACAATAGGTTAACATCGTTTTGTTTACGATGTACAAATTCACGTAGGGTACGGACCAGAATTCAAAAGGGTGTTGAATTGGGTGATAAGGTGGTACAAGATGGGTCTAAGAAAAGTGACTGAGTTGAATCGGGTACCTGGATGGTTGTCAATGATCAAGTCAGACCATGAAAACCGTACAGTCAATTGAAAACTAAGTGAGATGCAGAACTTACTCTTGTGGGCCTGTAAGCTTTCCAAATCATTCCGACCGCTTCATCAAAGTTATCTTCATCGGCATTTCGTTTTTCAGCTTGAATCATTTTCTTAAGTTCGTCACGTTCAGCAGAGGTTTTGGGAATTTTAAGATTGAGTGATGTGAAGATGTAGATTGATGGATAATCGAGATGGATGAGGTGAAGGTCGAGAAGGATAGCTTGAGTGAGAGGTGATGTGGGGTAATTTAGTTCGACTGAAATGAGTTGAAGGGAATTAAGATGGTAAATGAGATTGAAGACGATGATGTTGAGTTGAATTTAAAGGTGCACTGGTACTATTATTCCTACTTGGGGGTCTTGGTTGGATAGCATAATGTGGAAGAGGTGGTGGTGGTGGCGGTGGTAAAGGAGAAGTAGGACCTAGTTGGACTTGGTTCTTTCATTCTAATCATGGAATGTTGATGATGTTAGATGAGTGTCGAGTCGACCAAGTTCCAACAACGACGTAAGAATGGCACCGAGACCGGACATACTCTCTTCAGGATCTGGCTCCCAAGGCTCCAACCCCAACCTACAAACGGGAATTGCGAGAACAGGCATCTTTGCCCGGTAGTGGCCTTGAGCATATGTTTTGACGGATCCCCCATGGGTTCATACAATCAGGGCAGGACCGCTCATCCCGGCTCATCCCAGCTCATCCCAGCTCATCCCAGCTCATCCCAGCTCATCCCGGCTCATCCCAGCTCATCACTGTTGATGAAGTTGGATGATGGCTCAGTGTTCCTGAGGTCAACGCCTGAGTCTGGCAGTTGGGGATGGGGCAAACTGGGCAGGCTCAGCGTTCCAATTTGGGTTGGACACAAATTTCACAGTTTTTTTGATACTATTGCCAAAGAGATTTGGGCCCCCGACGTCGGGGGCCTTCTCCACGGGCACTGTGAAGAGAAGGATTGTGTGCTGAGCTCTTGCAAATAATGTACTAATGTTTCCATGAGGAAATCAATTCGCTCTTTCTGACATTGTTTTGAAGATCATGTCTCAATAGCAAATCTGGACTCAAGAAGAATTGGCCTACTCAAAGTGGTTCTGAGACTTTTCCACAAACATTCCAGAAGAATTTTCCATGAAGCCACAAGAGAGAATTTTGGCTGTGTTCTGGCTCCCTGGAATTGTGGAAAAATTACATAGTTGAATGCCCTTTGCCCCTAGGATCCAAAAGACAGTGTGATCCAACCTTGCAGCTGCTGAAACTGTGAATATAATGTATTTTTCCAAGGTGAAAATCATTACATTTATTTCACAAAATGATTAAAAATGTATTAAGTCTGCATTAAGTCTGCATTTTTGTGCATCAATTCTGCATTATCAATCATTTTGTGCATTCAACTCAATTGTTTTTCACCTTGGAAAGATACATTATTTTCAAAGTGGGATCAAGGCCTCTTCAGCTCCCCCCCTCAACCACATCTCTTTCTTCACTATGGCCTGAAAAGGATGATTGACAATATGGAATGATTTCTTCACGTTGTAGTATTTAAAGCTCAACAAGAGCTTTACAACACCTAAGAAGGGATAATCTACTACGTATAATATAGTAGAAGTTGCCTAAAGACTGCCTTCTTCAAAGAAACCAGCACAAGGGCACTTGCTGACCACTTTGTGATAACAGAGAGAAAGATAAAGCACCAGAGAAAATAAAGCAATACTGTTGTGTAGTATTATCCCCAGTTTTTAAGCGCAAAAAAAAGTCACACACTATGTTATTACTAGCAATACTGTTGTCAGTATTATTCCCAATTTGACTTGTAGTCTTTAACACACGTAAATAAATTTCTCCTTGCTTTGAAGGGGTGGATTTAAGTGATCTTAGTACAAATATAGTAAATAAATGATGATTTATAACACTACAACAAAGGTATAAGATGCAAAAAGGGGACCAACAATCCCAAAATCATCAAAGAGTACTTATATCCACATGTAATAACCTTTACAACAGTCAACAGCCTCAAAAACTAATCAAATCCGCCTGAATAACCCTAAAAACCATGTAATGACGCAATGTAATGATCTTGTTACTAATGTATGATGTAATTTTCACAGCCAAAAGTGATAAATGACACAATGATGTAATGTACAGCACTTCTTAAGATGAATACAGGTGATTTTTTCCTTGTAAACTAGCTGAAACCCAATTTTTGAGATTACAAATTTTTTCAGATGTGCTCCAATTTTGATCTACTATAGTGCATCTTGTAGCCCTCATGATACTGATCATTTCTGACACCCATATGACCTACTTCTGATGAGTGATGAGTAAGTTATTGAGTTGTGAAGTTAAGGTTTTTGGTGTTACATGTTGACTTGTGACTGTAAATTCGAGATTCACACCAATTTCTTATTTGCCTTATAACCTTTTTCATACACCTCCGTTACTAATGATTTAAAGGTTGTACATTATGTAATCCATTCTTCTGCGTTGAATGAGCTATCTACCAACTTTATTTGACGTCATGTGACATATGTAATTAACTGAAAACCTTCATTTTCCACAAAATTCACCCATTTTCTTCACTTTTCACAGCTGCTACTCTCTTTTTCTTGCTCATATAATATGACATCATCTTCTATAACCTTAAAAATCCCGGAAAATCCTCTTGGCAACCTTAATTTCCACTACTACCACCATTACATATGTAAACTACACGCATAACCCTTGTTTACCAACTTCGAAAAAGTACCTTTCTGCTAATAACTTCTGTTTTCCCTTATCAACCTTGAAGATTAAAATTGTTACTGTATAATAAACTGTTGTTCTTTCATATTCTAACCTTATAAAACCCATAACTTAATTATAAATAAGCTAAAAACCATTTTCCAACTTTTACACCTATATTTTCGAATTTTTCTTATCTTTTCTTTTCTCTCTTTTTGTAATAACTTTGTAAATAAACTATGTTGATCTTAATAATAATTTTGAAATGAGATGACATAATAATGAGCTAATAAGTATACATAAGCCTCTAAGAGCTTCAATTGATCTGAAATCTTGAATTTCGAATTTCCTGCTACACTGAAGTTTTCTAATAACTTGGTAAAGTAAAGATGATTAATTTTCTTGCTTGATATCATAAATAGATCACCACAACGTGTGTAAGAAGATCAATAGAGTAGGGAAAGGTTCTGGAAGAACATCCTTGATTTTGAATGGGTTCAATGTTTGATCCTTCCACTGACAATAAATCAAATTAGATTGGCTGAAGATTGATAGGCCAAAGTTTTATTCAATGATGCACCAAAATATTAACATGACTCTGGTATCTTGAGAGAGATCAATAGCGGTACACAAACATGAACACCCAACCTAGAAACAATTGGGTTGTCATGGGTTTTGTCCATGGGCTTTTAGGTCAAGTGTTGAAGTTTGTGTACCGCTAATATCTATCTGAATCAATATCTGATGTTAATTGTGGACCAAGTTCAAGAATTAAATCAATTACTACAAAAGATTGTGATGATACAAAAAACTGAAGCAAACTCTTAGATCTTGAATGAGATTGATAACAATAAAAAAATAAAGCAAGCTTTTGGATCTCACTGAGATCAATATCAATGAACAATTGAAATAAGTTGTGGGATCTCAAACAAGATCAATATTGATAAAAAATTGTAATAAGCTCTTGGATCTTGAACAAGATCAAGATCAATATCTATCTGAATTGATTCCTGATGTTAATTGTGGACCAAGTTTGTGAATTAAATTGATTACATTCAAATGATGATAGGCAAAAAGTCAAACAATTTGATTTATAGTGATTTGAATTTTGTCAGATGAATCTTGGGCTCAAATGAAGTAAGTTGAGACAAGTTGTTGAGTTGATAATGTTATTAAGAAATTTCCTCAAAGGGGTACCTGAGGAGGGAATTTTGTCAGGCATGTTGTGATGGTGGATGTTGGACGTAGATTGGGAATGTGATGATTCAATCAAAGTCCAGAAAGCCAGGACATATTCTGGCTTTCTGGCTTTGTGGAAAATTTGTTCTGGAACCTTTGTGGAAAAGTTCCAGAACAACTTTGTGTTTTATAATTCTACAGCCATTCCGATATTTCTTGTCACTCCATTTTGAAAAAGAAAAAGTGAAACTTGGGGAAACCTAAGTTTTTACTCGATAAAACTTTGAAATCGGCTGTAATTCAATGAAATACAGCCAATTTTCAGGTTTTAACCAGTTAAAACTTAGGTTTTGAGCTCATAAACATTTCTTTTCAAAAATGTGAGCGACAAGAAATATTGGAATGGCTGTATGTATATTGATAAAGATCGAAGAAATACAAGAGCCAGTACAAAAATAGTATTTTTCATCTGTGATTTTTTTTCAAATCTCAATAACTCAGTCAACTTACACAATGGAGGTTGATAGCCTATACATTATTGGTGGGGAAATACAGGAGCATCTTTACAGATTTATTAGTGGAACCGTATCACTTTGAAAACAAATTGAAATTATCTTGAAAACAATTTGAATTCATGGGGTGAACTGGTGTACCAGTGAACAGTAGTTGGGGGCTGTGATTCCGGGTGATTGCTCAAAATTATGTCAATTACGGGTTGTGATCACCTGGTGTTCTTTGTGTCAATTTGAGATTAGTTGTAAAGTGTATGTGAGGAGCGTTGATCACAGGTTTGCACTCCCCTCCAGGGAAGCAGAATGTTATTCAGGTGAGCTTCAAGCTTTTTCACATTAGGTAGGCCATTTGTACATGTCAATCATGAGACACCACCAGAAACCACAGAGACCCTGGAAAGATTCAGCTTTGACAGAGAAAGGGCAAGAAAATTACTCAAATGTTGATAACAAGGGATGCAAGATATACATAGTATACATTCAACCCCTAAGGCAGAGTGCTGCAACATGTCACATTTCATTTTCCAGTCTACACCATAGGAATAAAGCTGAATGAAGGTCACTCCACCTAGCTCCACCTACAGTGGTGATGACATCATCATGTAAACTCTTTGATATCACACTGGAGTTTGGAGAGGAAACAAGTCATATGAGATATAAGCACAGACAAACCCGTATCAATCCTTTCTCTGTCATATTCTTTTCCCTTCCAACTCCATTCCCTCTGGGTTTGAACTGGGTCATGACTGCAGAAATTGTGCTAGATTTACTTGCAGATGGTGTGGTGCATCTTTGTAGCAAGTCTTTACACAGTAGCTTTACCACTGTTGAGAATCAATTAAAAGAGGTGTCATTGGACATATCCTGTTATATTGCATGAGAACATGTGATCATTAGGCATCAATGTGAAGGTATATACTCATGTCATATGCCTTAACTTTTCACAATGCATCCCCAAATGCTTATACCATGAAGTATGCCTTATGACTTTCACTCAGTTCTCTTTTTCTCACTACACCGCCAAGTTTTGGGAAAAAAAACTTCAAGGTTTTAAACCTTATTCAATTGATGTTCATGGAACATGTTGAGAAAAAAAACAGCAAACTCTGTGTTCCAACCAGAGAGCCATATTATTCAGGTTTGCTAGTCTAATACTATAGGGGGAATACTATAGTCTTCTTCTTTAGATGGTGTGCAATAAAGCAGCTTGACACTCGAAAGAACTCAAACATGTTTTGTGAAGTAGTATATCTACTGTGATAGATAGAAGAAGACTCATATGTGACTTGAATGTCGCTTTCTGCAAAAGGATGTGTTTATGTGGAAATGAACACCAAAATATTAATTTAGCCAAAATCATACAACAGAAGAACAAAGTACAAAATATTATTTTGATCAGACAGCAAACATTACAATTATATAAGAAGATGGGGAGTTGATCCCACATCATGGATTAAGAGATTGCATATATTAAGAGTACAAATGTGATGGAAAATGCCTGACAAAACGAGAGAGATACATGCATATCCTCCGATATCTTTAAATCCTGCGCACCTTATTTTCCATAAGGAATGGTTGTACGGAGACTCCCGATGACGAGGAATCGTTAGAGGAGTTGGATGTCATATAGACCATGGCATGGGATTTTGGCGGGTGTTCACGTGGAATGACTGTGCTGTTTTCGTAAAAAGTCCTTGGATCTCTTCGTGGATCGACCGTTTCGTACTTCTGACTTACGAAGCGTCCTCTAGATGGAGGTATATTTTGGTTAGAAGCACTAGGATTTGGTAGAGGTCGTCGTGGTAGGCGTTGTTTTTCAGGTGTCATTAGCGAGATAGGAGGAGCTGGGAATTCACTGATGGTAAGTCCAATGTTTTCTGTGTTTAAACTTGCAGATGAGGTATCCGCTTTACTTGGAATGCAATTTACTATTTCCGTGTCAGAAGATTGCGCGTATTCGTCAGGAAATCTGGATGATCCTAAAAATAATTGAAGTTCGTCTTGGTCTGAAGCATCATTGGTCCCAGGTTGCAGATGTTTGGCGGAATCTTGTTCTTGTGAATGTACAAGGTGACCAGGTGGTGGGTCGATGGATACGAAGTCTATGACCTGGATGGGGACATCAACCGAAACATCCGAAGAGAGAGAGCCACCCACCGATACCTTGATGGTATAGCTGACTTCCAGGTGGCGGCCTCGCGTGATGGTCAGTGCTTCCAGCTGTATTGGAGTCAAAACAAGATCAGCATTTATGAAATTCTGTGACAATCCACGGAGGAAACTTACAGGTATCATCAAGAAATGTGAGAAAGCGACTTCTTCCCCCTCGTCAACTCCCATCCAAAGACCTTTGGCTGTGACAATACCCTGATGTCCCTTCTTGCCCATTGTTAAAGTACTTTCAGCAATTTTCTTCTTGGTAGTTTGAGTAGAACAAAATTCCGGATGCTTCGGAGCTTTTCTTTGCTCTGACGATGATTCTGTGTCAGAATCAGATAATGGTTCTTTGCTACGAAAGACTGTCGTTGTCCTGATCAATGCCAACGTGAGGCTCTTGATCTGAGTGAAGTTTCCATCAGCTGCGGTAAACACAAACACATATTTCAATCGCTCAGAACGGTACCTACCTTCTTTGTTCCATCATTGCCAACATGAACATCAACATGACATCGCTGACCAGCTACCCATACTGATCGATGTACTTTTGCTGTCAAATGAACTTTCCCTTGGCCGCCCATGAATAAGCCTTTTGAGGTGGTCACTTTCAATGGCTTAGGAGCACATGCTAGAGTTTTGATGGGGTCAAAATAAGGATATAAATCAATATGTCTGTAAAAGTGCGCAATTGATCGACCTCCACCAGAACTTGATTTGAGTTTAATGGAACTAAGAAAGAATTTAGGTAAATAATTAGATTCGAGGCTTTCAATTCACAAAACAAAGTACTACGAACCCAATAACAATATATCGGACTGTTCCTTGCTTCCCTTTCCAGATGCCCTTTGCGCCTTGCCCTATAGGTAATCTGATTTGGAAAGGATAAGCATGAAGACCTGCTCGGCTTTGGACGAATCCTTCTTCATCTACTGGCTCTTCAAGGATTGACAACATGTTCCGGGCTGCTTGGGTCTTTTTCGTTGCAGACTTGGTCGTCATTGGGATCTTGACTGGGTAGTGGTAAAACACGTGCCTGGAATCGTTGACAGAGAGTTCTAAATTTCTAGAAGTCAGTATCAGTCAATATATACAATGTGATGAAAAAGTCTTACCCTCAAAGCCGACAATCCTGACCTTTGGCTCACCCAGCCAAACTTCACCATCGTTGATCTTTTTGCAAGAAAGCTGTTTATGATCTGGAACCTTGACTTCAATTCTCCCTTGTAAAAATCCGCCTTCCACAATCAAACTACTTTCAAGCAAAAGATCTAACTCAACTCTCTTCTTACTCGCCGGCTTAGCTCCTTCTAATGATGCTACATTAGTCTCTGGTTCTTTGACAATCTTGCGTGGTGTTCTATCATTTTCATGCGGATATTCGGAACCCGCTGTTGATGGACGTGACCCTCGCCTTGACCTTCGTCCTTCACTTGCAAGTTCAGCATCATGCATGCTAGATTTCGAAGGCGTGAGAAGTCGCGAAAGGTCCCGGGAGCGTTTCATTGAGTCTCCACCCACAGACATCAAAGTGGCACGTCGAGAAAGGGAGAAACTTGAATTGAGTCCTGTGCCTTCACTCTTGCTACGTCTCATCGCCTGTGGTTCCGCCTGTTGCCTAGAATGACCGGGACCATAGGGTACATGCGCATTGTTGGAGGTAGATTGTTTGCTTCTGTTTTGAACCATGTCCTGTGATGCTTGAGGAGCCGTTTTAGAACGTCTTGGAGAGTCCCTGATTGCTTGATTCGGTTGGGATGGTTCCGCATGGCATCGATTAGTTCCAACACTCGCAAGGTCAGGACAATCAAATAGATTTTCAACGGTCCAGCTCCGAGTCGAACTCAAATTATTACCTTGATTATAATTGAGTTTTTCTAGATTGCCTGATCTCACTCCATTCTCCTGGAGGAAGACCTCATCTGAGTTGGATTTATGTCTGTGATGTTGAGAAACGTGATGGTGACATTGATCGCGGTTATACAGACTTCCAAGATCGGCAATACTTCGTGCGGGACGATGTCGGGATTGAGTCTCAGTTGCTTCAGCAGCCGATCTTGTTCGTTGCATCATATTACAATCTATAGGAGGCATCTGAAGATTGAAGACTGGTGATATGCTAGATTGCGGTAGTGTTTGCGAACGGCGCGGGTTGAGGGGTGAATTAGGTACAGTTGTGTATGGACGAGGAGAGGCATTGATCGGACTCAAACCATCTCGGTTCTGTCGGTTTTGTAAAAATGCAGGCAAGCGCGATGGACTGTTAGGTGTTCTAGCTGGTGAGCCGGTAGAGGGAGATGTGAAAGGTGCTGCTTCGCTGTATGGGATAGTGTTGAGGCTCGGCGAGTTACCACGAAGAGCAATGGCACGCAGGAGCTCAAGACTAGGGGGACCTTGATTTCCTCGCATTGCCGCCGCCATCATACCAGCCCCCAAATATCCATCATATACAACTGGCATACTTTGGACCGGACGTAAAGGGTGAGAATGAAGCTCTTCTTGTTTTTGAGCGACGCGGGCTTTGGCACTTTCTAGGCGTCTCATATACAGCGTTCCAGGGCCTACTAGATTGGATTGGTTCGAGTTGGGATCTGATGGTTTTGACGATTGATGCAATGACAAATGCTCGACCATTGGAGGATGTGATATCTTATCTTCCGAAACTTGATGAGATGGATGTAGTTGGATCCTGGGGGTAGCAGGCAGCTTCTTCGATGCGTACAAGATTGATTCGAGATCCTTGTATTGATCATGATGGCCCGGATTTGTCGCCGTCCAAGTCTGATCACCAGTGGGAATGTAAGAGTGTTCGGTAGGTTCATCGTATCTTGCTTGATCGCGTTTGGTTGATGGTCGTGTTTCAGGGAGCGCAAATTGAACACATTGAGATTGATTGGTCGGATGCTTCGACTGTCCTAGATCTTTGTTATGGTGAAAAGCCGGCATTGATTTAGTACGACCCATCCGGGAGGACTGGCGAGACATCTGTTGAAAGTCTCCCTCAAAACGAATACCGAGACCAGCCATGAAGATTAAGGATTAAGATTGTTTAAATGATTAGGTTTGTCGGGTAAGTGCTACGGATTAGATGATGGAAATATATTAGGGCGATAGAATTTGATGGTATTAGGATAACAGAAACGTGGACGAGAAGATTATTTTTGAGATTGCTGAGCAACTGTGTGCACAAGAAAATGAGTTGAAGGGTGAAACGAGCTATGATGATTGAAAAATGGCTCAAAGTGGCCTTTAACTACTGCAAAATGATAATTCTTGATTATCTAATCATGTCGTCTGCCTCCTCAATGTTTTCATCGCCAAGGATCGAATGAAATGACTTGCAGCTTTAGCACCCGGACATATCAAAATCCACGCGCGGATGTCTCGGCGTGAGGTCTATCCGGTTGCTAGTCGCTTCAGGCTACTTCCGCATTGCCATTTCGGCTAACATCGATCGGGCGAAGAATGGCTGCAAAGGAAGACTGATGACAGCCATCCTTGTCTCGCAGTTTTCACATTCATCTTATGTGGGTGTCGTATACTATGCAACTGAATAACGACACCATGGTTTCTATTCTCACAAGCGAATGCTTGCGTTTACTCTGGCAATATCATCTCACATAACTCCTTCTCATTCGATTTTCATGTCTTGAACCAGTTCAAAGGTGGGTTGTACAAATTTTGGGTCTAACCCGGGCACACAGCTAAGCACAGCTATTGACCTTGTTCATCCCACTCACTGCAGACTCGCCACCTAAACTGCAGATCCATCCAGTGAACACCCTTCGTTATTCGTTTAAAAAAAATCGCCATCGTTGAGTTCACGTATTTCGCAAACTGACATTATCAAAGCCTACTCTGTGTGTATGGAAGGCAATCAGGTACATCCACTCGCTTTCACGTGCACCAGATGCTCAGAGAATCTCGCAAATGAGGAATCATGTTCGGCTGAAAACAATTTGGTGAACAAAAAACCCGATAGCCACCTTTGATTTCCCCTTGCTACCATTGCAAATAGAATACCTTTGGTGTGACTAAACATGCGACCAACAAATGTGACATTTGGAGAGAAAGAAAGAATTATAAACAATATCTCATCCTGAGGTCAGCTGGATGTGGACTTTTTCTCATTCTTGAAATCTTTGCTCATCCTTCCAGTGTTTTTCCGCGCCTTTTTCCAGATACCACTACTCCCTGCTTGTACTCCTCCTTGTTATTAGTCAACATTTTGTCACTTGATCAATGCCACTTGCTTTCAATTGGGTGCGGTCTTTCACGGAAAATCTATCTAGAATTTTTATATCATTTTCATTTGTTTCAGTGCCTGTTGAGTAAAGGATTCTCAGTCCTCTGACCAAGTAGAAAGCCCAAGCCCAAGCGGACTCCTTGAACTTTCAATTCAATCTATTTAGCTTGAGTTATGTAGAGAAGAGCAATATTGATGGGTTGCCTTGAACTTAAGCTTCTCTTTCAGATAATTTTGAGCGTCAAATAGACTTTGTTCTTTATGCAACTTTCTGCAAAGATGCTAACATTTCTGTCCAAAGTGCTTTTGCCGTGGATTGGCTTGATACTCTAAAACTGACCCATCAGAACTTACTTGGACATGCTGAATTGATCTATCATTTCCTTGCTAAATTCCTTCAAACATCAAATCTTCAGCTCAGCAGGGACCAATACCCGGAGCTCCATGTCAAAAAACTATTTAACATTGGAATTGTCGTGAAAGATTTCAAAAATATAGAAGATACAACCACCGTGACATATAGCTCAATGTGTTTCCAGGGTTTGAAGGCGTATGCTCTCGAGTGCTCACTTATACAGGGACTGTATACCGCGTCGAAAAGATGTTGCCAAGGATGAGGCTCCGTCCAAACCCTGGTGTTTTGGTCTTCATGAGTGACTGTTCACCCTCTTAATCTATGCAGCCTTACCCCAGGCTCTCATCACAAGCAACTTTTGGTATAACACGTCCCGCAAATCAATAATCCTTGTTCCGTCACCCCTCTTTGATATTTGACCTGCACACTCCATCATGTTAACATTCCAATCTCCACACCATCTTGTTATCTTATTCATTGCTACACTTGTCACAAAGTTTGCTTTCACACAGGCAACGACGCTTAATTGTCTAGGTGGATATAGTCTAAACTCTGACAAAAAAACCGCAAGTAAGTGCAATATATCCAAAATATTCTTATAAAAACTCTTGACTGCCTCTTATCCATTTGTCTCTTTTCCCCTAAAGCTTGCCTTGATAAGGAAAACAAAGTCTGGTCATGCCCGATCGCTAAGTGCCAAAGAGAAGGTCATTTTTTTGTCTCGGTATAGACCTTTTAAGGTTTGATTTTGCCTAACCTTTTTTTCAAAACTCGTATTCGATACCAACATGGTGCATAGGTCACCTATGGGTATCAATGAAAAGTTGTGTGCACAATTCTCCTCGTGCCTCTGGAACGAGTGATCAACAATGTTCTGAATACAATAACCAATCCAATACTTTTTACGGTATGCGCATCATCCATTTTCACTATTGATCATTCAAAATCTAATCATAAGTTCTATTGTTTTGAAACTTTCTATGACTTTTCACTTCTTAGCATGTAGGAATCCGGGCGGTCAAGTCTATTATTGCCCTGCTACACCCTCTGCGGTACCCTACCTTAGTAAGTCATCTTAAACTTTTATATCATCTTTGTGCCACCCATTGATCAACTAATGTCTTGAACTCTTTGATCAACCTCCAATAGCTTGTTCAGATTGTGTTAAGCCAAAGATATCAACAACACTTAATTCAAGTACAAGATACTAAGAATCATATGAAATTGTATATGTATGTAGATGCTTAAAATTATCTCCTTGATGTTCGAAAAAAATTGTAAATGATTATGTTCATATATGCTCTGACACAAGATTAAGTATTTTTAAGCCAAGAAAAACAAATTCTTGGTTGATGTTTTGATTGTAATTTTTCAGGAAAATGACACAAAAAACCTTCTGTTCCAGAAAATACCAAAAAGAATATTTCATACATTGGATGGTCTTGAGGTCAAAACCAGAAAGAAGGTCAACCAGATTCATGTCCATTCTGAAATGTACAGTGAACCTTGAAATTTACTATTGTACCTAATCTAATCAATTCCCTCTCCTTGGGCATCTTAGCATTCTAGAGGGACTTGCTTGTAGTCTTGGAATCTTTGGTGACAAGCAGGACCACCTTTTGATTGAGAGAGTTGGTCTAAGCAGAACACTTCCACAACTTATTACAAATTTTTGGCAAACCCTCATTTTCTATCATTCACTAGCTTCCACATCTTTCCATTGGTTCACTTCTTGCATTTCTGTTGGAATAAAACCGTGCTATTTGGGGAAGATATAGTCATTCAGCTACACACAGCTTCAGATCAGGAGGGTCATCAAGGTCATGAAGGTCATGATGACTCAGTGCATTGTACACCTGCCAGATGACTGCCACTGGTATTAGACTTCCCTATGTTTTCAAAACAGAGCACACAATGACAAGAATGTGTAACATCTCTGCCTGTCAAAGTCTCTGGCTGTAAAACATTTGAGGTTTGTTCAAGGAAAAATGTCTTTTCACCACCAAGTTTTCCGTGATTTTGTTCTTCTTTAAGGTCCCCTGAATTTCACATCCCTGACATTGAAGTTCGAAGCAGGGCACTACAAGCATTGAGTACATACATACATAAGAGAATATGCTTATAAGATGGTGTAGTGAACCCATCGATTCGAAAATTTGGATGTTTGAAAAAAAATCAGAATTGTTGGAGAAGATATCAGCTCAGCATTACCATCACCATCATACCATCACGATAACTCAGTCAAGTAGTCCCACAAGATGGTTTCAAAACCCGATTCATCAAAGAAACCAAAAAAGACTGATAAAAACACTCCGACTACAAACCAGACGACCACTAAGGATCAAAGTAACAGGAAACGTAAATCAAATCAAAATCATGAAACCAATCAAATCGAACCATCATCCATCTCACTTCCATCTAGACTAGAACCTACAATGGAAATCGGATCCGATGATGAAGTCATCTCTTCAGCTTCTAAAGGAAAACAAAAGGCTATCACTAGTGATTCATCTAAACGTATTCAAGAAGATGAAGACTCAGATGTAGAAGGTAGCGAAGATGATGGACCATTTCCTGAGCTATTCCTTTCAGATGATGATGAAGCCGAAGCAGAGGATGATGGAGCCGAAGCAGAGGATGATGGAGAAGAAGAGGAAGAGCTAAGTGGTAGTGAGACAGAAGATTCATGAAGAATTAGGTAGTCTATTAGATGATTCATCTGAATGTGATTCAAATGAAGACCCAGAAAATTTTATTTCTAGATCTAGATCTAAAATTGATGAAAAAGCACCTGAACTTGAAACTTTTGGTCGTCATGTGGTGGATTACATGAAAAGAGCTAAGACTAAACCTTCTAAATTTGTCGATGGTACTTCTATTCAAGTTTGGGATGATATTGTACCGGGTTATGGTAGTGAAAGTTCGACGGAAGATGTAAGTCTTCTCCTCACTAGATTTTATTATTATTATGATATATAACTTATTATCTTTTGTTAAATTATAGGCTCCTAATCGGATAGGAAACATACCTGCTCACTTTTATGATGATATGCCTCATATCGGTTATGACATTGAAGGGAAAAAAATCATGAGACCTGCTAAAGGTGATGAATTAGATAAATTTTTGGCAGGTGTTGAAGATCCTACTGCTTGGTGAGTTATCCCACTATCTTTAATCTCGTCAGATTTGTATCAGAAAACTTATGTAAATGTGCTCTATTTCAGGACGAGTGTTGAGGACAAACTGTTACACAAAAACGTCCAATTGACTGATGCAGAACTTGATCTGATTCATAAATTAGCCAAAGCCGAAAACGTAAGTTTCATTCACCTTTGTTTGTGAGATCTATGAAAAGCTGAAGTTAAATTCCTCTGATACAGCCGGATGCCGAATTTGATCCTTATGAACCTATGGTGGAATTCTTTACGGGTAAAGGAAAAGAAATGACAATGCCGTTATCTGCAGCACCTGAACGTGAGTAAATCAATAGACTACTCATAGGATTCAAAATGCTCATCTACCTGACTTGTTTCCTGTTTACTTTTTCTCAGCCAAGCGTCGATTCATCCCATCAAAATGGGAACATAAAAAAGTGATGAAGATCGTTCGAGCCATCCGACATGGTCGAATAGTTCCCAACAAACCCAAAGTAGAAAAACCACAATTCTATGCACTTTGGTCCAATGATGATACACCCAGAGCACCTGGACCGATGTACATGCCAGCACCTAAACTAAAGTTACCAGGTCACATTGAAAGTTACAATCCACCAGCCGAATATTTATTTGACGAAGAAGAAAAGAAACAGTGGGAAGAAGCCGATCCGAGTGATCGAAAGATTGATTTCTTACCTTCTAAACATTCAAGTTTAAGAGTCGTACCAGGTTATAATAATTTCGTTCAAGAAAGATTTGATAGATGTTTAGATTTATATCTTGCACCTAGAATGTTAAGAAGAAGACCTAAATTAGATATAAATGATCCATCTGAATTATTACCGAAATTACCATCACCACAAGATTTAAGACCATTTCCTTCGATTTGTTCGATTGAATATATACATGAAAGTGGTTCAAAAGTTAGAACTGTTTCAATTGATCCTACTGGAATGTGGGTTGCTACTGGTTCAGAAAATGGTGAGATTTTGATTTGGGAATGTAAGATTGGTAGATGTGCTATGAAATGGAATATGTCTGGGAAAGAAAATACACCGATTTATGCTGTGGAATGGTGCCCGGATCGAAACAAATGTATTTTGGCAGCAGCTGTGTAAGTCTCTTTTTTATAGACCAACTAATTTGATTATAAGACTAATCTTGACTCATTTCATTTGTTTGATTTTGATTAATCAGAGGAAATAAGGTGGTGATGTTATCACCTCTTTCGGTTCTTTCACCCTTTCAAGCCACCAATGCCATCGAAGCTGCCCACGCAGGATTCAATACCGCCAGTGATGCCACACCAACGATTTCAGACGCGAAATGGACAAGAGCAAGTGAAAAAGAAAGAGATACAGGAATCTTGATAGAAATCACAGTACCAGGAACACCAAAACAAGTGACTTGGCATAAAAGAGGAGATTATTTTTCAACCGTTTCAACAGAAGCCATCAACAAATCTGTTTTGATTCATCAACTTTCAAAACATCAAACTCAAAGTCCATTTAAACGTACTAAAGGAATTGTACAAAAAGTGATCTTTCATCCGATCAAACCTTATTTGTTTGTGGCTACTCAACGATTTGTTAGGGTTTATGATTTACTTAGTCAAACTTTAATCAAAACTTTACAACCTGGTGTTAGATGGATTTCTAGTATTGATGTACATCCTTTAGGTGATAATGTGATTATTGGTAGTTATGATAAACGATTGGCTTGGCATGATATGGATTTAGGTGATAGACCTTATAAGACTCTAAGGTAAAGTTTGATTGACTTCCTTGACTTCCATCAAAGTTCAAATTTCTCATGATCTTTTTCTTTCGAATTAAATAGGTACCATCAAAAAGCGATTAGATCAGTAGGATTTTCAAAACGATTTCCATTATTCTTTACAACATCAGATGATGGAACGATCCAAATCTTTCATTCGACAGTTTATTCAGATTTAATGATGAATCCATTAATCGTACCTTTAAAAGTTTTAAAAGGTCATCTTATTAAAGAATCTTTAGGTGTACTTGAAGCTTTTTGGCATCCTACCGAACCTTGGATCGTTAGTGTTGGAGCTGATGGGGTTGGTAAACTTTGGTGTTGTTAAATAGAACCCCCCAAAAAAATCTGTGATGAAAATTTCGGTTGGATTGGATTTTTTTTCTTTTTGGTTAGAACTTTTTTATGATGATGAATTTGTTGTTGGTTTTCTTAACTTTGAAATATTGAGGAAAGTTTGCATGAAAATTGATTTAAAAAGTTGTTTAGATTCTTTGTTTTCTTTATAATATCTTACCAACATTATCATCAATGATGATTGGATTGGATTTCAATAAGAAAGATTGAACAAGTGAAAGAAGCAAACGATATGTGGTGAAAAAGCAATGTGTGCTGATTTACTGTGGAGTTTGATGAAAATGTTGATAGCTTCAATTGAGGAAGTTAATTTATCAACCTTGATTCATCTTTATAATCTATCTTACCACACCCACATTCTCGAGTTGTCGTGGTGTAGAATTGTTGCTAAACTAGAGCGCATGCGATACATTTCAGAACTATGAGCATTTTCTAGAACATACAACGTGGCATACACCAAAGAGTTTATGTAAAGAAACGTAACGATGATATAACAGACAAATCACACTAGATGATAAGTATTTATGTAAAAGAAACTGATCCGCTAGACAAGTGATCAACTAGTGGATGAGAAGTCGAGCTGAAAAGCACAACGGTGGCTATAAAGAGACATACAAGATCACAATGGACGTACCATTCCAACAAGAATTAGGCTTTGGATGTATTTACTATTTAGATATCAGTGAAATCTGTTTAAGAGCACAGTCTTGATTACATAAAGTTCGGACAATTTTTGCAATACATATGAGAATTTTAATTTTGGAAATTCTGGCGAGTTCAGTTTTAATTTTTGAAGTTGATTTTTTTTTCATTTTCATTTGGTACAACTTCGACTTCGCTCCGGCTCAAAGACACAAGAGATGCTGTCGAGCGTTTTGAGTGGCTTCAGTTAAACTCTACTTCACCTTCCTTAAAACTTGAGAGATTACAAGACTTACCCTCACTACAACCAATTTCAAGTTCAGTTCATCCCTTCTTTTCGTTTCAATCCCTGCTGCTAGACAACCAAGGATCAAACTTTCAAAAATTTCATTTATTTTGAACTCAGCCTTTATAACAGATTTCAAATCTCATCAATTTCAATCTCAACCTGTTTACATTTTCTGAACAATTCAAGAATTCAACTCACACAATTTCTTTCATCTGCTCTGTGAAGATACTTTTCAAGCTCACTTGTTTCGTTTTCTTTTCAACTTGGACCCTTTCTTTTCCCTACGTTGCACAACCTTTAGCTTTCACTTTGCGCCTCTATTCTCGGGAATCTTTTGCCGTTCTGGAATTCAATATAATTTTTCAAGTTTGGTTCCCTTTATCTTCGAATTTCTAAAATTGCTCAACCAAAACACTCAGAAGGAATCAAAAGCAACGTCCTTTTTTTCAACTTCATCATCATCATATCGGCCTCTTTTTTTGACTGTCAGTTCCTCTCCGAATTTCAACGCTGCGTAGTTTTGCTTGTGGATCAACTTGAGAAAATTTAAATTTGCACTATCTCATCAAACATAGAACAACACTTTTACTCTCATTACACATCGACAACCCACAAAAGATCAACAGGATAACCTAAACTACAAAACTTTGCAAAAGGAAGCAAAGATGACTCGACATTTAGCAATCACCATCACCAATCGAACCACAAAAGAAATCAAATTTACACATCAATCATACACAGATTTAATTCCATCTTTACATACTACTCTTACCAAAGCCATACCAAGTGAATTACCCATCAAGAAATTAAAATCTTATGCGATTTATAATGAAGATTTAAATTTAATTGAAATCAAATTTAAAAAGATTATCAAACCATTATCAATTCGAAAGTTTTCAAAACTTATATTTTATTCTAAGAATGTTTTAAATGAATTAGGTCCTTCTACTTCTTCTTCTTCAAATTATTCAAAAATCTTACAACCTAAATTTGAAATATTTCAAAGCGTATGTGTTTTTTAAAAAAATAATCCTTTTCACGACAAGCTTTTTTAAAACAAATCCTATACATTTTTAAGAAATTTTTGACTTGAAGGGATCTGTTTTAAATGTTGATTTCTTTTGTTTTTTTAGATTGCAGATGATGGATCGATTACATTCATGGCAATCTTTGCAAGAAAAATGTCGGATTGGATGTCAGATTTACCTGATGAATTACCAGTGACTTCATTAACTCTTCCAGGTACACATGTAAGTCAAAACAATCTCACTTGAAACAAAAATGCTCAAATCGGTCTATCTTACAAAGTGTGAAACATTATATTGATTGAATATATATTTTTTGTTACAGAATACATGTGCTTTATATGGATGGCCAATTGGAACGTGTCATACTCGACCATTATCTAGACAATTATCAGATGGAATCCGATTTCTAGACCTTAGATTATCACAATCAAAAGGAACCCTAGCCGTTTATCATGGTATTCAATCTCAATACATCACATTTCAAGAAGTACTTAAAACTCTTTATGAATTTCTTAAATCTCATTCAAAAGAAACTATTGTAGTAAGTATCAAACAAGAAGATTTCACTAAAGGTTTCTCTGATGCAGTCTTGGGTGAAATCTTGAAAAATAAAGATCTTTGGTGGTTAGAGAAAGATTTACCTTCTACACTTTCTCTTGCAAGAGGTAAACTTATCCTTTTTTCTAGATTTGGTCATGATAAGAATCGTAAGTTTGAAAAGATTTCTTTTTTTCAAATAGATTTCACTTGAGTCTTTATCTAATAATTCATTTTTGATTTTGATTATAGATGGAATTCATTTACCTATCTGGCCTAACAATTCTAAAGATGTTTGGGAGACCGAGATCAAAGGTGCACAAGTATCTGTACAAGATTGGTAAGGAGTTTGTCTGCTACATGAAAATTGAATGAAATGAATTAAATATGTTGTCTCTTTAGGTATCAAATTGGATCATTTCTTGCAATCTCAAAGAAATTCAATTTAGTTTGTACATCACTTTGTCGATCACTACATCAAAAAGGATCACCACCTATAAGAAGTAGAATGTCCCAAATCATTCCCACAATCCAAATCAATGAAACCGAAATCACTGAAACAACAATCTCATCAGAAAGAACCGAAACCAATCATTCATCACCTACTTGGGTTATTAATTATCTTTCGGCTTCTTCTTTATTTTTTGCTTTTCCAAATATTGTGGCAAGAGGATTTGGATTTCATAAATTAGGATTAGGTATTGAAGGTATTAATTATAGATTGGCACGTTGGTTAACTGATCGTAGAAGGTTTGGTGGTCATTCATTTGATTTAATTGGAGTAGTTTGTTTGATTGATTTTTATCATTCTCCAAAAGATTCACTTGTTTCTCTTTTAGTTGATTGTAACTTTTGAGAATTTATCTTTTTTTTGTTTTGTTTTGTATGTTGGTTTTATCACTTTGTCTGTTCTTCTAAACATCTTTCTCTTCTTTTCTTTTCTTTCATTTCTTTTGCATTTTGATTTTTCTTGTAGAAAGCTGTTGTATTGCTTCATTGTCATTTTTTTTCGGTTTTCTTTTCTGTTAGGATCTTTGAGTGGAACTCTTTCTTCTGTTTAGCAAAGCATTTTTTGAACTAGACCTCATTTTTTAAAACGCAAATTTTGTTTCATACCTCATCATGATGTAGATTTTTACAAATAAAGTTTAGTTCTATAACACTTGTGTATATGCATAAGCAAAGTCTTATTTCTTTTGGGACTGAAGCAACTTATTCTTGTCCTCTCAACAAGAAAAGAAAAAAGTATTCTATTGTATGTGAAGAGTCATACATCTTGCGGACGTTTTTACTCCTTGAAGCCTACACTACATTCTCGAAACCGATATAAACATTATCGACTTCCAAAACTCATGTGATGTATCATATCAGTGATGGAAATGTTAAAGATGTAAATTGGATGTGAATGATCTTGTATAAATGGTGTACCAAAGAAATCTCGAAAGAAAGTATAATTTGGATTCCATTCAAAAAGATAAAAGCTGGTCAAAAGGCCGTGATACATAAAACTAACGAGATGAGAAAAGTTCAAAGCTAAGCTACAAATCCGAGTTAAAACTCACAAACTTGATCAAAACACACACACAAATACTATTACGAAATCATTCTGAAGGAATACACTTTATAAACACGCAGATATTAAGAAAGATTGAAGGAAAAAGCTTAGCTAGAGAAATCGATGAAAAAAAATGTGATCAAAAAGGATTGAATGAAAATGAAAGAATGAATAAAAAAACTAAAGGATTTGATGATTCCAAAAAAGAAAGAGAAAGAGAATATAAAAAGAATGCGATGGAGGTGATCGAAAATGGTCTCGATGATCTGAAAGTGTTTATGTTTTCTTACAACATCTAGTTGAATTCCTAACCAACCAAAAGTAAACAGATCCAATAAATCTAACCGCAGATAATCCAAATGTAGACCAAAGAATGATATCTAATTTTAACCAAAAAAATGGAAATCAACTTCTTAAACCCCAATGAAAATAAAAAAGTAACGTCACTTACTAAAATAAGTTGATTGTTTCTTCTCTTCATCACTAACAGAAGTGTTCAATCCATTGACATTCTAATAAAGATAAAATAAAATCAGTCATGATCCCACATCGTATTCAAGTAGGTGGGTAATAAACTGACCGCGATAGCAACAGCAAGAGCAGCATTAGACAACATCCAAACCGACACCAAACGAGTTCTGAAAGTTTTGTTCCCATCATCTTCCGTAGGTCTTTCTCTGACTTCCACCGCATCCCAAGCAGATATAGCTCTACCAACTACAGTTTTGAAATTAGCGTCCAAATCTTCTTCTGTTCTGACCACATCAGCCACTGTGGCTGCTTCTTCTGTTTTTTCTTTAGATGATTGAACTGATGGTAATGCGTCTGCTTTGTCTGATCCTTTTGTTCCCCCTAAAAGATTTTATCACGTGAGTTGGTTGATGGGATCATAGAATATAAGAGAAATCGTACGAACATGATACGTCGTGAAGGTTACAAAATGCGTATACCTATCAAAGAAAATTCAAATCAGCATCCTTGATATATTGATTCATTCAAGAAATCAATAATCACATTCAAGACATTGGTAAACGAAGGTGCCAAAGCTAATGAATACGAAAACAAAACGTTAGCTTGTGAAATGAAAGATCACTGACCCCCTAAGTAAAGAAAAGAAAACTCACCCATGTATTGTGGAAAAGACGAGAGCATATGCCAAGGATCAGCATACAAGATCGAAGCAATCAAACTGTTTGAAAAAAGAAACGCAAAGCCGAGTTAAAATCACGAATCATTGAAAAAAATTGTAGAAAGACCACGAACTAGATTCCATAAGTTGAAACCAAAGCAGCTAATAAGACTCCATTGGTACCACTAATCAAGACCGTAAACTTTTCTTTGATTGTAGGTGAACCATCAAAATCGATACTACTGAAAGCTTTAACTGTTAAAAGTGCTGCACAAGCCTAAGAGTAGACAAAGGTCCTGTTAAGATTGATGTTCAACGCAATCACATTGAGAAAGAAAAGGTCACGAACGAGTAGGTAGTAAGAGAGAATTCCAAAGATGACCAAACAAATCACGTATGTGGTTTGTTCACCCTTTGGACGATTTCCAAGTGCTAAAACGAACTATTGAAGCAATTAAAAGTTTAGATTGAATGAGTAAGGTGAGTGTGGAGAGTATAAATGAACAAGTGTTACGTACTTGTAAAGCCAAGGCTCCTAAGTAAACCCATTGACATGATAAATTAACCCAATGAGTGATGACTTCGTCTTTGAATAAGAAGATCCCATTGTGGGGTAAGAGAGCAATAATGATACTGAAACTGAAGATCCAATCAAGTTTAAATGTCAGCATCAGGGTTAGAGAAGGAGAAAGAATGAGCAAGGCTAACGTAAGCCATAAGTTGGCTGAAAAGTAAGAGGACAGGGATCTAGGGTAAGTTTGGTTCATAGTTTGAAAAGGCTAAAAAGATTGAGACTAACCAGGTGCAAACCACGTAAAAACTAATTGAGCCAAGTTAAAGAGAGCTTGAATGTGAAACATCAAAAGACCTGTGTTGAAAGAAGGAGAAGAAACATTAACGATTAAGTTCGAGAGAGAAAGAAGCCAATGCTTACGAATTGGATTATGACCGGATTTATAGAATCTAAAGAAATGAATAGTAGCATAAACTGAAGCAGCAAAAGATCCATTGAGCCATCTTCTTCTTTGAGAAATCAATTCAGCAGCTTGTTCAGGTACATCAGTTTCTCCTTTAGCCTCTTTAACATAAGATAAAACCCAAGCATCATTAGCTTTAGCAACTAATTCGAAACACAAGATTCGATCTTCAGCCAAAAACATATTCTTGGTAAAGATTCCCATGCCATTAACACCTTTTTTGCCTAACCTATCGGCTAAAGTATGATCACCGTGAAAGTATTGTTGTAATGGTCTACCTTGTAAGGCTGCATAACGATAAGCTGAAAAGGCACCCGGTAACACTGATACATAACCGAAAGCTGATTCTAATGGTTTATCTAAAATGTTTGACATCTTATATTCAAAGTTTTGAGCTGCTACCAATGGATTTAATAACTTCTTTCCACTCTTCAACATGGCGTAAATCTAATTGAAAAAGGTTTCGAGTTAGAATGGGTAATTAAAGATAAAATGATTAAAGGTGGGAAACTTACTTCACCACAAGCACCACCTAGATTACGATTATTATGAAATGCTTGCCAAAGATAATAAAGGGAACGTTTACCAGGTTTGGTACCAGCATCAATCAAAATACAAACTTCAGGTTTAAGTTGTTTTGCAATCGCATTGAATAACCAACGATGAGAGTTGATTTTCTTCGCATTCTTTTGTTTTAAACAAAAAATCAATTGAACCGGTACTAGATTCGATTTAGCTGCTTCTGCTGAAGCTTCTAGAACTGGTGCTACTAATGATGGTTTCGAATCTATTGAAAGTTGAGTGGTGTATTCGAAGATATGGGCTACGGTTTCTTTTCCGTCGATTTCTTTTTTCATTAAACCATCTTGATAAACACCGATTGTAGATAAAACATCCAACACGTTCTTATGGTTGTATCAAAATGTTGAGGATTAGTTTATTAACAAAGATATGTGGAAACTGTTTATTTTGTATTTCTTGATCACTTACTTTATCACAAGGTCCAATTCCATCAAAGATTAATGAAACCACAATTCGTTTCCAACCTTCACCTGTTTTCTTTCCATCTTCACCACCACCTTTACCATTCCAAAACTTAGAATTAGATCTACAAATATCACGAATCTGTAAAGGAAAGACGATAAGATAAGTTTAGAGAAGGATCACAAGATTGATAATTTATAGAAAAAACTCACATTCATCATCACTCCATGCATCGTTCTGGCAAACAAAATTTTATCTTCGTTATAATAAGTTACTGCGATTAACAATTCCGTTTCGCGATCATCTCTTGCGCTTCTTAATTTCCAACCATTCATTGGAGTAAAATCATCCGGATCACATGTAGCTGCTGCATATCTTAAATGTGTGAATTCTTTACTATCACCTGCTTGTTGTTTATATTTTTGTTCTACAGAGTTTGAAATTGCTTTTGGTACACTGATGATTCGATGTGATTGATTCAAAGAAATTGAATCAATGAATACTCAGAAAATGAACTTGGAGATTGGAGGGAATCATGAAGATTGTGTGACTTACGGATAATCATTGATAAAATTACCTTGCGTAAGTTTTACACGTCTAGTGATCCCACGTTGAATAGGACGAGCTCTTCTACGCCAATCATCTTCAGAAGCAGCAATAGAAGGGGAACTTTGACTGAAGCCTTGATGAGGAGGATATTGAAGACGAGTTTGAGAATGTTGATGATGTAAATGAGGTTGTGGATAACCAGCTAAAGGAGCAGCAGTCGAAGTCAAAGGGACTTTTTCACCTGATTCTTCTGGGTAAAATACTTGACTTTGACTGTGATCTAAATGAGATTGAGAATGATAAGGGCCTAATGGTGGTGATTGGGTTGGATGATAGTATTGTTCATATGGTGCGGGTGGAGCTCCATTTCTGGATGGAGATCGGCCGGGAGAAGACGGGTAGGGTGGATTAGGCGAATGACTACGAGGTGGTTGTGATGGATAAGATTGTTGATAGGACATCTTAACTTAGTGAGGTGTTGATGTGAATGAATGTGATTCTAAGATTGATTAGAGTGTAAGACTAGGACGAAATTGGATCTGTCTGTTTAGATTAATCGAAAGCAAGGAAGTAGTTGGAAGCTCAACTAGGAACGAAAGAAACAGGAGGTTGGTGTAGTGTTTGATAGTTTGTTTTTGATTTAAAATTGAAAAATAAACATAAATCTAGATGGCGAGAGGGGTTGTTCAAATGATAGTGATCATGAGTTGAAGGGTTCAGGGTGTTCTGCTTGCGTTTAAGAAAATAAGAGGATGAGGAAAAACTGACGAGGAGTTTTGCAAGATGAGATGGTGCTCAGACTGCTTCGAAAAAGGAATAAATCTAAGGTAGGGTAGAAAGTAGGGTACACTGTCACATACATAGAACTATGCACGGTTCTTGTCGTTTTTTTTTTCAAAACTAGATCAAAAGGTTGAAGTTTAAGCTGAGATCGTGATGATTTAGTTTTCACTTGAGCTTGCTTCTTGCTGAGCTGGATTGTCGATAGAGCAATTAGATGAAAATGAAAAGAACGAGATTAAAAGAATCAATCCCAATGGAATCTTATTAAACTCCACTCGATTACTTAATTCGATGTAATTTTGAGTCTAATAATCCTGAATCTGAATCTGAATCTGAACCAGTCAAACCCCCTGTTGAGCAATTCACAATCAAAGTGAAACAACCTCCAGTTGAGAATACAATTTCTGAGCGTTAGAAGAAGTGTAAAGAAGTGACTTTGTGCGATCCGAAAGAAAGAATCAAGATGAAAGTCTGCTTGGTGAGCTTTCTGGATTCAAGCTCATGGTTTATAAACCTTTGAGATGGAAGCCGAACGAATTGGATTGGAAACGACTGCGATTGTTTTGCTTCGTCGTTAAGTAGGATTTTGTTGTGGTGATCCTCAAACTCTATCTTCGTCTTCCAAATTCGTCACGAGGATTCTAAAACACCAACCCCGAACCCAAAAAAGAACATAATTACCTAGCATGAAGACTTGAAAAGAAGGAAAAGGGAGTAATTCGGTAATGATCACCTTGAGGAAAGGATGATGACCAATGCTTGAACCGATCAAGATTGGTATGAAGCAAAACAGTACAAATGACAACCTTGAGTGCTGCTATAATCCGTAACAAGTGCGAGTCCGGATCAGATGCTGGGAAGTTAGTTGCTCAAAGGAAGATTTTACGGTTCAGAGACGTTTGCGAAGAAGATAACTAGAAGGACTCGGAGACTTTGCATAGCGATGAGAAGGAGTGGTATCCAAGACTTGATAACATGATTGTTGAGGGTGATCTCTCAAAACGGTGCCCAGGATATCTAACGAGCGCTCGCCGAGAGGGGCTTTGTTAGGTTAGCCAGGATATGTGTAACCTCTCCTCCTATTAGCATCTCTTCATCAAGTATCACTTTGCACCCTTTTTTGGTCCAGGTTTGTGATACAAAATAAAAAACTATCAAAGTTGCAATTTTTTGGTATTTTTGGTGAGTTCACTATCAAGCACTCTGAAAGTGGATCAAGTTACTTGTAGGACGAAAATTGTTTCAACTCAACTTGCCTGATCCTTTCAGTCCCTTCAAAGACTCGAACTAAGTCCCAGGTATTTGCCATCAATAAATTATACAATGCATCACAAAACCATCAGAGTTTGAAGAGTTCTTCTTGTGGTAATCTTGATATCATACTATCAGACTGTGCTTGTCTAGAGATAAACAAATTTATCTTGAGAAAGGTATAAGAATTATCGAAAGAACTAGATTTGAGTTGTTAACCGCGGAGGTTAATGATCTCCGCGTGATGTCAGAGAGAAAGTGATATTTGATTATGATCCTAAGTATGTCCTAGCAGTGTTTATCAATTTTTGAGATGTCTTCCAAATTACAAATCCCTTCCGCTAAAGATGAGTGAAGGATTAGATTGATATCTTCAAACAACAGTGATCGCAATTTTCAAAACAGAGTAGGGAATGCTCTATCAGTCCTAGCTCCATCATTATCTGATCATTTGCAATCCCCATTCATTGATCAGAACAAGAAGTCCATGACATTCGATCACATCGCCCACATCACTTGTCCGGAAGAATTGCACAAGGACTATCGTTATCCGTCTCGTCGATCTCTGAATGAGATTTCTCGCTAAAAGTCTATCATCACACATTGAAGTTTTGATTGAGTCTCTCGAGTCCTGGAAGGTCGAGCCCTATGTCATCTGGTTCTGCACAAAAACCAACCACGGATCAGCTCGAGATAAGAACTGAACATTCTCTCCTTATCAATGCCATGCTGGTAGCCGTAGTGCGTAGACAGTCTTCTGACCATTGGCTTGACCCATAATAAGTTTCAACTGTTCTTGGCTTAGCTGATGACAAGTGTCAATCCTTTCCACTTCTTCCGAATCTAGCCTTTCACAAACGTCTTGACGGGATTCATTTTTATTCAGTTTGCACGATTCATGGCTTCCTCTCAATCTAAAGGTCAACGTTATGCTAGGATATGGGGCTCTGTGGCCATCTTACTTCACCTGATGCAACTCGCATTTCAGATTGAGGTGCGCCACACACAAAGGAAAACTTCAATGCTTATGAGCTTGGCGAAGGCTAATTCGCGTAATTTCTGTGTTGCTAATCGAAAGAATTTTCGGGTGACGTGTATGCACTACGTAGTCAATCAGTTCGTTGACTTCTCATTATATGAAGCAATGGGGACCATCTACACCCTTGGAATTGTTCTTATTGTGCAGTAAGTCGATGCAGCTTTTGGTTTGAAAGACTGTGTTCACAAAGAGTTTCGGGGTGACTGCTTCAGATGAACATAGATGCTCGTTTTCATCACAGGATCCATTTCCTACGCATCACTCATGCCATCACATCCCACAAACTATGGCTACTTTCTTCAATATTTGTCTTACTATTGGCTGCCGCGGGAGGATTGAGCACAGCCATCTTTTTTATTCTTGAGATCATCAAGGGTAGGATTCGAAAAAAACCAACTAAATTTTCACATCGCCTCACGATCTCTTGGATCGTATGGCTCGTCTCAGCCACCGCCTTCGATTTGATCCTCACCGTAGTTCTTGTCCGGAGGCTCGTGGAATGCCGAACATGGACCATACATTTACGATCATGCTTAGGAAAACTCTTGGCGTTGTCGATCCAGTGCGTGCTGGAATCTATCGTTTTGTAAAGCTTGCGATGAGAGCGCTAAACTGTAGACAAAATTCAACTTTTATTTTTGTAAATAAAAACCAGGACATTCTTTCTGACATGCATAGCAAGTAGCTTGTCAATGGTTTTAATTTCTGGTCAGTTGACTCCTCTGTTGGTTTCGGAAGACTTTCTGAAATAACATCGATGCTTTCTTCATTAGTCGCCAGATTCACTCCAATCACAGATTCAGTGTTACTCACAAGGCTTGAGACAGCGGCTTTGATCAACAACGCGATGTTGCCTCGAATTTATCTGATCTCCTTCTGTAAGCTACTTAACTAAATCCAGTTTTATTTTCCTAAACCCATTTCAGATATGATCAAAATTCACGATGACCTCCTTAAACTCCTCGATATCAGTTTCTACTCTTACAGATACGATCAAAGGAAAGGAAGAAATGACACCATCAAGTTGTGACTTTCAATACATGCTTGATCGGAATGAGTTTAGGACTGTCGATACTGGAGTGCTTTCGATTTCTTCGGTGGTTTGATATAAGATGGAACAGTCTGAAATAATTGTCCATGGGCAAACTGATCAAATTAATTACTTGTGTCTCATTCATGCCGTGAAAATATATACCCATTTAAATGGCTTTACATGATCAGTGGAAGCGGGAAATCTCAAGAGAAATCATCAGATTCAAAGGTGACATGTAAAGAATAGAAAATTGTAAAAATACTCCAAACTTTTACCGGTGCATTCGAAGAATGAGCGAGCTGGCGAGAGATGAGATATCGCATATATCAGTGGAATCCGGTGTCCGATTTGTTGAATCGAGCCCTCCTCTGAGACCAGCGAAAGGTCTCGCCACGCCGTCACAGCCTTGGATTGAGTTCTGTATGCAATCACAGATATTGCTTGTATGTGCCACTCCCTAGTCAGCTCCCAGTAAGACTGAAAGACTCACCTTACCGTATTGATAAAGAAAATTGAGTGTCCAAGAGTGCAAGGCACTATACATTGCGGATCTTTCGGACGACAATGCACACGGTGCTACTTGTGATCAACAAACAAGGATGATTATTTTGAACGGCGTAATGCCGGGAGAATTTTGGCTGACCTCATGGCTTGATGTCACGCCGGGTCACGCCAGGTTCAAGGAATTTGGGGATCGTGAAGTGTGTGTATACGCAAATTCGAATGACTGCATTGTGATCATTCAAAGGCTGGTTTTGAAATGAATGTCACGTGGGGCTTTTCAATCGTACTTAAGATTGAGATTTTTAAGTGAAGAAAGAGAGCGTATTGGACTACATAATCATTCAAAGATACCAAAACAAAAAAGACAGTATAGTTTCCTCATATTTACATCTAGCTCACAGGGGAGTCAAGCCTGGGGACGGGTCAGTGAGAAACAGATCATGAGGTTTTGTACAAAATCAAACAAATGTCCGGTTGAATCAAATTTGATTGTTAGTCATGTTTGAAGGTGGTGTGGCTGTCGAAGGGTCGGCGTATCTTTGAAGCGATACCATCACCTAGATTTTTTTTGCATTAAGTTAGCCCGATGAAGCAGATTAACTGATTTATGGGAGACTTACATCGTTGAAGGAAAAGTCCAAGTAGGAGTCAAAAATGGCCGCGCCACCAATGTTGTTCATCTCGGGAGCCAAACAGCTCGTCTTGATCTTTTGAGCCATGCTTCCGAGTTCAGCCCAGTTGTACTTGATGGGAAAAAAGCATTTTTGAGGAATATCAGTCTCAAGTTCATTTCTCAACATGACGAACTGCTACAGGGGCTCAACTTGAAGGCTATACTCGGAGAGCTCGGGGTTTTGACTTGGAAAGGTCGCGAGAATCATGTCAGTACAAGTCACGGAGCATAAACGTGAACAGACTTTACACTCACAATACGGTCACACAGGTCCCGTAAGTGACATAAACGTAGGTACCTGTTATCCGAAGATATGCAAGGGTGTGGGAAGGAAGTCAAGAATTGATACCCAAGACGTAGCAAATGTCCGTACGTACCGGGAGCGGCAGTCAAGCTTCCAGTAGAATTGTACAGCTGAGCAGCGATTACTACATCACAATCGGCCTACGTGTGGGCAAGTCAGTAATCGTGATCAAAGAGCGATAGTATCGATTAGGGTTACACTTACAGACAAAGGCTGTTGAAAGCTCCCTGCATTTTGAATAATCAAGTAATTATGTTGTCAGTTTTAAAAATGGTCAAAGTTTTGTAGCTCAAATGCTCTTACCAGCGTAGCAGTCCCATGAGGTAGGCTCCGCAGGTGTTAGATCAACGGTGGTGAGATTGGATGTTGGCTGGGAAAGGTTGGTGCCATTCGAGCCTGTGCTATTGTCAAAGCTAGTGGTGTTGTTAAAGCTAGTAGTGTTGTCAAAGCTAGTAGTGTTGTCAAAGCTAGTAGTGTTGTCAAAGCTAGTAGTGTTGTCAAAGCTAGTAGTGTTGTCAAAGCTAGTAGTGTTGTCAAAGCTGGTAGTGTTGTCAGAGATGGTTGCATTGTCAGAGATTGTTGGGTTGTCAAAACTGGTTGGGTTGTCAAAACTGGTATTGTTGTCAAAGCTAGTAGTGTTGTCAAAGCTAGTAGTGTTGTCAAAGCTGGTAGTGTTGTCAAAGCTGGTAGTGTTGTCAGAGATAGTTGCATTGTCAGAGATGGTTGCATTGTCAGAGATGGTTGCATTGTCAGAGATGGTTGTGTTGTCAAAGCTAGTAGTGTTTCCAGATGATGTGCTATTATCAAAGCTGGTTGCATTATTAATGCCAGTGCTATTCGCACACGTAGAGGCATTATTGTTCATACTCGAGGCATTATTGAGGCTGGGAATATTGTCAACAAGAGAAGGGTCTTGATCATTTGAAACCTGTCGCCGTTCTCGTGCGCGTGTGGTAGTTGATTGGGTGGTAACCACAGTTGTCTTTTGGTAAAACGAGACGGTGGCTCCCTTCATCACAAATGTTTGTACGAGCTTCGTGCCAGGCGGACCTTGTAAAGTTTGAGGATTGGGCTGATTGGAAACATCTGGACAAATGCAAAAGGGTGGTGATCATGGTGGTGAGTAGAATAATCATGGAATGCGATGGTCAGGAATGAATTGTCACTCACCTGCCGTTGTGGGGTTGATGGCACCTATGAGGAGCATTGATAGGATAATGGGAAGGGAAGAACACATCTTGACTTGTTGATTCCTGAAAAAGCTCGGTTGAAATGATGGTGTTTGAGCTGATGGACGCTGATGCTGATTGCAAATTATGATATAGAATAGAAGGAAATTATAATGAAATGACTGTGGTCTAGCTTTCAAATGCTAAAAAATGATGGTAGGGTAAGATATATCGCAAAATATACGGACGGCTTTCGAGATTTAGATATGTGGTGCCAGGGGTTGAATATGGGGGGGAGGCAAATGCTTCGCCACTGAAAGGGTCGACTATAAGAAGGGAATGCGAGTCGCAGTCATCATCGGGATACGCTATCTCTGACAGACCCTCAACTTTCAAGACACAACTTGAGACGCGTCCAAATGTGCGGATCTCTATGAGACTACATACATACCATGATTTTCTTAATTCTCGTGATAACCTGAAACTTTACCCCTTACCGTCTCAATAGAGCTCATCGGGCGGCGAGTGTGTTTCAACTTTGAGGGCCTGGAAGGGCTGGGTGATCCGTTTTTCAAGGGGCCAAGGCTGGCCAAGTTCTATCGTGTTTTTGGGTGTTCACTTCTCTGGCTTGTTCAGTGAAGTCTTAGTCGACATGTCTAATCGCCGCCAAGTGGAGCAAATTGGGATGATAGGGGATACGATTCTTCACCCACCTTCAGCATCTAGCCTCCAGGGCCTTGAGCTGTGAAGCGCCGAGCGTTGTATAAAGCTACTTCCGGTAGGTAATTTGACGTCTTCCCTTACCAACCAAACATGCGTTCTCAAAATCCCACTACTTGCAAACATACAATTTTGTCATCTCCACGTACCCAGACGTGTTTTGGGTCTGACGATGACATCGCTTGTTGTGTTGCTGTGCGTTCTGACGGGTCCTTTCCCAAACAGGAGACAATCGCCTATGGTCCTCGCTACCTGATCAACTAGTCCCTCTCGGCGAGCTCTAAGAGGGAGTGGTAAAGCTGGCACAACAGTGATCAGTCGATCGATTCACAGCCCAAAAGACCATCACTGGATTTGTCAAATGCCACTCTCCTGCAAAAATTGTACGCTTAAGAGTAGGGCTGTGACCCGGGTCCGACCCTGACCGACCCGGTCTGCCCGACGACATCTCAATGGTCCACATGACCGGGCCCAGGGCCACGAGACCTAGCCTGGCAATGCTCCAAAAGGCCCTGCGGGCGTCTCGGGCGCACGACCCGACCAGGTTGGTGTTGATTTTCTTGTCACTAAGCCTATTAATAAACAATGTTTGAAAGAAAACCAGCTGACATACAACTTACCTGCCAGCTGATCATCACCCATTGCCCCTACCAAGCCTCAGGGCTCAACTTCTGGCCCTGCCCTGAGTGAGCCAAGCCAGCCCTCCTTAAGAGCATCTGCAATTGTCGGATTAAGTGGTTGGATTAGTTAAATATTTAACTCAATACCTAGAGAATGAAACGGTAAAATATGTACCCAGGATTAGTGTAACAATCTTTACAAAATCTTTAGACTGGGTCAAATTTAAACCAGCCTAAATATTTTCTACAACTCACCTTGTGCCCTTGCCTTCACAATATCCACAACACTGCACCCACCCACGCACATCATATCACAACCACATCCATCACCACTTCACTCACAGTCATTCTACTCTTCCAAGCAGCTCTTCCACATGGATCAAAGAACCCAAGCTCATCAGACTAATCAAACACTTCCAAACAATGAAGCCATTCAAACACCAGCTCCAACTACCAAAAGAGGTCGCAGCCAAAACTGGACTCTGGCTGAGGAAGAACAACTAGTGATCTCATGGATTGCCATCAGCAAGAATGCTATGTTTGCAAATAATCAAACTGGAGCAGAGTTTTATCATAAGGTGGCCAAGCACTACAACAATGTGTGCAAGTTTTCAACTCAATCATCCAATCAAAAACAAAACCAGTAGGTTTTCTTTCAAACATGTCATTTTCCATTCCAGCTGAGACAACCTCATTCAACAGTTGGAAACCTATCAATACGGCAACTTTGAAATTTTCCGACATCTATGGGGCTCTTGAATGCAACCAACCAAGCGGAACCACACCGGCTGACTACATGAACATCACCAAGAGGAAGTATTTCAGTCAAGTTGAACATCCCTTCCATAACAAGGTTGCCTGGCAAGTCTTTGGTTATGCTCGCAAATCCGGTCAAACAAATCACGGCTACTCCTAGCGTGTCCACTTCAGGTATCAGCTCACCTCTTAGTCTGCAATCAACACCACCTCCTGAATCAACTGAAACTATTGAGTTTCCTCCTGCCACTGGCCAAAAAAGAGCAAAACATCAACAAGACAAGTTTGAAATCAAAATTGAACCTACCAGAGATCTCAAACATGTGACCAACATTCAGGGACGCAAGGCTATTGTCAAAAGCTATCTGCTTGCTGGTCATGCTCTCAAACTTGAAGAAGAGACTAAGGCAAGCAAGATCTACCATGATGACATGAAGAGATTGACCACTTCAGTTGATGTGTGTCTGGATGAAGAATCAAAGGAAGTTTTGAAACTCATGAAGGCCAAGTTATTGAAGAAGTATAGGGATGGTTAAGGAGCTCTGGATGGTAATTAGACATGCTGCTTTGGTTGGTTTCATTTGCTTATTCGTCATAGAATCTATATCAGTTTCATCATATTGATTTCAATAGCCTTAGCATAAGACTGTTGGATATAGTTGATTTCATTTGCTTATTCGTCATAGAATCTATATCAGTTTCATCATATTGATTTCAATAGCCTTAGCATAAGACTGTTGGATATAGTTGATTTCAGTAGCTTATGCAGTATATAATCAATGTCAATTTCATTGTATTGATCATAATGGCTTATATACAATATAAGGATGTTCAATATGAAATGAAATATGAGTTCTGAAGCTCTTTTTGTTGGAGATCACCTAATTTGCACCTGTTCCTCTTTTCATCTACATTGAGATCTCAAGATCTTCCATTAATTGTAAGGGTTGATCACGGCTTTGTAGCTCAGCCATTGTTTTGTAATATTGACCAAGAGTGTAAGAAATTCAAGGATCAAGCCGGTTTTGATGAGTTTCAACATCATGTTTGGAACGATAATCAATGATGATTTGATCTTTCTCACCATGTTCTTCAACAACCATATTGTGTAAAATGATACAACACAAAATCACATTTTTCATATCCATCAATTTCCAAAGACGGCATGGATGTTGAAGTATGTGCCAGCGTGCTTGTAGAAGCCCCAAAATTACGTTCTATATCCTTTCAAACTGATTCCTGACACTTTGAAAAGTAGCTCCTGGATTTGTCACAAGGGAGATATATAGATCCAATCAGGACGGGCCAGGAGGGGTAGATACCATTGGCATCATTTCTGTTCACCTTAAAATGGATTTGATCTTCAGAGCCTATAAGATTCAAAGAAGAAAGTGTCAGATAACAAAGTATCAGAGGTATCAATTAATCTGAAGTGTGTTACCATTCATAAAATAATCAAAAAGTGGACTATTTTGTAAGACATTGATGTTATTGAGAGCACCCGGTGTCCCAAAAAAGTGTGCCATATATGTAGGCTCTTGGAAGCAACTGCCTCCAGTACAACCAATGTGTCCCTTTCTTTACCCTCAAACTCACCAGCCCTCCCCTGAGCACAATTTTTCCAAAGCCAGTGCATACCATCAATCACAGGGGCCAAAATTGATGCTCACATACATGTGAGCGTTGTAGACTTTCCTGAAGTCTCCAAAAAAGATTCATTTTTTTCCAGATTCATTCAATTCACAATTTTGGTAGTGTTCATGCAATCAGGCTGTTTTGCTCAGATTTGGCTTGGCGTTGCTGGAGAATGCTCATCTTCATCTTGGATGAGCATTCTTTGGGCCCAGTCTCTGAGATGAGTATTCAGGATCCATTCATGAGGCATACTTAGAACAGCTCAGAACCTCTACAAGATGGAAACAAACTCATCTTGTTTTCACCACCCTCCCCAATACGTGTCAGCACCACCACAAATTTACCCCGCTTTTGTTGAAATTTGGTTTGCAGGGTACCCAAGAATCACGGCCAGAACCTGGCTCAAATTCCGCAGGTTTCTGAGCAGAGACCGGTTTCTTGACGGGTTGAGTTTGATATGTACTCCAAGCACAATTGGCCAACCCATCTGTGAGCAGTTTGCCAATAGCATCAATATCAGCAGACAAAAACCGCAATTACGACACAACTTATTAGGATTACGACCAACTGAATTGCTGTGGTTGATGAATTAGCGGTTACAGACCCTACAGAAGATAACACAAGAAGAGATTGTCAAAAATTGAAAGAATAAGAAGAAGCAATCTCAGTTCAACATCAACAACAACATCATTATTATTTCCAATCTAAATCATTATCAACAAATCATCAATCAAAATACTTACCACACAAATATCCATCACCCTCAATTACAATTCATCATAGTGATTGTTCTTCAATTGATTCATTTCATTTAATTGTTATCATTCCAATCGTCAACTTCATTCTCAATCTGATTCATTTTCATTTTATTCAACTTCACTTTGTTTATCTTCAAAAAAACATTCTACTTCTCATGATCATTATCAATTGAAATAATGTATGGCTATTTTTGTTTGACTTGTTCATTTAAAGCAATCAGGTCATCTAGGTATGTTCTTCACTTGTCTCTCGTTCTTCATGAACCTTCCACTGAAATCAAAATTTCCAATTCCCAAAAATCTCTTTAGCTCATTTATCGATTGGTGCTCCTCTCAAATCCCAAAAACAAGCAAAAAATTCAAGAAAACCTGAACCAAAACCAACAAAGCCATATCCAAAACCAACAAAAAACGTTGAACAATCTAGTGAATCTGAATCTGAATCCGAGCCCGAACTTGAACTTGAACCTGAATCGAACCCATCATCATCATATCCTAGAGTACAACAACAAACCAATAAACATGCACCCATGGTAATGTCAAGTAAAAGATCAGTCACTAGAAAAACAACCGTAGTCACGATCCCAAAAGTAGAAATACTAGATCCAAGATTATCAGGATCAATCGATCCAACATTACATTTAAGATCATATGGATTTTTAAAAACTGAAAGAAAATTGGAATTAGAAACCTTGAAAAACCTATCAAAAAATGAAATCTAGATCTGGTTCAATCTCTGAAATCGGATTACAACAAATGGAAAAATCTTTGAGAAGAGCTCAGAATCTTGGGCTTCGAAAAGATAAAATCAAAAGAGAGAGAGAAGCATTAAAGAAATGGCAGTCAGAAGTAAAACTTAAACAAAAAGAAGGAAGGAATCCACTTTATTTACAGAAGAGTAAATTTTTCACTTTATAGGTACTTGTTTTAATTTTTTGAGCTTTTTACTAAACTCTTGGTTTTCTTTTTTGGTGGGGTGTTTTTGGTAGAGGAACAATAGGAAGTTATCTTGGCTGATCAATTTTATCACTTATCTCAAGATAAACAAAAGTTACAAAAAGCTGTTGAACATAAAAGAAAGAAAGTCGCTGGTAAAGAGAAGAAATCAATGCCGGCTAAATGAGCTTGGTCTTGAATGGAAAATCATGTTTAATTGACAGAAGTCATTTCTTGGAATGGTTTCAATCCTTTTCATTGCTACTCTCTTGATGGTTTAAAATCTGTCGGATGACTCATTGTGTTCCACTCAACCTCACAACTCACCCGTAATATGATCATTCCACACTATTCTTGAACTTTTATCCTCTCTATCTTTCACTTCTAGGGTCTATGATTTCTTTGTTTTTTCACATAGACTCGTACAAGTGCTATTGATTGTGCAAGATCTGTGGACTCCTTCAAGACATCAATGTATTACATCATTATGTGCAGTGAAATTGCATTCTCTTTTGATATCTTTGAAGATGCGTGCATCATAGAATAAACAAGATCCGATCCAGTTTTACACAATCAAATTCTACATGGAATCATCAAATTGACACTGCCCAATTACTTTTACTCTGAAGCATGCTAAACTATTGTTTGAATTTCTTGATTTATACGTATTTCACATACCAAACCATGCATTGAAAGCTTTCTAACTTCAATGATTTTTTTATCGTAGAATCCCATTCCAAAAAGAACCAATTAAATAAGCTAATGAAGTGATTGTTTTTTGATCAGTTGGTAAACCAGTTGATGGATCTACCACATTTCTTGCCAAATATCAATTATGTCTTATTAATCTTGCCTATCATATCATTCATTGATTCATCAATTCATTAATTTGATAAAACAAAACAAAACCATCATTAAAAACACTCTTATGAGTCAATTTAAATTTATCTTACTTGATCAAAATTACAACGATGTTCATGCATAATCTTTCCGACTTCTTCCAAGTCTAATTGTCGATGATCTTCATCTGAAAGGTTATCAGATAAATCAAAAATTGCAGAAGAGTAACCAGATGAATGAGCCACATCAAATGTAGGTATTCTAGACAATGATCAAAACAATAAGCAAGTAATATGATACTAGTACTATGAGATGAAGGATTGTATGATTTGATTTGAATTTCAAACCATTAAGACCTACGGTGCATGGGATGGGAAGTGTTGTTAAAGACTTGGTGGTAGTAAGTTGATTAGGTGATGTTGTTGATAAGTGATCAATACACCAGTTCAAAGTAATAACTTGGATTTTGAATTCATGACTTTTCTAATTCACCAAAGGTGAGTAAATCGAAAAAATCCATTGGAGGTATATGAATCGGTTTCCTCAAAACTCTTGGTAGTCCTTATGTCTGACCAAAGTAAATGCGGTGTATTAGTAAGAATGAGGTTTTGAGTCACTTGAACGATTAGCGTTCAACCAATTGGTTTTCTTCAATAGGAAGACGTTTGGCCAGGAAAGTTTTGATGCGTAGAGGAAGTTTCCTTCAAGGTTCTTTTGTAGTCACTAAAGCTAATGAACCAGCTTAACCTCCAACCATCATTATTCAATTCAATTCAACAATGGATTCCCAAAATTAGTGTCAAAGAAAACATTCAAGAATGAACCTTGAGACACTTACATCTTGAATGGCTCTTTCAATTAAATTGAAGATGATTCCTCTCCACCACGTCATTTGAGTCTCATCATTAGACTGCCCATTATGAGAATGAACTTCTGTACTATCTTTCATAGCTCTTAAGATGCCTATAATTTGATCTACTGATAATTCAAGACCATACATCTTTTTATAAAACACATCTACTTCTGCTTCTGTATGTGAATTGAATGAAGATAATTGAATTCTGGTTCATCTACCCTTGAGGCTGGTGGAGGAGGTAAACCGGGTGGAACAGGAGGTGGAGGTGGAGGTGGAGGTGGGGTAAGAGAGAGAAGTCCCGGTAGAGGCAGTAGCAAGAGTAATGGTTTGAATGGCGATAATGAAGACATTGTTTGAAGATTGAATTCTTAAAGCTGAGATTGAAGCGTGAATAAGATGTTGAACGGACAACAAGTCTGTATCACCTGGATTTTGACGGACAACCTATGTATTTGGAAAAAAAGAGGAATAGTAAGTAAAAGAGATCTAAAAGGATTCAAAGTAATACTTGAAACTTAACAGCTTGGATTTCCTGTTGAGCATAAGCAAAGTTTTCTTCAGTGAGAGCACGGATTTTGAATGCGACTTGAGTCCTATGGATTGTCTTGTAAGGATGATCCCGGCTAGACTTTTAGTATTGAGCAGGTTTGTTTGAAAGTATGAGAAAGGAGTGCGTGAAACTTGAGAGGATATCACGGGTTTGTAAGGTCTGCAAAAGGGACGTGAAAGTGATTACTGTCAGCTGACAGTCAGCACTGTCCGGGAGGTCCCAGTTGCCCTTGTTCCCGAAACAGTTTGGGTTGGTGTTGTAAAACCCAACACAGGGATAGCTTGACAAAACCCCAGCCAGCCACAGGTGTCCCCCGTATCAGCAGGTGTCAAGGGATGCCGCTGAGGATGAGCTGAGGGGCTTAGATGAAGTGAGAAGATGGGCCAGCCCTCCCTCAGGCTTCTTTGCTAAGGAATGTTGCCTGAGGGAGGCCTGACTCATCTCCTCAGTTTCTGTTGATCACATAATGAGCTGACAAGCAGAAAGAAAAGGGAAACAAATGGGAAACAAATGGGAACAAAACAGGAAAATTTCAACGCTCACATAGTTGTGAGCATCAATTTTTGCCCCTGTGAATACTTCCTTTACATACAGGGAACCCTCTCAACTCATTCTCCTGCAATATTATCGCAAGTTCATCAGGATTTGGGGGCCATAGATATTCTTTTATGCATATGTCTATTACATCACACACAAAGTGCTTCATAGATGCAATTGCAGTAATTTTACCAATCTTTATAAATTCATCAACCACATCTGGAGATACACCATAGGCTAGCTGTCGGATTGCAGCTGCCAGCTTCTGAGTGGTTGAGACACCTAGTTCCTTGCAGCAATCCTATGTAAGATGAAACTAAAATGAATAATCATGATCTTGAATGAATTTAGAAATATTTTGTATACAAAAACATGCCCAGTGTTGTACCCAATAAATATTATGTTGCTGCTGTCTTCAGCAATCTTTGAAAATAGTTCAGGACTCATTTGAAACCTTCTCTCAAAGTAAGCCCGCGGATATAATGGTGAGTCTTTGAAGTAATCATTGTGTAGACATTGATCCGCTACTATTTGGTCCCATTTGATTGTTGTGCATGTGTTGTGCTTGAATAGAATTGCAAGATCATTTGATCATACTTGTCGTCATTGTCCTCTTCAAGTTGCCTCAAGTGCTGTTCTACCATGGCTCTGGCGTCCATGTTGCAACAAAATCAAAATTTTTGTTGAGTTGTATTGCAGATGCAAGACGCAACCAAATTAAATAAAATTTAACTCAAGATTAGAGACAAGCCACTGTGGAGCCAAGCTCTAGGGTTTGTTGTGTTTTTCCCCCAGACACTAGGAGGGGACTTAGTTAAGTTAGCCCCGACCAAAGATTTGTAATTTAAACCTGACACCGCGGGAAAGAATTAGTTCAAAACCCAATTGAGGGAAGTTGCCTAACTTAACTAAGTCCCTCTCAGACAGACAAGTAGTTGAGAGAGGGACTTAGACCATATACCACCTCTGTGGCGTATGAGCTAGAAAAGTTTGGCTGGGCACATCTTCAATCCTCCATATCTTTGTAGCCAAATATCTTCTGGACCAAAGAAAAATCCGCTGCGCCTGATCATCCTACACACACATGTCTTTTCAAATCAAATCCCTCCCTTGCCGCCAGGAAAGCCCTTCAAATTAGACTTGAAGAATTGAGTTTTGTGTAACATTTCAGTGTCTTTGGTGTGAGATTTTGACAGGTTGTCAGCTTTTGGCCTGATTTTGGTATTTTTTGCAAACTTCACAATTGCATTGCTCTGCAAGTTTTGAATCAAATTCAAAGCAGGCTACACATATGTGTGTAGATTAAGTGGGCACGCAGCCCTTTTTTCCCCAAGGATATTTGTTTTCAGGATACAAAGATATGGAGTGTTGCAAAAGTCCCCAGCCAAACTTTTCTGGCTCATACGCCAAAGAGGTGGTATAAGGTCTAAGTCCCTCTCTCAACTACTCGTTTGTCCGAGAGGGACTTGGTTAAGTTAGGGAAGTTGTGGTGTCCAAGTCAGCAACTTCCTTCAATTGTGTATTTGGTTCACAATATGTTCACAATGGGTTCACAGGTTACCCTTGAGATGCCCCGTCTATTTGCTACATGTACAGCCGTTTCAAGAAAGGTTGACAACTTTTTGCTGGAGAAAGTTGTCTCCGCAACGGCTGAAACCAAAGACAAAACTTGATTACAGGTTTATTATTTCCTGTATTCTTCCAATTAGCAGAGAGACAAAATCAAGTGAGGGACAAAACAGGACAAAACCCGGGTTTTGCACATTGGCAAGATTTTCAAAAAAAACAATCTTTGTTGGAACAGCTGTACAAAACATATATATATACCCAATAGTCTCTTTCACAGTATCAGCTATCATCAAACTCATTTATATCTTTGACTCCAGGCTCACTGGCAGAGCTGGCCAAATGGTTGCATCAGAGGAATTTCTGGTGAGCTGTTGCTCTGTGGTATCATGTCCATGGTACAGCTCGAGGGTAACACATGAACCTAATGTGAACACATTGTGCACGAGATTTGCAATTGAAGGAAGTTGCGGACCTGGACACCACAACTTTCCTCAAACAGGTTTTGAACCATTTCACTCCTGCGGTGTGAATAATCCAAATTTAACAAAAACAATTGCGGATGCTCTAACAAAATGGTTTATCACCGCGACCGGATCCCTCCAAGAGCAAGTGGTTATCCGTAGCCTCAGGCCCGAAACAACCCAAACGTGCTTTTCCCAAGTTGATACTCGAGCGCCATAAAACATTATTCAAAATCTTTACCATAAGCTAAGAGAAAGTCGACATTTGCCCGCACGGAGTATGCTCACCAATCAGGGGAATCTATTGAGCTATAAGTACTACAATAAGATAGATTACATCATGGGTACAGAGGGACACAGATAACAACAGATGGGAAGCATGTGGCCACACGCCTCGGTTTGGATTAGGTGGGGCTCCCTCCAGGGTTTGTTAGGACTGGGCCAAAGGAAGTCCGCTATGAGCCGAAATTGGGAGGACAAAAGAAAAGCACCACCATCATCAGCAAGGTTCGAGGTTAACGCTTGGTATAGAATCGAGAATGAGAATGAAGTAGAGGGTAGACGGGTCAGAGCATAGTCAAAATATCAACATGCCGGACACAAGTGCCCGATTCATGACAGCTCCAATAGCGATAGAAAATTGACACAATCATCATGCAAAGCGCGAAAGCGAATGAAAGTTGACTTACAATAAGTCTAACAGGTACGAGTCGCCGAGGGGGCGAGTTGTCTGAGGGGTCTCCTGGACGTAGCGCCATCATGGTGGGGCAGAGTGTGCTGAGGCTCCGGCTGGTGGTGGATGAAGTGTAGTAGGCCAAGAGGGCAACTTGTGAGACAAACAACTAGGTTTACTAGGCCTGGTTTAAGCCCGGGGCAGCCCGGGTCACACTAAAGTTTAATTAAAGTACCGCGCTGGTCGCGGGCCTTCGAGCGCGCGGGACTTGTCTGACATGGACTTCAAAAAAAGCAAAGAAAAAGTCGATACAATTGCTTCGACCAGATGGCCGATCTTCCAAGGGATACTGGTCCTTTCCTCACTATTTGCTCAGAGAGTGATTGTGCAATCAATTCCAATCAGCATTTCCTTTGTAGTTTTTTGATTCGATGAGTCCAGTTTCAATTCATTTCTTGAGTCACAAGGGAGGTCTTTGTGCGAAAAAGAGGTGCACAAGAAAGATACCATATTCACAAGTCAGAGACCCAAAGACGCGGGCTCATACAACAACTTGTGTGAATAAGCCACAAGGTCCCTCTCTCGACTAGAACGTGATAGGGCGAGACGAACTCCGATCTCCCTCATTTCACTGATTTCCAGGCATATTGACTCTACTTGTTAAAGTTGATTTTCTCTCACTTCATTCATGTACGGAACATTCTCAAATTTGTCATTTGAGAGCGCAGCAATAAAAACACGATCCATTTCTATCAGTTCTATCTCGGTCGTATCAAGACATATAGACATATACACGTCATTGTAGCACAGAAGAGAAAATACAATTTCAAGCACATGATTGTTCTGACAAAGAGGTCTAAAGACGCGCAGATCAAACTGTCTCACTATTAGTTCCGCTGCTGGCTGGAGTATTGGTATCGGTGGGGTTAGGCGTTGCAGTAAGGTCGGTCAAATTGCCGGTACCCTGTCCACCTTGACCGCCAGTGCCACCACCACCACCACCACCTCCTCCTCCTCCTCCTGCACCACCACCACCACCCTCACCACCACCATTTCCACCTCCAGAACCAGCACCACCCTCTCCACCCCCGGTGCCAGAACTATTCTTACCGAGTGGATCGTCGAGTTTCGGGATTGGTGGATCATTTTGTGTAACTGGTGGTGTAGTTTGAGACTGAGTTTGCGAGTCCGACCCGTTGTTTGGATTTACAGTGCCGAGTAAAGTCACGCCGCCATCAATAGCTGGGCCGGGACCGATTCCCTAGCAGAACAAATGCAATACTGAGCCTAACCATCTACGACTGTGTGACATTCAAATGTCTAGGAAAAAGAAGAAAAGAAGTGTGAAAACAAACAAGATGGGGTGAGTGATCTCCCTGCGATTCATGAAGTTTCTTTTTGTCCGCGTCAAGTTTTGCTTTTGCTTTTTTCAGTTTCTTCTCAGCATCGTGAACTTCCTTTCGGTCCTTGGCAATTTTTTCTAAGAGACTCTTGTCATCGCCCTCACCACCATGGTGGTGATCGTGATCTTCATCGTGGTGATGGTGATCTTCATCATGGTGATGGTGATGATGATCATTCGAGCTGGAATTGTGGGGTACACCACCAGTAGTGAGATTCGATTGTGGATCAGGATTGGTGAGATTTGATTGCGGGTCGGAAGTAGTGCCATTCGACTGCGGATCGGAAGTAGTGCCATTTGACTGCGGATTGGAAGTAGTACCATTGGAGTGAGTCAGATCGGTTGGGTCATCTCGCTTCTGAAAGGAAGGCAAAATCAGCATCGCACTATGATGGCTTGAAAGCTTTGATGAGGTGTGAGAAAAGAGTGTGAAACACGTGAACTGACCGCAAGAAAACGATGTGTTTTACGACGCATAAGTGGAGCCGTGAGGGTGTCGCGGGCTTCAATGCGTCCACGGTGCCCCTCAGCAGCGCTGAGGACTGCCCCAATGGCTAGGAGCGTGCTAAACAGACCAGACGTTTTCATTGTGACAGATTATCTAGACCCCGAAGGTAAGAAACTTTGAATGAAAGTGAAAAGTTGATCCGAAAACAACGAGCTTGTTTGTGGAGTTGATGGGTCAAGGTGCGGTGATAAGAATGATTGAAAGGAAACCAGTCCGTGAAGTTCAGAGTTAATAGAGTATTGAAAAATAGGTTGTGTTGAAGAAAAAGAAAATTGAAAGAGATAATGATGCTTGGCCAGAAAGCATGGGGAAAAGAGCTTTCTTCAGAGGGAGAATGTGGTCTATTTATCCATAAACCTCTACACTTCGAAGTCACTGGATTTGAAATCCAGCGTCATCCTCTCCATGATTGTTGTTGCACACGTCGTCAGTCAGATGCATCCTGGAGCCAAAGACCGAACGGCTCACTGAATACACAACCCAAAAACCTACCAACGAGTCCTTGAATTTGTAAATGGTGGCGAGCATGCCGCTCTATGGCAACAGAAAGTACAAAAGAATTGAATCAAAAAGCGCAATCTCGGTGCTGGAAGGAGCTATGTACCTGAGAGAGGGCTCCTTGGGCCTCGCAACACCCACCGGAAGTCGCAAGTTGACTTCTAGTGCGTTCTTGCATCGCGCACAAGGTTACAATGGTGCATAGCAATTCGGGGCGGATGGTTTAGCAGGCGCTTAGGAGACAGGGGTACACCCCGGTTCGCCATTTATACACACCGGCTGTAGCGACATATGAGGTCATATCCTTCTCTCGATCGCTCCGAACATTTGGCGTTGGGTAAATCCCGAGTCTGGATGACGAGAGGCCTGGGCGCTTCAGAGCCTTGTACAGCGGGTTACGTGTCTGGTGTGGTGCTGGTATGATTCGCGTCTGTTCCAAATGATACTTCATACTTATCATTTGCATCGTTCGCTGGCCAGGAAATGACACATCGCCACTCACCTTAAACCTGGCAGGAAGAAGAGTCGCTGAGACGCGGAGTAGACAATTTTTTTTCTTCTGAATGGTCAAATATGCGATTATGTAGTTATGTGTCGATGGGTATAGCCAAACCTCGTGCTATGGTGGTTTTATGTTTGGGCTCAAATCGTATGGTAAGATCTCTTGCTGAAGGCCTCTCGCGCTGTCCCATCTCACTGTGGTCAGTACCTCAGTGCCATCATTCCATTCGTGTCTGTTTGTGAATCTCGAGAGGAATTCTTGAATGGCTTTTCCTATCTAATGTTCGTATTCCCAATCACGTTTCAGGGGGGAGTCAATCTAATTTCTTTCGAACAGCGCAGGGATCATCCGGGCTCCGCTACCCACACGCAAGAGTAAATCAAGATCAATTTTCCCATAATCGTTGTAGGAGCAAACCAACCTATCTTTGAGAATCGGGACATCTGTTGACCAGGCTGTTTCGGTCTCTTCACAGGTGATGAGGCTAGCTTGGTTTCTTCTCGACCTAGGTTTTGGCCGGGTAGGCGGATAATTCTGAGATGCTATCCAGACCAGAGTAGAGCACGCTACGTTGAGACTCAGTTTGTTCAAGTGGGCACTGTTTTCCATGATCCGAGGGCACTTAATAAAAACTGAGTCGACGAACTTGTCCACTTTTAAGAGCGAGCGACTGTGTTAAGTTAATGTCCACCCGGTATCCTGACATGCAATCTTTTACCCATACGAGCAGAAAGACATCCACAGATAGCGGGAAAATACGGAATCACTCGGAGTCGGAGGACCATGAATTCAGCGATCATGAACGTGCAATTGGTCATATCGAGATTCAAGCAAGCGTTCGAGTCGACACGTATTAAAGGTACACACGACTGCATTGCTCATCTGACGCGGTTCTACATATATTATATGCCCTAGTGTCGCTTCAGACCAGACCCCGACAAACGCTTGCCAGCCTTGGGTATCACAGCACGTTTACACTAACAGCACGGTTTAATTATAATATCAATGTATCTTCAATTTGGATGGAATTGCCCAGTCCAAGATTTACCTTCCTTACCAGGTATCTCATTCAGCCTGGATAGTACTCAGGCTGAGCGCAATTGTTGCTGGGCCCTTTGTCGGATCTCCCACGACCGCGTCTCGAGCTTCACATTGACAAAAATTGCAAAGCCTGGCAAGTGATACATATCTGCAACGTCAGGCCACGCTTTCGACATTCACGGATTAAGCATTCTCTCAATCTTAACATAAGCATTCCACCTGGCTCTCCAATACCTCTATCTGTACACATATCGGACCATCATCATTTTCAAGACATCCTCAGTTCAATAATACTACTCACAGTCTAGCCTTCTTTACCAACCGTAAACAACCCAAGACCCAATAACATTCAAATGGCCCTCTCAAAGTCGACAGGAAATGCAAACGCTTTTTCCAAGTCTGAACCCCCATTAATTCAACTTCAGAACCAAGAAGGAGAGCTCATCTCTCAGGGCACGGACGAATTCCAAATCCAGCTGCATCCTGATCGTGACTTTATCACCATCCCACTTACAAGTATAAATAAAAGAAGACTCTCCTCACCAGAACAAACGTATTTGATCCCCGCTCACAGTGAACATCCTGAATATGAGGTTATCCTTCGTCCGAAGCGCTCGAGCTTCCGTGCAATATCGAACCCCTCCGAAGCTTCCATTTCTCGAAACGTGAGTCATTCTACCGAAAATACAAACCTTATATTAGCGCTCAAAAGTTGTCAGTAGACTCTGAGACACACAGCCACATTTTTTCAGGTGTCGTCAGAAATGCCGACAAGCCGCCACGAGCCACTGGAGTCACCTACCCGTCCCAAGTTAACACCTGCTCAAATTATAATGGCCACCAGTTATCGAGAGAGTGTCAATAAAAGGAGCTGTGTAGCTCTATTATTTTTTGTCCTTGCATGTGGGGGCAAGATCATTCTTGGTACGCTTTTGTGATTTGTTCGTGTCTACCAAGAGCAATCGCCAATTTTGTATACTTCTTTGTAGGATTCGGTGCTGGACTGGCAGTCCAGGCTGCTTTCACCAAACCCGAGCCCCATCAATCTCAAATTGTTTCAGGAGGTGTTGTGGCCGGCCTTGGTGCAATATCAGTAATCTTTGCTTCCCTAGGTTTCGGCGCTTCGATTACTCGAGTCTTTTTACTTTTTGGTTGGACGATGAAGGCCACCTCTATCTCAGCAGCCTCTCTTATAACAGCCGGCGACGCCATTAGCCGTCAGTGCCACAATTATATCTCTCGAAAGATAAAGTCTCTGTATTGATGTTCCTTCATTCTTTTTCGTTTTTTTTTGGAATCTGATCACGAAAAGTACAGAGTACTACTATTCGACAGGAGATCAAGTCAAATCGATTCGCGTAACTTTTGTACCGCTCGCGATTGGTACCGCCTTACTAGCCATTTCGCTCCCAAACTTCGTTGCTTACACAGAGTTATATAGAGGCCGCACCATCGGCAGTAAGTGTCTTATCTCAATTTGAATTGCAAAATCGGACCACTGACTCTCATGAATTCAGTCCCGTACCATAAGAGACCACTTGTTGCTTTATGCTGTTTGGGCACCGCTAATGGCTTACTTTTTGGGGGGTGGGTGTCCGGTGAACACGCTGATTGGCCTCCTGCTTTCAACTTGGGTACGTTGGAATTTTCTCCCGCTGCTCTTGACCATATCAGAATATTGTACTACGTCTCTTATGCATCTTTCATATCATGATTCTTTCTCGAACTCGAAAATATCACAGCAATAATGACCGCGGCTATCTCTGTAGGCTATTTTGGGGCCAGTCTTATGTGGAGTGACCACATCCATCGGAGAGCTGCTGAATACGAAGTTAGACTTTCGCTCGAACAGGAAAGCGAAACAACAGAAAAATCCGAGTCAACAAATCCCACCGAGAAATCACCCCGACAGTTGCCTGTCGAACTTTGAACAATATGGTGTTGGATATTTAAAACACATTGGATAAAAAACTCGTTTTTAAGTGGTTGATTAAGTTATTTTGCCTTGTCTCCAGAAAAAAAGGAATTGAATTTAATAAAAAGTCAATAAAAGTTTCTTGTTTGTTTTACACACTAGCTGGTCCAATGACCTGTTGATCTTCCACACATTAAACATGAATAATACACGAGAGAGAGAAACACAAAAACCCCAGAAAATGTCACAGACTTTTGGTGTGAGCAAATGCACCTGGAAATATGAAAGATTGTTGTGCCATTGAAAACACATAAATTGGACATGTGTGCCTTGATCCATATGATTCAGCGCATCCATGGCAGACAGGCAAAGTGCCCACTGAATGATCAGCTGGTGAGACTTCTTCTTGCTCCTAAACAAGCCAACCATCAATAGATTCTGCAAAGGTGCTCCCTCATGGCAATCACCCACAAAGCTTTACCTTTTGTTAAGCACTTTGATTATGGAGCTATGATTATTGACTTTTAGGTTCTTGCATCTGACGTGTCTTGGTAATGTTGATATCCAGACCAATCTAAATGCAGATCAAGTTTTGCAAATTATTCTGAAGCAAGAGATCTATGAGCTGTGAGATGAGATAAGCAGTGGCCTTGGGACTGGTTTGCTACAGGAAGGAGAATTTTTGCACTCCTGTATCTCTCCTCTGAACCAGTCTTGCCTAAGTCTGATGTCTAAGGCCCTAGGCCACTGTGTTTCCTCTCCTCACTCAATGGAGAACACCTCACACATATGAAAATCAATCAAAATCTGATTTTTGCGGGATTCCACCCTAGATCAAAGTGCTCCTCCCTAAGGAAGCTAACCCTAACCCTGAACTTCTAATATCGAAAGTGATTCCCCAAGAAGAACCTGCCAGATCTCTAGTCTCTGGTCATTATGTGCTCCAACATCAGACACTTCAACGTGACAAGAAGCTCCATAGAAATACCAAAACTTCACAAAATTACAACCTGTAAGAAACCAGACTAGAGGTACATTGGTTAGAATCTTGGTAAGACATCAAAAAGGCAAGAGATCCAGTGAGTGTCAAAGATGAGGATTTCTCTATATTCACTGAATGATCAGGTTTTTGGAAGAATGAACAGGAATGATGTGGTATCAACCACAGTGCATTCCGAGTTAGGCACGAGCTGGAACACCCCATGTGAATTGAATGAAAAGACCAAACAAACAGTTTAGCCTTCACATATGATCACCAAAACCACCAAAATTAGATCCATTGATACCATGTAACATTCATTGAATATCTTGATTAACCACCCCTCTAAATATATATCAACTCTGCTGTTAACAAATCAGGAGTTGAAATTTATGAGACACCAATTCTTGTGACTGATTGCTGTGACATCAAAATCACATACATGAAATACTGCACCATCCCTATCCACTGAAAGAAGGTCATCCACCATTGTTGATTGATCACAGGTGGCTGATTTGTGTCAGAACATAAAAGTCAAGTCTTAAATGTAAGAGTCATCTTGACCCTGTATTTTCAAAACAACTACAGACAGTCAGACATTCAGTGTAAAATTTGTTGGAAGGGATGTGTGTTAGGAGATCACTAATTCCAAGAAATCAAACAATAGTACACACTGTCAGCATTAAACAGGTTCCCAGATGGGAATATGGGTTGTAGGAATTAGACAGCCTTTGTGACTACATATATCACAATGGCGGTCTGATCCCTACAACTCATATTCCCATATGGGAACCTCTTTAATGCTGGCAGTGACAAGAGATCATAAGACATTGGATGAAGAGCGTATCAAATTTCTTGAAGACTCAAATATCAGAAGTGGTTGGTCAGATTTGTAATAAGCATCAAGTAACCCCCAAAGTACGGTTGGGCTTTCATTGACTCACCCCATGATTTTCATAGTAGTATGGGAAGTTGATCCTTGAAGCCTTGTAAAATGGTTTCACTTGGTGCCATGCTAAACAATCTATCTATGCACAGCCTCATTAAGGGTATCTGCAATAGAGAAGAGACTGTCTTGATTTCCTCACAAAGTTGTGATATACCCACCAATGTGGGTCTGTTTCAGGATCATGAAGAAGGAAAAGTACCATGATAAACACTGCTCTTCAGGTTTGGTGGCCAATGTAGACCAAGAACAAGACAGAAACCAAGCCAATTTTGAAACCAGAATCTAACACTGACAGCATCAATCAAGGCTGTTCTCCCTTGTTCTCCACACAACTTCTTTTTACAATTGTGGGACACCAAGTAGAAACTGCCTTAACTCAGACTTTTTGGCTGTAGTTTTTGGTTTTCCCAGTTGACCAGTTTCTCAACTACAGCCAAAAAGTGCAAGTTGGGAAACTAACTCAGAGGAGTTCTGGGTCTCTACTTTGTATCCCATAAATGTCAGTGATCTTTCCATCTACCCCCTTAAAAATCTTGATATAATATATCTGAAGATAGCATGCTGATGATGGGGGTTGGCTGATGATGGGGGTTGATAGAGATTGATCTCTGGGCCTTGTAACTAAAACCTGGTAGCAATGAAGTATATAAATCCTCTTTCATGACAATTCTTCCGCTGTGCACAACCCATACCAAGCAAAGATTTGACAATTTTTCAATCTACCTGCTACAGTGGCAACAAATTCTTTCTCAGGCTTTATGCTACAGTGAGATGTCCACGCATGATATACTCAAAGTCCCTTAACGGGCCAGGGTAACATTGGATTTGAATTCAAATGTCCACTTTCAATTGTCAATTGATCCTCACAGTCTTTTGAAGATGGAAATCCTCCTTCAAGATTGTACCCGAGAATGAAGCAAATCTTACTGAATCAGTTACATACGGGGGATGAATAAATTACATATCAACTACATAATAACATATCGAGATAAAACATCCTTTCACTTTCATTACCTTGTTGAAAGATCCTAAGATCTTGATGACCAGGCGTGTTTATATTGTTTATGATCAGGAACTCCAAAAGCATGAATGAATAGACTCACTGTCAAGAACGAATCCAAGGGAATGACTCTTGAAATCAACAAGATGTGGTCATAGTCTTGCAATCGAGAATGCGTTTTCAATTCCTTTGCAGTCAGTACCTGCCCACGAAAAATGGCCTGTCTCGCTGGTCAAATCTTACTTCTTGATGATAATCTGATTCGGACCAGAGTGTCTCAAAAAAAGGCAAGGAAGAGAAACTAGAACATAAGAAACTAGAGAAAAATAAAGATGAATCAAACCCAATTGATCTCACGAAACAAAACCGTATGTAGTCCCACCAGGTGCTTAAAGCTTGTAGTTGAACCTGAAGCAATCGGTAGCGTCTCCCATTATAATGTTCGAAGGTTGAAAACAAAAACCTCAATTCAAATCGAGGCACCAGTCTTGAAGCGATGCTTTATGAATAAAATGCACCGCAAAAAAGAATCAAAGACTCCCAGTCCCAAGACATGACCCATACTCTCTTCACAAAGTGTCCCATAAAATCGCCCAAGCGCAAGTGGATCAAAGTCCATTTTGAACTCAAGATATATATTTATACTTTGAACAAAAAATGAAAATGAAAAACACATTCCAAACCATTTTTCAGACACTTTGCAATTGAGGCCTTCGATACGCAATGTCTCAGTTTCGTATCCCGAATATCATTCATCAACGAGCAAGACCAATTGAATTAAAAAAACATAACAGAAGAAAAGATCACCCCCATAACAAAAACACCGTTGCTCAAAGCCGATTTATCACTCATATCAAGCAGCTCTTGTAAAGATCAAAAGAAAAAAAACAGACAGAAAAAAGAAATCTCGACTCCCTTCTTGCCTTCTTCCCATTATCAACCTTTCGAATACGCGAGGACAAACATATCACTCCTGTGCGCCATGTTACTATATGTTTAGACCAATTTCGCCTTTTTGAGGGCAATAACACATACATCACACACCAAAGATAACAATCAAATTGGAGTTTGTTTCTGAGAGATGTAGATTCGAATGCTTCGATCGGATGAAAAATTATGAGGTAAGTCAAAGCCCCAAGACCACCACTGAACACCATATCAATTCTTCGCGTAGAACCGTTCCTTTGTATGGGACACCTGATTAGGACTTTTATCTTATTTTTATGTTTTGTAATTATATTAGATTTGTTGAGTGAAGGCCGTAGCATTGGATGTCATCTTGAACATGATCCCTGAAATCCCGTATCGGTAAAAATGATGAGTAAAGCACTGTTTTTTTGTGATCCGAGGAGTAGGCCTTTCCGACGCGCAGTCAACTGAAGGAGGATAGAAAAAGAAAAAAAGCAGGAATATGATGAAAAGATGAAATTGGGAAACTTTGTAAGGAGACAGAACCTAAGGGTGGTTTGTTAATCAACACCGTTCCGTGGCATAACTGCAAACCCGATGAGATTTAATTATTCATTTCTGATTTGTGTAAAAGGGGGATGAAGATAATACGACTTATTGACTGGAGTAAAATCATACGAAGCAAAAAAAGAAATTGTTGTCGCCTCGAATACATTAGCTCAACTCATCTCCTTTGAATTTGAATCGAGATGATCCGAGTTGAAAAGAATAGATTTAGGAATGATTTCAACTCGGCGTCTCGTCCTTGTATATCCCATCAAGAGCGCTGAATGCTAATCTATATGGCAAGCTTCTGACGATATCCGTAGCTTTCTTGATGACTTTTTCAATCGGAACTCCAGCCTCAAGAGCTGTCTCGATTGACAAACGATACAGGCCGAGTACAGCTAGAGAAACTTGGGTTTGTTGTTCAGGATAAGGTGCACGAAGTGTTGCAGCTTGTTGTACAATGAGTGGCATTGGATTCGTATGATGATGCGAATTACCAGTGGTACCCGAACGGACCACTCGAAGCAAGATTTCAATGATGATATCAACATTCTTGCTCACATGTCGATCGATGAACCGCTGTCGAGTCTCGATCGAGCCAGAGGTAGAGGTAGTGAGCCACGTGTCAAGCAGATGTTGGATTGTAGGTGGCTATAACAAACAACGTTGATGCGTCTCCATGAGTTACAAGTTCATTAGACGTGCTCATCTGGTGCACTTACAGGGTCAGGATCAACAACTGTGATCTTACGCCTCCATCCACACTCAGTTTGATCTTCAGGTTTGAAGATCCGTCCTGTCATCTGTGATATCCAGGAATCCACATCTCCGGTTCTCACCCACTTAGCTTCAGTGAGCGGGTTCAGCGTGTCCAGCTTGGCTACAATCAAGACAGTGTTTTGTGTGAAGCTAGGGACGACTTTCAAGCCAGATTTTTGTTGATCTTCAGATGCATCTTGAGTGGGTTTCTCTCCCTCGTCGACTGGTAATTTCTGTTGAAGAGAAGACATAAAAAGTCTGTGTAGAGGGGGAAGTAAAGGATCATGAACAACATCGTAGTCTTCTTCTGCCAATGTTTCTTCATCGTTCTCGTCCTTCTTTGCTTCTGGATCTTCAGCCTTCCCCGCTAAACCTGATCTAGTCGAACCCAATTTCGGATTGGGTTCCTCAGCGTTCCAAGCTGCTTCAAGCACTGCGCGATCCATGATCACATAGTCATCGATTTCCTGGTCAAGAGCTTCGACCTACCAAGCAGGTGATGAGCGCACAGACAGAGACAAAGGTATCCCTAGCCACAGAAGGTTCGAATAACAGAATGCACGTACCAGTACACCTTTACAGACCCTGTATTCGTCTATTTCTCCGTCATACTTACCACCTTGAATGATCGCTGGAATTAATCTGACCAGAACTTCAATCTTGTGTTCAGCCCGATACACTTTGATACTTTCAACCACATCCGAATCTATCACCATCCGACGAGTATTTCGTGCATAAGATATCGAAAGTCGATCAGCTTGCGGCTCGGGCATAGGTGGACCTTCATAATCCTCCTCATCCTCGTAATCCCCATCCGCATCTTGATCTTCATCATATTGCTCTTGTGCTGTTTTTGCTGGAGCAACTTCGGTCTCCGCCGTTTGCTCCTTTTCATTGAGACTAAGTTCGTGATTTGATTGAGTAGTGCCCGTTGTGCCCGCCTTGCCGTCTTTAGCTGTCAAAGTTATTCAGATGGATCAGCAGATGATCTACGTCAATGTAAAATCATAGAGGCCGTACCAGTCACATCAGCATCCTGGGCCTCTTTGTTAGCAGATTGCGAGGCTTGAACTGGCGCCGTGCCAAGTCCGGTGCCACTGGCTTCTTTCGCTTCTGCTTGTTTCTCAGTCTCCGTCGGTTGAGTGATGGTATCAACACTATTGTTCTCTGAGATAATTCCAGCGGAATCTGGATTCACCTTGGCAGCTTTATTACCCTTGTTAGAACCTTTCACTGGGCTGACTGCTGGTGATGAACCACGCCCACCACCGATCCTTGTATCAACGCTCATTGCAGAATGAGCTGAAATTGACAGCTTCCTCTTGCCGCCATGACCAACGACGGAGGTAGGGGGCTTGCTCGGCAAAGAAGCACAGGCCAGTGGTACCTGTGGTTCGGCTGTCACATTAGTTGGAGAAGAGAAATATAACCGTAATCGGCTATTCTCACGTCCGGCAGGGATGGTTGGTTTCGAATATGAGTGTACACGTTCGCGCTCGCGAACTACCGATGGGGTTTGAGCGTCGAGCTGAGTTGGTCGAGGAGTTGACACATCAGGTTTTGGCTCTTCTAGGTTCTGATCCACGTCTGCGTGACTGGCGTCACTCGTTTTGGTGATCTCCGATGTAGTTGGTGCATCCGTATGAGTAGTTGCAACTGCCTCTTCAGCGGCAGCAGGGGAGGTTTCCGCTTTGACCCTTAGTGGCGAGACATCCTTCGAAAGAAGTAGCTGGTTTTTAACTTCGTCGCTCACAATACTCTCCTCCAACTCACTGCCTTGATCATCTACCGTTAGATTCAATCCTTTCACGGCTGACGCAGCCTCTTCATCAATCTTTTTGGCCAACTCTACAGTAGCGTCAGATTTGACTTTCTTAGCAGAAGCTGTGATGGTGGCAGTTGAAGAGGTGACCGAGTCTGTGCTGGCTGGATTGGCTGGTGAAAGTCCAGGTGTTTCACGTGAGATGTCATGCGCCTCATCCTCATCACGACCGTGTTTGCCAGTTTTGCTCAGGCTCGTAAGTGCTTCGCCCACATTTACAGGAGAGGTTTTCTCCTGCTGATCCACATGAGCTGAGGAGGTCGCGCCATTTTGAGCATCGATCTGTGTTTCCGACCCTTCGGCTGTCCAGGACCATGTCAGATCAGGTATCTCTAGCGCGTTAATCCGAAAGTCGGTGAGTGTTCGCTTCGTGGATGCCACTGACAGATGTGATGAAGTTGGGGCATAAAAAACACGTCAGCCAAGCGTGACTGAGAAGCGATTGTGGGTTGAACTATACAATACACACCTTCCTCCTTTTTCTCCGTTTCCTTTGCCCTATCATTAAACTCCTTGAATTGGGCACCCCAGCCATTCCTAACACGAGTACTACTACCTGGGCCAGTCCGATCTCGATCAGACCTGTCTGTACCACCACCGGAAGCGTTTGCTCTGGGACCACGGTTGGAATGTCTGTGGTCATCGAATTTCGAATCACGGCCATTTCGACGTCCACCACGGCCATTACGGTCTCCTGAGAGAGGCAGGTTTGAATACCGGCCGCCACCTCCGTTGCGCCGATCGCCATGGCTTGCTTTGTTGTGACCGCCCATTGTTGGTAAGTTTGAGATACTCCGAGATGAGCGGTTGGCGCCCCCACCCATACGATCATGATTAGAGCTAGTGCGTGGTCCATTACCCCCGTAATTGGACGAGTGATCGTCATAACGGCCATTCGGACCATTGTTACCGACAGAACGACCGCGTGCGCCAGAGGCGTGACGATCTCCGCGATTTGCTGACCCGTGCATGTTGTTTGAGGGGCCGCGGCCACCTCTAGAGCCTCCAGAATTATCGCCACCGTAATCGCTACCCCGATCACGAGGTGCGCGACCTCCACCACCATTCGGACCACCGCCTCGGAATCCACCACGGTTTGTTCGATTGCCGTTACCCGTTTGGCCAGGTCTGGTGTCATCATGAGCTCCGTAATTGTCATTAGGATGAGATAGTTGGCCAGACGAGTATCCTGCACTGGGATCATGTCCAAATGCGTTGTTGTTCATCCTCATTGAATCATTGGATCCGTGTTGGCCGGGATTTAGACGAGTGTGATCATTGGGATTGTTAGGATTGAAATTCGGTCCATGATGTGGACCGGAGTGATTCGGAAAGTGAGGTTCGTTGGTACCCGCATTGTTATTGTTTGGATTAAAGATTGGCGCGTTTGGTTGATAATGTTGAGCAGGTGAGCCGTGCTGAGGTTGATGATGGGGCGGTAAAGGATGTGAGACGTGGGCAGGGATATGAGAAGGATGGGAAGTCTCAAAATGAGGAGCTCCACTGCCATCAAATGATCCTGGATTACCCAAGTTTAAACGGATAGGTGAGTTATTACCAAAAGCACCACCACTGACTCTAGGACCACGTCCGCCACCAAATCCACCACGATTATTGCCAGTGTTAGATCCCATGCGAAGCGGTGTCGGTGTGGAATTGTTCATCGGATTCTGGTTCCTGAGAGGTGGAAGGGCCTGTGGCGGTGCGTTGTGAGGTGGCACTTGATTAGATGGATAAACATGAGACTGTTGTGTATTGGGGGCAGAATAGGCGTTCCCGCCTGCACCAGCCTCATATCTTGGTCTTTTGTAAGGCGGGGGAGCAACACTGCCAGGAGAACCTTGTAGAGCACCCGTGTTAGGTTGGCCAGTAGCGTAACCAGTATATGGATTTGCTGGAATATTAGGATTGTTCGCATTAGGATATTGAGGGGTTTGAGGATGATAAGCTATATTTCCGGGCGGGCCCTGGTTAGAAGTCGAAGAAACGGCGTAAGTTGGGAAAGGTGTGTGTTGTGTATGGGGATTAGCAGGGAGTTGATTAGAAACGGGTTGGTGAGAGTAGGGCTGATAAGCCTGACCAACCTAAATTGACGTAAAGTGAAAAGATGCATGTCATCAGCACTGGAGAATGTAGCAAAGGTTATGATGAGAACCCCAACAAGAACATTGAAGTCTTCTAAACTCACCTTAGGAGGTTGCTGGGGACCTGCTGGCGCACCGTATCCGTAGTTCGGAAAAGCTGGATGCTGAGGTTGGTGCTGTAGAGGTTGTTGGTGCTGATGCGGCTGTTGTGGCTGTTGTGTTTGCTGCTGAGGATTTGCAGGGAGCTGAGGAGGATAGACATAAGGTCCAGCCACCGGTGCGATGGGAGCTGCATACGAAGGTGCAGCCTGCTGAGACGGATAGCTGGGATATTGGCCATAAGGCGTGGACGCTGCTCCGGTGAATTGGTTATACTGGTAAGGCTGAGATGTAGCAGGATGCGAGTTCGCTGAAGACTGTTGAGGTTGGTATTGGGGATTGTTGGACACAGCGGCTGGGTTTGGTGCTCCAGAAGACGCAGGCTGTGGGGGAGGTGCACCTGAAGGAAGAGGTGGGTAAGATAATGAAGGGGGGGCTTTAGAGGGTGAAAAAAGTTGATTCAATGACAAGAAAAGCGAGCGAGAGAGATCGGGCGACTGAAAAGAAAAGATGGATGAGCCGCATTACCTGGAACTGATGAAGGAAAACAAGATACGAATCAGTTTTTGTCGTTCAAGAGGATTGTGGGTAGGATCAGATTCGATAGAAAGCAGCGAGACAGATAGTCTTACGATTGGGATTAGTAGGTCCAGATCCAGAGTAACCTTGATAATTTCGTTTCATGACTTGGACGAGATTAACTCAATCGTACTGAGCGTTAAAGGTGTGATCGATGGCCAATGGCAAAGGGAAGGAGAAATTGATACAGAGGGTAAACAGGCAACTTGACGAAAACACTCAGCATACACTCTTTCACATACCTGTAAAAGTTCTTTTTCACTCGCCTGTCACGCGAAATAACAGGTGAACTACATATGCCGTGAAATTACATTCAAACCAAAAAATGAGGAGTCAAGTTTCAAGGATGAGGTCGTCAGTGTCTTCAAGTGCTCAACATTTGGGACGTCAGATCAAGTAATGGACTGGGTATTCTCATCAGCTCTCATCAGCTCCCCGAATGCGGTGCGTCAAGCTCCAAAACGAGGAGGGAAAGGACGAGGGAAGAAGGAGAATTAGGATTCGGAGCCACCTGGGCGATGTCTTTGTGCATACACTCAACTTCACCGTCAGACCGGTCACCAGCTTATACTGTCGCAGACACCTTGCTCCGGTTTGACTGGTCATGAAGAAACATCGAACATCTCGTTGGCACATTCTTCGGGGAACACGTCACTTACGAAAAAATGCACTATAAAAGCCGATCACAGGCGCAGCTCTCTTGGTTCTTCCCTCTTCAATCCTACATCAGACATCACACATTCATTAATATCTACTGATTTTGTTCATACGGTTTAAAAAATTATCCATTAGTTTTCCAAAGCTTACTATTAATCTCTTCTCAAGATCTTGCAATAACATTCACATTTGGTCGTTTGTTTCATTGTTAACGTCCTACCTGTCTCTTCTGTTTCTTCAATCCAGGCTCCAGCAATAGGATGTCACCAGCCTTGAAACCAACCAAACTGAGTATATTGGCAGTATGCGCCTTGTTATTCACTTTAGTGAAATCGCAATCCGGAGATGACAAAGTGAGTGAGTTCGCTGTGAGACCACATAAGAAATCACTGCTCAATAGTTACCATGATATTTGAACAGGCCATTTGTATGGATAATCGGGTATTGGCATGGATCACCCCCAATAATTTGGTTTATGGACCAAATGAATCTAGAGATCGCGCACATGGACCATGTTACTGTCATCCGAGTCCAAAGTTTAATAATTTCTCACAACCCAGTTGTCCAGAAGATCAAGGATTCGGTGGTGTAGGATTTGTTTATTGTTCTAAAAATCAAGAATGTGATTATACTACTCAACCTGATAATCCTACTTATTCTGATTATAGTGAGACTCAAGATTCTCATTCTACCAGGCTTTCTCATCAATTCTCGGCTTTGATGACTTTGTGTTTGTTTTTTGGGTTTCTTGGATCTCTTTTGTTGCTTTGATATCTATTTGTGTTCTCATGTTTAGCGGCTTTTCTAGTGGTAGCTAGATAATCTTTTCTTCTTTTGAAATTCATTTACAGTCAATTGCACAAAGCTTGGAAAGAATTCCGCGCCAATTTGCTCAAATTTGGCGGGCAAATGTTTCCAAGCTTTCTGAAATTGACTGTACTAAAAAATATCAATTGTGTCTTTTAGTTTTACCCACCCTAGGTTTTTTGCTGTTATACTTACAATAATTGACAAAGCAGTCCATGAGTCTTGGACTGATGGCTTATCTTTCCTAGAGCTGAGAAAGCACTACAAAACAGGGGGGCTTCCTGAGAACAGCCACTTTGTCCACGGTTGTTCCGCATAAAAGGAAGTGACCCCTTTGACCATGTGGAAAACATAAAATCCACACGTATATACATATTTGATTCTTTGATTCCAGGCTCTAGCATCTCAAGTCTGCAAAGAAAACACAAAATGTTGTAAGGATCCACGAGGATCCAGTCATCGACCCATTTGGATGATGGGATGACGTCTTCACCGCGAGCCGATATTTGTCGTCGAGATCCTCTTCGAGCGAAAGAATCTGCAATTCAAATCGCTGACGTCAATGCCTCGACTAAAATGTGGGAAGAGAGTGCACTCAATTGATCAAATCACGAGTGTAACGCTGTATCTGTCGAGCGCTTTCATCCATTTGCAACCCGAGTCCCCGACCTCAGTTTTCACATAAAGCGACTGCTTTCATCTGGCCCAATATCTTCCCTCATCCGGCTACACTGTGACCAAAGCCTTCTCATCAAACTTTTTGGATAGGATACCTCGTTCTTTCAGACGTGTTATAAGATTGTAAGTCTTTGGACGCTTTTATTCCAAAAATCACGCAGGACCCATTATATTCGATCGACGAGGGGTTGATGTGAAGCAGCTTACGATGCGTGTCTTTGTTTGATCCTTTGTCAACATTCCAGACCCAACACTTTGCAACCACTCGTTGACCATCAAACCATGTTATCCAACTCGATCGTCAGAAAGCTTGGAGGTCTCATGGCCATCGCGCTCCTTCTGATTGCCTTCGTTCCCTGTGAAGGTTTGTTTATACGTCGAACACAGAGTGGAGCTATTCCAGTGAGCTTTTCATAGCTTGTTTGCATTGAAAGGCTGTAAGTGCTGATTATTGGAATTCCTCTACAATGTGTGACAAATAGGAAAGTGGCACCGAACCCGCCGCCACAACTAGCACTACAACTGTCACGACAACTGGCACAACACCTGGCATGACACCTGGCACCGAAAGTAGCTCACCGACAGGCGCGGATAAGGTGAGTTTATCGGCAGCTGCCGATACGCCTAGATGCTGATGTTATCATACATTCGTTCGTGGTATTCAGGCAGTTTGTCATGGTAAAGACCTCGTCGGACACCTCAACTCGGATGGCGCGTTTTATCTCCCAACAGAAAACTCGACAGATGGCAAAGGCAGCTGCTCCTGTGGCCCACTCACTTCTGAAGGCGGTGCGCAACTTTTACGCTGTGCAGACAATCCTACCAACTTCCCACCCGCGACGGGGACTACAAGTTACGAATGCTCCACGACTTCCGATTGTCCTGCGTAGACGTGAATACCAAGCACATCAGTCATCCAACATACTTACGAGTTCGACTAGCTTTAATGTTCCTTCTTCGGCCGCTTGTTTGAATCTTCGCCCAGCCCACTTTACAGCGCCATACCTGGTGAAAATGTCATAGGCCTCTTACTCGCTGAAGATGATGATAAAGATTCTGGAGAGTCATTGTAAGATCTATATCAATGTATAATAGTTATGAGCTGCTTGAGATCCTACTCAAAGCCAATTGTCTCAAGTGATGGATGAACCGCTATACTTCAAGTCCGATATTCGTTTGCGGATGAGATCGAAGATGAGGGAAAGGTGTGAGCTATGTAGTAAACTTGATGGGTTGCATTGAATTTTAACCTGCCATACCCAAACAGCATCACTTGAGCTTTAGGAACCGGAACCCTCAGCATTGCCAACTCAAACTCCGAGTCAACAACCACTATCTTTGAGGCAATGTGTCATATCACTTTATATCTCTGAGATAAATAACACGTCATTTTTTCTCTTGGTATGTGTGCCACCTATGATATTTTTACATCCTTGTTTTTTCGACTGTAACGCCTTGACAGCCTTCGTCCCGGTAAGTGGTAACAGCAGACCTTGCTTGGTAAGAACAATCGTGTCTCTAGTAATTGATCCAAGAGAATTACATGCGACAGCATTCTTGAGGTACCCTCATTAAGCTTTTGGGTACATGTCGTCGAGATAGGCAGAGAGTAGATTATTAGACTCGACTGCTTGTCAATCTCGACGGCGCTTATCTCAGTCAAACCTACCCGAGTAGCAATAGGCGTTGTTGAAAAATATGAGTGAGAGGAAATATAAACCTGGCGCTGGCGAAGAAGCTTGATGACAAACTAGATGGTACGAAAGTCGAAAGGCTCAATTCCGGTAACCCTCGAGAGCGTCGAAACTGTTTGTTCATTTTGGTGAGCAAAAAGAATGTGTAAACTTAGCAAGAGTCAGATAAAGACAAGAAATTCCAATAACGCTCTTAGTGGGTCACCCGTCCACGAGCCTTCAGGCCAATAACCCAGTAAAGACAGAAAAGTGAATCCAAGTTCCGGTCAGTATTGAGAGAATTTTTGGACAGGTACATGCACACATACGTTCGTATTAGATTGTTGATCCAAGAAAAATAGCCGTGCAGGAGATCAGCACTATGGTTTGATCTAGGGCAAAGCCCATCATGGTAGTGCTAAATGACGAGGGGTACGCCATGCAGTGGATCATCCACGGGATGAAGCGCAGATATGAAAGATGCTCTCTTGGAATTTGTACCCTATGTGTGATTTTCCAAACATGAATGAGAGGGCTCAAACTTACGCTTGCACATAATCTCTCAGAACCAGATTCAAGTCCAATGACCACACTAGTAAGTTTATTGATAGATCCCGACTTCCGGATTAAAGAAGCTATGATTCAGCCTGTTGAAGTCAAACTTGGACAAGAAGATGCACCCCAATTATTGAAGAAACATGTACAAGCCGTCAGTTTTCCATTTTTACCTTCGAGCTGCTGGTCACATTCTTTCGAGTACACTAGGTACTTCTGATTGAATTTGTTCTCGTTACTCATGGTTCTGCAGCGGCGCGAGATGATTACCATTGTAAGCAACCTTGCTGTTAGAATCACCATTGTATGTTTCTGCCCGTGCGATCGGTCTCATGGATCTGATCCTTACTTTCCAATTTATGTAGTGATCGAAATCATCCCACTCACATTGAGAGACGGCCTTTTACAGCCTTTTGCTATACGTGACAGCGCCTAAAGCACCACTGGCGCGTGAGGCGCGTCCTTTTGCGAGGAAAAATGAGCTTTTTTTACAGCAATAGTTAAACCTGACTCCCTCTGGATTCCAAGTGCCAGGATCACTAACAGCACTGGTACATCAAACTGGACTTAGAGGAACATTTGACATTCAATGTCAAAAAGGGCAGATTGAAGATAGGCGAATCAGTCTTTTTATGTTGAGCAATTTGTACCATGCTTTTTCTGAGCGCTGGACATCTTATTGACCAGATCAACGGGGGACATGGACCTTGCACAGTCATAAAAAACACAAGGAACTATTTAATTCTTTCTTATCGGTTGAAATTTTTTAGGTCCTCCTGACTCCCTGCCCCCCTCCCTTGTTGCCTTCCGATTCATTGTTTTACTTTCATGCTGGATTTATCTTATTTTCCCAATTTTTCTGAAGAAATTGTTTGTTTTTCAGGTTTTTTTGTTTACCATGCATCTTTAAACATGTGGTGCGGGTTTTTCCATACAATTATTCGTTGTCGATTTTGCTTCAAAAACTTTTTTGAGTATATCTTTGACTATGATTGTTATGTTCTGTTGTTTAGATTTTTGTGGGTATTAAGCCGCTATCCACCTCGCAGGGTGTTTTCAAAATTGCTCACAACAATAAAATTACCGTGTATCTTCGTCCCAACTTGCCAAGTGGCATTCACACCAAACACACTTGTTCAGTCTTTTTTGGTAGATGCAAGTGATCATATTTGAACTCGTTTCGGGGGTCTCGCATGGGTTTTTAGGCGTCGAGTATCCTTGAGCGGTGTGTTGGGACGTCTTGAGAATTCTGCTCGGCTTGGACCCCCTTTGCGGGAATCGAGGGAGTGATCTTCTCATGTGTAGTGTTCCCACTTCTCTTACACCGGGACAGAGCAACGTGGACGTGGTTTGTTGACAAATTATAATTGTACAATAGCAGGGGCTGACTTCCGCACGCGTTACAGTCTTACTCCATCCACACGCCAATCTAAATGTATCCACTTATATATATTTCATCAATTTTGTTCTCCTACTTGTATATCTTCTCGAATCCTCGGGGGGTCTGAGCTTTCTATTGCAGCCAGCTCTATAGCATCCTGGTCGAAAGGCTCTCGATGGCAAGCCGCAATAATGTCGACATATGAAAATCGCAATTATGCGATGGGCTTGAAAGTGCACGGTGTGAAAATGGCATCACGTTTGGAGCAGTGATCAAGGAGAATCCTATAGTCTCACCAATCGGTGCTTGCCTCTGGTTTAGCTGGTCACTTGTCAAGTCGCGCTCCTGAGTCTTATCCCTTCGTAGCAGGGGCACGGGAAGATTTATCTTGGTTGGCTTTCTTAAGGACTCGTAACGTCTGTTATATATATAATGTTGAATACATGGACCACCACAAAAGTACATAGTTTAGGAATCCGCTTGTCATCCCTTCATTTATATCCGTACATAGCACCTCATCATTTCCTCAAAGCTCGAACCCCCTCAACATCTTGTTTATATCGCGATTCCCACTTGCGCTGGAGATCATCATATTGCAGCGTACCTACCAAAGCTCAGCTCGGGTGTGGAAATACGACCATCGGTACGTCATCATTTTTTCAAGTAGCAAACTCACATTGATCTTACGTCAGCGCGATAGGGCGCATCAGACTTGATGGACTGACTCTTTTCGCATAATCTTCGGGACGTCTCAATTATGTAGGTGCATATATTTTAATACGGTACGTCTGTCTCAGTTTTGAACTCGTATACCGAATGCTTCTGACGTCCACGATGTTTTCTACTTGGATGGAATAACAGGCTAGCCCAGTTGGGGCTCAAAAAGGTACACGGGGTTCCCGGAGACTCCAAGTAAGTCTCACTGTAGAACTTCCCGATAATGCCCTTTGGCGAGTTCACCTCAACTCAATCTTTGGTCACGAAGTTTGCGATTTTTGGATCTCATTGAGGATCACCCAGATTTAGACTGGGTAGGATGTTGCAATGAGTTAAATGCAAGTTATGCGGCGGATGGATACGCTCGTGTTTCAAAAGGTCTGGATTATGCGAGCCCATCCTTCCATTTCTCTGATGGCCACAAACGCTTTCGGACAACTTACAGGCTGCTTTCATCATTCTGTATCCAGCTGGCATTGGATGTCTTGCCACCACCTTTGGGGTTGGAGAACTTTCGGCAATCAATGGGATCGGTTGGTTCACCCGGTTTTGTATCTTTCCACACAGACAATCAGAACGTCGTGTTGGTGATGTAAATGTGGATTAGACTGATCTTCCTTATATTCCTTGCATCTTAGCGGGGGCATACGCAGAGCAAATTCCAATTCTACACATTGTCGGCGTTCCACCAACGGCCCTTCAAGCGAAAACTCCAGTGGTGCATCACTCCATGGGCGACGGAAGTAAGCCTGTACATAACAATAGACGATCTAACGTACTCATTTCTAATGTCGCAACATCACAATTCTCCATCTTGATCAACATAGAGTTCGACACCTATGCGAAGATTTCGGATTTTGTTACTTGTGCATCCTCACTTCTCACTTGCCCAGAGAAGGCACCTGATGAGATCGACCGACTGTTGAAAGCCGCGCTTACTGAATGTCGGCCAGTCTACCTGAATTTACCTAGCAACCTGATTGATGAAAAAGTCCCAGCCTTCAACTTGCAAACGGATCTGAGGCAAAAGATCGTCGAAGAGTCAGAACTTACACCCGGATCGAATTCGGTTCACGATTTACTTGATCAGATCAGTGGATTATTCCTCAAATCTGAAAACCCCATTGTCTTGGTACGCGTTCGGTGTCTTTAAATTCATACGCGCAAGTTGTTGAATAAAGCCTTTGAAAACGGGTTGATACTCATCATAACATATTTCAAAACGCCAGCTCGACGGGAAATGCGACCCCTTCAAAATCTCAACTGAGGCGATCAAACTAGCCGAATCAATTCAGGTACCTGTCTTTACCACTTACATGGCCAAGACAGCTATAGGATCGAATCATTCAATGTTCGGAGGTTTGTACAAAGGCAGTCTCTCGGAACCCCACATCCTGGAACAAGTCGAAACCTCAGACATGGTCATCTGGATTGGGCCCGTTGTTTCTGATTGTACGCATCCCTCTAGACAAATTGATAAAATGTCATTCATTTCAGGCCCTGAGCTATTGCATAACGCTGATTATGTTTTGATGTAGTCAATACCGCAAGCTTTTCCTTTAAATTCAAGCCTTCTACGCACGTCGAGTTGCACGCTTCACACACTGTTATCGGAGACAAGCAGTACTCGTCCATCGGAGACAAGCAGTACTCGTCCATCGGATTCAGAAATCTTTTGCCTCTGCTCACTCAGCGACTCTCGTCCTTGCCTCGTAAACAAACAAGACCCATTCGCGATTACAAGCCACCGAGAGAACTTCCCAACCAAAGTTCAAGCAACAACATGATCAGTCAAGCCGAGTTTTGGCCTCTTTGGGCCGAGAATTTTTTTAAGCCTGGTGATATCATTTTGGGTGAAGCTGGTACCAGTATGTTTGGCTTACTTGATGTGAAACTTCCGGACGGCGCCCGGTACTTATGTCAGATGCTGTGGGCTAGTATTGGTCAGTTTGGAAAGACATAGATCTCGCTTCTTTCTGCGGAAGACCCGAAATGCTAACATTTTTGTTCCATTTGATCAAACTTACTTTATCAACATTAATTCAGGTTGGTCTACCGGAGCCTGTTTAGGCGCGGCACAAGCAGCGGAGGAAGAGGGCAAACGCACAATCTTGTTCATTGGAGATGGTAGCCTGTTGAGTTTGTTCCCATTCCTTCAAATTTCGTGAAGTTTCACTGACGGGCGATCATTCCCAATATAACATTGGTTAAATGGCGACAAATTCAAGTCAAATATCTGTCCAAGAGATCAGTACCATGATAAGGGCTGGGGTGAAGCCTATTATTGTAGTACTCAACAATGATGGATATGTGGTAGAAAGACTCATCCATGGGATGACGCGAAAATATGTCAGTCAGATAGATCTCGTCAAAAGCTCTCATTACAGTCTCTCTTTCAACTTAAACTGAACCTATTTCACTGGAATTGAATGTTGAACCTTCAGAATGAAATTCAACCCTGGAAATGGACGGGAATATTAGATTTATTCAATCCTGAAAAGACCACCTCAACGGCTACCTACCTGATAGAAACCCGAGAAGAATTTATACAACTATTAAGAAATTCAGATTTTCAAAAAGCCGACAAAATCCAACTGGTAGAAGTCAGGCTTGGAAGGGAAGATGGGCCAGATGGATTGATGAAACAGATAAAGGCCGTGAGTTGCTCTTTACTATGATATTCATGCTTGACTTAATCCTGATAACAATTTTTATGAAATATTATGGTGTGAAGATCAAGGAAACAACCTGGGATTAACATCAGCTCTGAAGGAATGGAACGTTAAAAAATTGTGGCTTGTATGCCATGATGTTGGCATACTATTACTATGTCCCAGGCTATGATTCATCTCAATAGTCTTTATGTGATGTTTATAAGTTTGTACCGAGGGGTTTTGTGCTGATATCTCAACTGTGATTTAATTGTGAAAACCCATGCAATTTTTCAATAATTCATGGTACAGTGTCACACAACACTCTTATACACTATCCTCTACCTTTCAATGAAAACAAAAACAATGAAACACAAAACCCCATACAGCCCATGTTGTTCTTTAAATTCAACCATCCAAGCCCTCTACTAATCTTTGATACCAATTCATCTCACAGAATTTCACTCAAAGGCTGATACACTAACAAAAATTCTGTTCTAGGAGCAAGCCTTCCTTTTCCTGCTTGGTTTTCAGCCAGGCTACTGATATACCAACTCATACAGCCTTGCCTTGACCCGCCTGATTGAGAATAAGGAGCGAAGTGAATTGTGTGTCCACCCTTAATCTTAAATTCACCAAGCTTACAGATTCTTACATTCCAAATCAAAGTAGAAAATTTCAGTTTTCATCTACTCTTCAATCACCACAATTTGTGTACTGGCTTCTTAGGGCACTCAAGACTGATCTTGTATCTGATTCCTTTGGAGTCAGGTTAGCATTTTCACTTCTTTTATTATTTCTCATCAGTTCTTTCATACTTGATTATATGCGTATAGTTCTGTTAGGAGAACCCATGACTGATTTTGTACTCATTCCTTTGGAGCCAGATTATAGCAATCATAAACCACATGCACTTTGGTTCTAGAATTACAAAGTCCCTTGTGCCATCAGACACTCAGTTCCCTCAGTGACATGCATTTGTAGTGAGGACATATCTAAGTCCTTTTCACCCCCAAGAAATGCCAATAATTCATGATTTGACCATACAGATCATGGGATGATGGTCCATGGTCTCAAAGGCACAAAATTACCCAAACATCCATGAGAGTGGGAAATGGGGATAGGAAGGTGAATGTAAGCTTGCATGGAGGATACAGTAGAGTCAAGCCTGGATGTGTGGTATCTTTTTGGAGTTTTGAATGTGTGGACAGAATAGTAAAAGAAATTTTTCAATTTTTCAAGATACAATCTCCAACAAAACTGTCAAAGAGAAGCCCTTACCAGCTTAAAAGTATCTGGTTCCACCTTTGAGACCCACTCACCAACATGGGCATTGAAGACTCAGAAGGGTACCAAATTAACTCCTGATCCAGTCTGCTGGATACAATCAGGTTGGGACCCCAAAAGCACAACTAGTAGACTAACACCTGTATAAGGGTGTGAAAAAGAGGGAATTCCTAAATGTAACTCTACATACACATGTCTCCACAGATGCAGCACACACCCCACAATATGGTCAACTGATGAGGTTGTGTTACTTCCTAAATTAAAATAATTGAATAACTGGGCTGGCAATATTTGAAGATCAAGAAAGCCTTGGATCATCTCCTTGGAGACACAAGCAGTTCAAGGGAGTCTATATCCAAGGATGACTCATAGTTTACAATCTAAGGTATCTCTGGTGGTGGTGCATGCATAACACATGAGCTGCATTACACGCTTCACTGCATGAGAGCTGTAGATCAAGATGTTAGGTAATGTCAAGCTACATACTACATAGTACAGATAGGGCAGGCCCCTGGAGAGTGCTGAGAGATAATACTGACATAACGTTGGTTTTGGATTGTTGACATGCAAATATATCCATACTATCTCATTACACACTGCATTGGTACCAACTACTCTAGCATATTTCAAATCAACTCACTTGCATTATCAAATTAACATCATGCTTGTAAATAAATCCATTCTTGTATCTTCCATATATAAACTAATATTCTCCAGAGCCTCTTGTTGTTTAAACTTTTACCTTGTTTCATTCTTCTCTCAAACACCATTCTTTGTGCCACACTCCAATCTTCTCTTACTCATATCATACTTAGAGTGCCGACAAGCTTTGTGTGTCATTCATCATCTTGTGTGCCTCCCACCCTGAAGGAGTGGCACAATGAACCTTTGAAGTTGCTGTATTCTTGGAAAGCTGTATCCTGCTGATCCATGGGTATAGCTGACAAGAGGATTATTGTCAATGAATGACTTAAGGCCATTCAGCATTGGGCAATGTGAGTATTTTGATTTTATGTAAATTCATGTTTAATCCAATCAAGTGGAGGCTGATATTGCATGTTTTGTTGAATTTGCAGGCAAGGCATCTGATTGGTCTCAGTTTCATGCTTGACAGAGTACTCTTGTTACTCTTTGCAGTTGGATTGGATGGAGGAGGTACTATTGTATAAATATGAGGAAGAATCATATTCAGGAGGACTTTTATCAGATGTATCCTACAGGTTTCTGTATCTACTAACCACCTCTATGTACATTGAACAAATCAAACGTTGAGTCCCCATTATTCTCATGTGGCTTGCTGGTCTCAAATCTGGTGACTAGAAGGCACATTTCAAGCCTCTATTGCAAACAATCCAAAAAACTTCTAAGTCTGACAAAGAGAAGAGATTATTATGCAAATAAGTAGTAGATTTTTCATTAGCACAAAGAAATAGAGTTCTAGAGGAGTACATGGAGATCTTCAATGTCAACCAAGCTGAAGCTATGTCTAGATTACATGGCTTTGAACAGCACTATAAACAGGCTTCTATATATCTGAAAAGGTTTGAAAAGTCATGGCCCACCTTTCCTAAATCCAAAAATGGCTAGATTGGTGGGGCACAGCAGATATTCAAGCCATGCTCTTCCAAGCGTGGAAGCAAAAGTCTCACAAAAATCCTCGATTGGAGAACAAGGACAACAACAAGGACAACAAAAATGGTGGTACCCTTCAACTGCAACTTTGAAATGATGTGCCTTCAACAAAAAATGTGCATTAGTGAAAGCATCATGTGTGGAATGTGCTTTGGTAGATTTTCTATGGAACTTTATTGCCTTTTGCAATGTGAATATCAATTATTTTTGGTTTTTATTCACCAGTGCAAATGAATGTCAGCTCATAACCCACGGTGCTGATACCAGTATTGGTACAACTCTTAGTTTTGGTTCAAAGCTTGGATGGTATCATAAGGAAGTAGGGAGAAGAATTCCCATCACCTACAGAAATTTGCAAAAGAACTGGGAAGAGGTTATTGCAACTGTGGAAATGCCTAAGCCAACAAAACATAGATATGGCCTTGATTATGGACGGGATCCCAGCACAAGTAATGTGGTCATCAATTTATAGGAACACTCAAGAAAAATTCAAACAATTATTAAATCATTAGTCAATTTGAGGTTTTTGGTGCAAGATTTGTATTTTTTCCGTTTTTTCTTTTTTGTTATAGTGTTTTGGTTTCTTTGTCACTTATTATTACATATGTCATCTATGAACTGCAAGATTTACATTAAATTTATTGAATTCTATTCAAAAGATTGTATTCAAGAACAAAAGAATAAATTAAAATATATATAAAAATTGAAATTGTGTGTAAATCAAGTTGAAGAATGGTTTTTAGAGTATGGATATTTAATTTGATGGTTCAATAAGGTTATAATATTGAAGGGGGGTCAGCATATTTGTCACCACAGATTTTGATCACAAGAATTGATCAGTGAAGAGTGAAGTTATTAAGGAACAAAGGAAATTCAAGGATGGTAATCAAGCTGGGTATTACAGGTATGAATCATATGTATTGGTCTGATTGATAGGAATGAAGGGTTGCCAAGAGTTTTAGAAGGTTCTGTAGATTTATTCATAAGAATATGTTGATCTACAATGATGTCATAGCAAAAGGAAGTGAACAGGTGTCAAAAATGTTGAAATTGGAGGTTTCCAGCTAATCACATATGTTAAATCTTGTCAGATCAAGATGAGTGAGGGTTCAATCATCGTGAAATGTTCCATTTCATGGTGTAAAATGTTTAAATAATTAGTAACGGAGGTGTGGTGAAAATTTTACAAGGCATCAAAGAAAATGGAGTGAACTTTGGATTTTGAGCTTACACACATGTAACAGCATTTACAACCCAAAAAGCTTATTTTGTCAATCTTTACAGCTCAACTATTCATTCATCACACATCATAACTAGTTCATGTGTAAGGCTTGGACCCGGCACCAGGACCACCTGAGAGGGCCCGGGTTGGGCTCAGGCTCGGGCTTTTCCGGCCTTGAATATTTCCTCTTGGGCCTCAGAGCGGTGTGCTCTTGGGCCAGCCAAAAGCGCTAAAATGCAGGGTTTGGTGGGTTTGGTGGCGATTTAAGATGATTACAGAGGCTCAGAAAGTGGAAAAGGGACCCATAGAGGGAAAAGAAGGGCTTTCAATGGCCGCATTGGCAAATTTAATGCGGCTAAAATCACCAATCTCCTTGTTGCTATGGCCCACAAGCAATTTTTTAATATATTTGGGCTGGGCAGCAAAAAAAAGAGGGCCTGAGTTGGCTTGGATTCTGGAGGCCGGGTCGGGCTGGGTCCAAGCCTTAGTCATGTGACATCATAGATTGATTGGAATCACAGGATCTTCAAAACTAGCCATAGTAATCACAAATTGAACCACTTCATAAAAAACTCAAAATCTTAAGAATGGTTTTTAAGGGTGAATATTAGGAAAAAATCACCTGTACTGATCATAAGACAATCTATAGAATAATCTAATGGCATAAATCACATGCTTCACAGCATTAATGACATCATACAACAGTAATTTATTAATCATAAGATTGCATCAGAGGGGTTTTGTGGGGGGTTTTCAGTGGGTTTTGAGAATTGTTGACCGTGGTGGAAGGTTGTAAGAAAGATATTGATTGTGAATAGTGTTTTGGGGGGGCTTTTCCCCCCTTTTCTGCATCTTATAATAGATTTGTAGTGTCATTCACCATGATCAACTTACCACATTTGTACAAGCTCCACTTAAATCTGCTCTTTCATAGTAAGCGGAAATTTACTTTACATGTCTTAAAGGCTACAGGTCTAGTCTGGAATACCACTAACAACAAGTATTACTTATAATTGACTCATTTTATCCCTTTTTTGCTTTAAAAACTGGGAATAATACATGTAAAGTATTGAGAAACATTTCTCTGGTGCTCTTATCAGTTTCTCTGTTATCACAAAGCGGTCAGCAAGCACCCTTGTGCTGATTTCTTTGAGGAAGGCAGTCTTAGACAACTTCTTCTGGTTATGTACTTGTAGATTTACCCTGCTTATGTGTTGTAAAGCTCTGGTTGAGCTTTAAATACTACACCAATGCACTCCTAGGAGTTGGCCAAAAGCACAAGGGACTAGGTTTCCCAACGGGCTCTCAAAACCTCATTTGGCATCTTGTGACGATGTACTGATTGTACTCCAAAAGGTACAACAATTGGCACAAAAAACCACTGTTGGCAGTCTTCAAAACTCAAATCCCTTCCAGCACTTTATGGACCTCTTTGGAGTAAACACCTCAAAGTCAATGGTACTTGATTTCACCACTTAATCATGTGCCATTTTAATGGGCAATTTTGGGCCAAACTCACCAAAGGAAACAAACTTGATTCTGTTTTGTTATGAAGCCAGGGCATCTTTCACAGAGCCATTGAAGAAAAAGAGAATCACTACTTCATCTTTGACAAAATGCCTTCTGTGGATGCCTTCTTCAAAGATTTTCTGGCTGATGATTGACCCATTAGACCTCTATTTGCAATTTCACTGTGCAAGACAGTCACTTGCTTGAGAAACATCAAAGAACATCATTGTTCCTGTAATGATTCACTAGCAGTTTTACATGTATACTCAAAGACATCTAATAACAGTGAAATTGCAGATGCAGATATTTTGATAGGAAAATGGACAACCGCTCCCCTAAGTGAAACAGCTGTTTACCAAAAGTGCCATCCAGAGTCTATCCAGGGATCTGCTGATCCAGACAGATACTTGGCAAACATCAAGGGTAATTTCATGTTGGAGCTTCCTATTGACTTAAATTCTGCCCCTTTGCATTTATATTTCCATCTAGATGATGTTGTTGAATGGCCAGCCCCATTTAATTTTGGTGAACTTGAATACAAGATATGGGGATTATGGCAAGGGGTTCATTATTTGTGTTGTGGTGCATGCATTCAAGGTGTTATGGGAGTGTGGCACTACAACAAGCTGGATAACAGTGATTTTGCTCAACTGATTGAGCACAACTTGATGGCTGTATCCCAAATACCTGGTGGGTTTGTTACACAAGAATACCCTTCCAGGACATGATACAACAAACAGCAAATGTGATTCAACAATTCATGAAGAACTTTCCAACCAAAACCTTCACCATACCTTTCAGCATTCCAACAAAAAAAATGCCCTTCTGCTCGCTCAAAAAACACGAGCACGCTACACTCCAATGGCTCTCTCTCGGTGCTCGTGCTTCAATTGTTTGAAACCGACTAAGAAGCCCCTTTAAATCGCTTGCGATGGGACATAGCACCGTAAATGTTCCTTGAGGAATTACATACAATAGCGCCAGGGGCTGACTTCCGCACGCGTTGCAGTTTCGCCTCACCTGAATGTTAAGAGCTTCATAATACACCAGGCCAGAGATCATGCTGGCCTAGCAGAAGGGTCACTCTGCGAACAAATAATGTGAACGCCGCTAACATCTAAGTATAGGGAGGTATGGAGTCATGAACGGTGGTCTTGAAAGCGGAGCGGTATCACATTTGGCGCCTACCGTTGAGGAGAATGCTATATTTCCAGATCGCGTTTCTCAAGTCTCACCCTTCATACCGGGGTAAGGGAGGAGGGATGTATATTGGTTGGCCACCCTTTACATTTGACTCACTGACGCCCCTTGCTCAACCTATACTTCACAACTTTGTAAACTGTCATATTCGTTGGAGGTTGTGTACAAGTGGAGGGTCGCTCTATATTGCACCTGACTGTAGTTGATAGACTATCTTGTAGGCTGATTTTAGTCACCAAATGACGAGGGCCAATGTACGCCTTACATAGCTCATTTCCTTTGATGCTCGATTGAGAATCTAAGAAGGGGCTGTTTGCCATTCTCAGTGCTGGGGATATATAACATCTTGAGTTCAAGGATCACCTGCAAGTCAACTTCATATCGCCCTAGAAGTTTCTATCGTCCGTCCAAGATATTATCAAATCATTCCCTCAAAACTTCAAACTACTCATCCTTCAATCATTTCATTCGATTACTTTTACCCACTTGAACTGTATACCACATTTCAGTATGCCTACCAATTCGCTGCTCAGTCATGAAGATACAACTATTGGTGAGCTTCTTATCCAACAGCCTCTAATCGATCGTACATCAGCGCGACAGGGCTCATCCGACTCTATGTACTGACCCTTTTCTGACAATCCTCGCGACGTCCCATTGTATAGGGGCATATATTTTGATACGGTAAGCCCATCCATGTTATCGAGCTCGTGGACCGAACTCTTCTGACGATCTCTATACTTAATGGGTCAATAGGCTGGCCCAACTGGGCATCAAGCAAGTCCATGGCGTTCCAGGGGACTTCAAGTAAGTTTCAATGTGGACCTTCCCAAAAAGACTCGTGGGCGACAGGTTGACCCAATTTTTGGTCACAAAGTCTCCGATTTTTGGATCTCATTGAAGATCACCCAGATTTGGATTGGGTAGGGTGTTGCAATGAGCTGAATGCAAGTTACGCCGCGGATGGGTACGCTCGCGTCTCAAAAGGTTTGAATCATGCAAACGCATGTTTTCACTTTTTTCTTCCGCGTTCGATTTTATTTCTCGTCTCACTCTTACCATCACCATTCTGTATTCAGCTGGCATTGGATGTCTGGTTACCACTTACGGGGTTGGAGAGCTTTCAGCGCTCAATGGCGTAGGTTAGTTAACTCAGTCTTAATCTTTCGCTGCTCCAAACATTCAGTACAACATCACCTCAGCGTTGCGTATGTGTAGTAGGCTGATCCTTTTCGTATCAATTTCTTCTTAGCGGGAGCATACGCGGAACAAGTTCCAATCCTGCACATTGCCGGAATCCCCTCGTCAAAAATGCAAGAGAACAAAGCGATTGTGCATCATTCTCTGGGTGACAGCAGTGAGTCTTAGGTACTGGTGCTATGTCGTCATCTCTAATTTCACTCCATTTTGGCCGTCTCATCTCATCAAAATAGACTTCGACACATACGCGAAAATATCGGATTTCGTGACTTGTGCTTCTTCGGCTCTCAAGACCCCAAAGGATGCCCCTGATGAGATCGATAGACTTTTGAAAGCCGCGCTCACCGAATGTAGACCAGTTTACCTGAGTCTACCTCCCAACCTGGTTGATGCCAAGATTCCAGCTTCCAACTTGAAAATCGATCTGAGGCAAAAGGTTCATGAAGAGTTACAACTTCAAATCAACCCGAAGTTGGTTCCCGAGGTCCTTGCTCAGATCAGTGAATTATATCTGAAAGCTAAGAAGCCAATGATCTTGGTGCGTGTTTAGGCTTTCTCATGTCCTTTCCGCGAGTCTTGAGACGGATTGATACTCACCATGTCACATTCCCAAAACAACAGCTTGACAGAGGATGCGATGCCTTCAAAGTATCAACCGAGGTCATTAAACTGGCCGAATCAATTCAGATCCCTGTCTATACCACCTTAATGGCCAAAACTGCTATCGGAGTACATCATCCACTCTTTGGGGGATTGTACAAAGGCGGTTCGTCTGATATACACATCAAAGAGTATGTTGAGAGCTCAGATATGGTAATTTGGATCGGTACTGTTGCTTCTGATAGTGTGTATTACTTCATATTATTGTCTTGGAATGTTGAGTCTTTCCGTAGTCCTGACCACATCTCATCTAGGGAACACCTCGAGCGTTTCCTTCAACTTCAAGGCCTCAGAAAAAATCGAGTTACACGCTTCACATACTGTCGTTCGAGCCAAGGAATATCCGAGCATTGGATTCCGAACCTTACTCCCTCTGCTCACTCAGCGACTTTCCTCTTTACCTCACAAACAAAAGAGACAAATTCGCGACTCCAACCCACCTGCGAAGATTGCGAAGCAGGTGTCCATGAATGAAATGATCACTCAAGCCGAGTTTTGGCCTCTTTGGGCTGAAAACTTTTTTGAGCCTAATGATATCGTTATAGGTGAATCTGGCACTGCTTCGTTCGCCTTACAGGACGTGGACTTTCCGGATGGAGCCCAGTTAGTATGCCAGATGCTATGGGCTAGTATTGGTCAGTTCGAAAAGATATCAATCTCCTCCTCTTCAAGACGAAGTATTGCTCGCTCTATGTTTCATTTTCAATATACTCACCTCATTGATCCTTGGTTCAGGTTGGTCTACTGGAGCCTGTTTGGGAATGGCTCAAGCTGCACAAGAGCAGGGTAAACGTACAATCTTGTTCATCGGTGACGGCAGCCTGTTGAGTTGATCTCTTTTGCTCTTATCTATAACTCTATGCTCGGACTCGAGCTGATGTGCATTCATTTTTTACTTCATTGATCCGTGTTGACGATGTAATCCAGTCAAGTCTCCGTCCAAGAGATTAGTACTATGATACGGGCTGGAGTGAAGCCAATCATTGTAGTCATCAACAATGATGGATACGTGATAGAGAGGTTTATCCATGGCATGGAGCGTAAATATGTCAGTCAACTGGATCTCATGAAACCCATGTGCTTTTTCCTTTGCTAACATTGTCCACTGAATCCATCTACTCGAACTTTCATAACCTGCCCAGAATGATATCCAACCTTGGAAATGGACAGGAATCTTAGATCTCTTTGACCCTGAAAACACTACCCCAAAGGCTAATTATACGGCCGAAACTAGAAAAGAATTTATGGATTTGTTCAAGAACCCTGAATTTCGAAAAGCTGATAGAATTCAACTTGTTGAGGCTAAACTCGGCAGAGAAGATGCACCAGACGGCTTAATTCAGTGTATCAAAGCCGTAAGTTTTTCTACACTACTAGATTTTTGATTTGAGTAGTCTTGATACTTTTTTGTTGACGCTACATGTTATCCGCATCCACCCATCCTGGTATGAAGCTTCGCGAAAAATGGGAGTGAAACTCGGCTGGGAAACCAGGAGCCCATACTGGACCCATCTATATCTTGTCCCTTCACACTTGCTCTTACTCTTTTAAACTATTCCTCTCTCAAGCTTTGAGTATTGAGCATCCTTGAAGTCGCGGCAGTGTTCTCCCCAAAATCAACCGCAAGGGCGCAAAAGTCCTCACATCAGACTGTCCTGATTGATCCATTGGTATCTCACATTTCTTGACAAGGTTTTTGACACAAATCGAAATATACTCCAAAATCTTGTTAAAATGAAATTGGTGAAATATATTCCAAACTTGTTAAAATGGAATTTATGACAAAGACCCAATAAATCCAGGAAAATTCTTGTGAGGAAGTCAGGCAAGATTTCCCCCCCAAACATATGGTTCACATAAAGGGATGAGGAAGTCAAACCATCCTCAGATAATTTAGCTCATGCTTGAAAAAAAATCAAATTGAAATTCCAGGAAAACATCTAAAGTTACAACAACATCCCAAAGCCTTAAACCCGAGATGCAGGGGCTGATGCTTTCAAAACCCATGAGTATACTCGAGGTTCTGAAGAAATTTACTTCATCAAAACTATAAGTGCCTAAAATCACAACCGTACCTGAGATTCCGATTAACCTTGGGAAGAGGGGATGAATATCAGGCTTGTGTTTGTGGTATGGGTCTGCTAACGGTACCAGACTAACAATTATAATTCATATGCCAGTAAAGGCTCAGTTGTGATCTATGGGGCCTTGAACTTTGTGGCAAGTCAAAAATTACTAAGTGGGTTCAGTCATGAGCCCGGTATGCTCTTCTAAGGCGTAGTCATCTAGTAAAGTTCCTTTTGAGCTCCAATGAAGTTCCACTCATGAAAAACTGCTAACTTGGTTCCTGGCTTGACCCATAGCTGTAAACAGCCTCAAGTCACATTAGCTTTCTATTCTATTAAAATCATTACACCACAGAAAGAAATGGGCAAAAATCATTAGACCTGTTCATATTTCATCAAGTATAATTCTATGAGAGCTTGAAAGGTACTTATCCAGATAACTAACCCTTATACATAGAAGTAGTTTGGGGTCCTGTTCATCCCTAGTAAATGTGGCAGCCAATTGAACTTTAGAATACCTTCTTCAGTGTATCACTTTTAAAAGAATTAAGAGTGGATCTGTCCTATCTGGAGATTCAAGATTCATTAAAAAAAGGTTTGTGAGAATTTTCACACTTTCACAATTAAGTTCTATGAACTTTGACAATTGGGCCCCATGTTAATGTTCAATTGATGATGGAAAGGTATGGACATGTATCATTTAAGCTCCTATGTATGAAAACTCATAAGTTTTTGTCTTTCATAAAAACAACCAAGATTTTGAGACATGCAACTAGGGCTTTAACCCCTTTCTTGACCTAGGCAGCAGGCTCAGATCAGTAGGGTTTTCACTTCTTTGAAATTCGTTCCTTCCTTGAACACTTTTACAATTCCAACTCACACAAGATCTTTTCCAATCACACCTTTTCTGATGCTGATTCTCTATCACAGTGCAGAACTGTTTCATTTTGGATCTCTAGGTCATCTCAACTTGAGATGTATGTACAAGTCTTTCTAAGTTTGCTTTGATATAACAGGTGATTCAGGGGTTCTAATCCACAGCATCTGGGTGAATTTGTATTTACTTGGAAGCTGTGCTAAATGTTACACAAGGCCGGAGATTACTGACTCGCCAAGGGCAAGGGCTTGAAGGATGGGGAGCCATGAAGTTAAAAGTGAGTCAAGAATCCGGCCGGTCTTTGCATGTCTCATCTCCATTCTCGAAAAGGGGTTTTGTACATACATAAAGCCATACGTAGGCAGGCTTACCTTAACCTAATGAGATGACATCATACTTGAATTCCCAGATCAAGATGATCAGCGCCCCATGGCGCCTTCTGAGATCCCAAAGTGCTTGATTGGGTAGACTGATGACTAATCCTTTTACATTGGGTTTCCTTTTATAAAACTTGGTCACTACAGTGCTTGTTTCTTTACCTTTCGCATTATCAAAGAACTTACAACCTCAAGCTCAACCTCGAATCAACTTTTTCATCAAACCAACTTTAGTCGATCACATCATGTCAACATCAACATCAGAAGTAAGTCAAAGAACCTATTTTTCACTTGTATTCACATCTCGTTCATTCTAATAAATCAATTTCATCCTTCAGAACGAACCAAACTCAGAAGAATTTCCAACAATCTTAGACCCAAAAACATGTTTACAAAAAGGGCGATGTGAAGTAGGAAACTCTCGAAGACTAAAACCATACAAAATCTATTACGAACTTCATGGAAACTCATCAATCCAAGCTAAAAAGAAAATGATTTTTATAATGGGTTTAAACAATACGTTTTTTTCTTGGTCTAAACAAGTTGAACATTTTGGAAAATTAGATGATCATGTGGTTTTAGTTTTTGATAATCGAGGTGTTGGAAATAGCGAGTAAGTTATGATTTGATTTCTTGATTTTTCAAACATAGATTTCTCTTATTGATTTGGTTTTTCTTTTTGATTCCTCGTTTTGTAAGTGTTGGACCTGAAAGATTTTTTAAAACTTCTGGAATGGCTAAAGATGTGATTGATTTATTAGATTTTATTGGATGGAATCAGTCTAGATCGATTAATGTAATAGGAGTTTCAATGGGAGGTATGATTGCACAAGAATTAGTCAGTTCACTTGTCTAAAATCACTTTTTGGTTTGGATCTCAATTTAAAGCTGAATCGATTTAAACTTCTTCAACGTCAATCTTTAATAGTGTTTACAAATTCCACAAAGAATCGTTTCAGTGGTCTTTACGAGTACTCAGGCAGGTGAATCAAACAGATTACCACCTGTGAGTTGCAATCCGTATATCTCTTTCTTTACCATCCGATTCAATCAAGCCATTAACCTTCTCATCATCAAACGAAGCTAACTCAAGATTTCTTAACTCTATAATTTTGTTTCATGAATCTCATATACGATTCTTTCAGTTAAGTACAACCTTTGGAATCCTACGAATGTTACTCAGTGGAGGTACACCAGAAGAAAGAATTGCCAGGCTAGTGACCAAACTTTTCCCAGCGGTTTGGCTCGATTCAACTGCTTCAGATGGAAGTGGAAAAACAAATCGTCAAGTCAAACAAGAAGAATTAGTTTCCAATTATTACAAACGACGTGAACAACCAACGGCCGGGATCATTGGTCAATTATCTGCAGCTGCCACTCATCTATGTACACCTGAAGTGCTTGGTCGACTTGCCAAAAGTGTGGCACCGGCTAAGTTGGTTGTCTTATCTGGTGCATTAGATCAGGTTATAGATGTTAGTAAAAGTATCACACTTCATGAAAACCTTCCGGGTTCTGAATTGGTTGTGTTGAGGATGCAGGTCATGCTCTTGTCACAAG